CCCAAGCCTCGTAAGGTTCTCCAACTCTTGCGTCTCTTGCAAATCAACAACGGTGTCTTTGTCCGTTTGAACAAGGCTACCTCCGAGATGCTTCAATTGGTTCAACCTTATGTCACCTACGGTTCTCCCAACTTGAAGACCATCCGTGAATTGATCTACAAGCGTGGATATGCCAAGCTTAACGGTCAACGTATCCCTATTCATGACAACGCTGTCATCGAACAAGCTCTCGGCAAGTACGGTATCATCTGTGTTGAAGACCTCATCCACGAAATCGCCACTGTCGGTCCTCACTTCAAGGAAGCCAACAACTTCCTCTGGCCCTTCAAGCTCTCCAACCCCAACAACATGTGGAAGCGCAGAAAGTTCCGTCACTTCATTGAAGGTGGTGATGCTGGTAACCGTGAACACTTCATCAACAACTTGGTTCAAGCCATGAACTAAATTTGTCAATAAAAATATCTTGTTCTTCTCACAATGAATAAAAATGCTCTTTTTTTTGTCTTAACTATGGTTTTGAATGCTGGGTTAGCTAGGAAGAGAGTTGATTCATGTAGAAAAGCTTAACCATAAGCAAAATAATGTGTTTCTGTAAAAAGATAATCGTGAATCAGCATATATTCCCTTTTGCTGGTCAATGAAACGCAGGAAGAAAAGGAGAATTTATTGATAGACGCGTTCAAGTGCTACTTGAGAATGTTACGCTTGAAAATTCTGAATACATTCAGGAACTTTTGTTTGAAAGTTATTTAAATAAAGACAAGTATCTTAAATCAGCTGCATTTGTCGTTCTTTTTGATTTTAATTTTGGCCAAAAGCTCTTCTAAGGATACACAGTCATACAGAGTAGGAAGGTAAGACAAAATGAAATAAGCAGTCATTGTTTACGTAAATATCGATTTCTATTGGACAAATATAAAAAATTTTAGTAGACAGTCACAGCTCAAAAAAGTATAAAAGTAAAAGCAAATTTCATCTTTTGCTCTTCATACTTACCTGGGTCGTGCATCTGGACTCAAGAACCCCGGATGTACAGTAGGATTGGTCGTCATTGCACAGCGACGATCGGCCCTGCTGCGAACACCTTCGGGTGTCTCGAGGCCACAATTTTTGCTTTGGGGGAATGGGTGGTTCGCCGCCTGTTCCCCCGTTTTATGTTTAATGTAAATGAAAAAATAGTACTAAATAACAAAGACGCACATGTTAAAAGAAAACCTTTGTCATTCCCTTTACAGGATTTACTTATTTTGTTGTCTAGCAATAAATACCGCACTTTTTCACCTAACCTTCCTTTTTTTTCTTTTATTTTTTTGGCTATTTCAAAAAGCGATGTACTTACTGAGGCGCCCAATGAGAGAGACAGAAAGAAGTCCATAAAAGTAGCAAGTATACTTTCATTTTGCACTTTAAAAATGAACACACAAGATATGTTTCCAGAGATAGAACAATTGATTTAGGTATTTTTTCCCTTGGCTATCAGTTCTTGTGGCTCTAGGCGCCATGAAGAAGAAAATGTAGAGATCGTAGAATATAACAACTGAATTGCTGAGTCATTTAATGATGAAGACGTTTCTTATCTCGTTATAGTAAATGATTGGTTAGATCATTGAGTGTTCCTGTTACTTATACAGGAAGGCATCAACTGCACTGTAAGCCGTGTTCAGTTGCTTTGATATTCATGTAAATGAATTCAGTGTAATAAGAAATCCAATCACTGTTAGCATGCGCACATAACATACGCAAGATGCTTCTCCCTCCTTTACGCAAACAAATAATGGACAGTTTGATATAACGTCTATTAAAAGAACATTAAGACGTACAGCAGATATTATTTGCACTATTCGACATTATAGCAAAGATCTCTATATGGAGAGCCATATAGAGACTGAACAAGCAGCTTGACTTTTGCACGTAAAAATGTGGCTGTCGTATCTCTCTGGATTCTTAGATTTTTATCGGGCAATTAATTTTATTTTTCGGGTCGATTGGTGGAGTGGACAGGAAATAAAGAGGTTGGATTCTTAGAACCCGCTAATCGAGCCCATCACCACTGCGTTTTAATAGTCTGAATGTTTATCAGTCCGTGTCATGTTTGTGTTCCACTAAAGGGTACATCAATTGTATGTGTGGCGATGCAGTGTAACTTTATATAATTAACAGCGGGTAATTGGCATTTGTAGATACGGCTGTTTAACTCCTTCTAAAAATTTTTTTTCTTCTTTCGACTTGTTAAAGCACGTGTATTATGAAAGGTAAATAAAAAGCAAGTTTTTAGTGTTTATTATGTACAAAGTTTAGCAAGAAAGAGTGCGTATGTATGTTTGAGATGTATAATAGTGGTAATAGTAAAAAAAAAATAGAAAAATGAAAAAAGGGTATTCGATATAAATGTACAGATGGTGATTTAAACTCTTGCCATACCAGCAAATTCAATAAAGAATGAAGTTGAATGTGATTTGTCTTCTCCAGTTGAAGGTAGTGAGGCAATTTCTAGTAGTTTCGACTTGAAATGGTGAATATCGTCATTCCAAGGTATGACTTGTAATACAAATTGTCTATTTTCACTAGATAAGAACACAGAATTAAAGTACTTGAGGATGCCCTTTAAATCTTCTGCAGTATGCTGTAGTAGATCAGGTAGTGCATATTGATCAAGTGCTTCGAATACACGATCGAGGTGTGCCATGATGTACTGTTCTAAATCTTGATTCAACTTGACTGCATTATCATTCAAGCACTGAGAAGAGATCACATCTTGTTCTTCTGAAGGACATGTTGTGAGCAGTAGCTGTCGAACATACTGTTCAATGGCTTGACGACTCAGTTTATCAGCTAATTTATCCCAAGTGAGAGGTAGGATGCCTTCAGTGTGGGCTTGGATAGCAGCAAAGATCTGTGATTTAAGAATCTCGAGATCCATAATATCAATAGATGGTAATTGCTGAAGCGTAAATTGGACATGATTTGTCTTTGTATTTGTAGTAGGCTGAATGGTAATCTGAATATGGTGTCGAAACTGCATCGCTATCTCTTTATCTGTATGACCAATAACTGCGTCCAAATGATCAAAGTGTAGATGAGTTGCAATTAGTTGTGATAGTGTATCCACTTGCACACCAAATGATGGTTCTTCTATGTCATCTAATGTTTCTAATAATTCTTCTTCAATAGAGCTAGTCGTAGTGGTTACAGGTAAAGCAATAATAGTTGTTATTGTTGTTATGCATATAAGAAGTAAAAAGAGAGTGATTCTCATTCTCTTTTATAAATTAAAGAGTTTTGAGAGAAAAAAGAAAAAGTTAAAAGAAAAGGGAATAAAAAAAGGGATGAAGCAGTAATCATTTATAGTAATTAGTTTATTAGCGGAGTTTAATCAAAGGATGAGCGCAAGTGATGTGATAAAGGGGGAAATGGAAGGTCGATATTGTCAACAACCCTCGACAGCCCCCTCCTCTTTTGTCTAGTTCTCAAGATGACGTACAAAATGCCTAAGAGTTTGGTAGATTTGTTTTGCAGAAGCTTTAGATTGTCTTTTGATGATAAACACCAAAACTTATTTGGTTACCCGGACTTTCATCAACAGAGATTTCCCTATTTTCTGTAATGAATAAGTTACACTAAACGTTATCTCCGATATGTTCGAATCTCGTTTAAATAGTCTTTTTCCTTAAACTCTAAACGTGAATAACAACACGTTAAGAAAAAGTCAGTTACTTACAAAGTAAAAGGAAATAGGACTGGATATGAGACGTATCCCTGACAACAAATATAGTTATGACTTTCTGCAAATAGAAGTGTCTAGGCAACCGAGCCATGTACTTCCTGAATCCAACATTAATTTGAGTAACCATGAATGCGTTTTATTTTAGCTTCAAAAATATCAAAAATGACTATGAAATTACATGCAAATTAAAATCTTGTTTACATAACCAACACCATTTTTGTCTATCATTATCAAATTTTGTAGATCCCAGCTTAGCACTGAGGATCCGAGCTTATTTTTTTCCGTTCCCGAACCTCGATTGTATTCATCTCTGGTATGGTGCTGCAAATACTTAAATTAGTGCTTTTGGTTTCTTTTTTTAAATGAGCTGTGGCTTCAGTCCGCAGTCCTTATTGAAACTCGCCAAGAGGTATTTTTTTACTGTGTGGCTAGATTATTTTTACAAAGAAACACGCTTGTTATTTATGCCAAGAAACTATGACACCTTCTTGATGCACATCATGATATAGCGTCATTGGTAAAATAGTTATTTTTGGATCGTTTTAGCTTTGTTTTTTTTTTTTTTTTTTTTGTTTTCATCCATTCCTTTTTAAACGCGGCCTCGGTACGGTCGATCATTTCAAGTTTAACTTTGTCAAAGTCAGGAATGTATCAATGTTTTGTAATGACTCAGATACAAAAACATTGTATCCAGCGCCGTTTAAAAGCATAGCCACAGTCTCACTTTGTAAATCCCTCACTAACCATTGATCGTTCATCATAACACACACCAAGGACATGTCTAAAGTATGTCAAAACATGTGGTATTCGTAAACAAAAAGATTCTTTGATGATTTATTTTTCCGAGTCTTTTCATATTACATAATGAATGATGTATAGGAGTGGCACTTTATTTGCTGATCGTAGTCTGCTCTGCTGAGTTGATTTTTTTTTTGTCAATCCATTTATCAAATGTCATAGTCTAAAATAGCCAAAGAGTATCGAACTTGCTGACATCACGTTCATGTGTGTATATATCTTGATATAATATTTATGAATGTTTTTGTAAGAAAAAACTCAAATATTAACATTGCACTTGGTTTAAAAAATTGAGTAATGTTGCCCTGTTGCTAATTCAGAAATATTGTTCATGTTTTAAAGTTTGATTAAGGGCTCAAATTAGGCGTAATTTACACATGATTATCTATGTCTTTTACAGTTATAGAAAATGATCTTCTATTATGCATCTTTTAACAGTAACAATAGGACTTGCCTAAAAGGAAGCATTTAGGTCTGCATCTCAAGGCTAAATCAACACTATGAACACTCTAGGATTATAACTGTTTAAAGCAAATCCTTTTACAGGGTTATTTGTGGAGATAAAAACGCCATCTGATGCATGTGAACATGGTCTCCCCCGATCCTTCTTAATCTACCCTTAACGTCCCTTTTTGTCCCCACCTACTCGAAACCCTTCTTGCTCCTGTGATACAGCTATCGCTTATGTGATCTATAAAAGGCTGAAAACAGGCATCTTTTGCACAATGAATAAAATATCATCAAGCCATTTGTTAAAGAAAAAAGAGATATTAATGTGAACCCTAGTACACTTTTGAAACATTATTTTTCATATGAAGCTCCTTGAGTTTATAATTAAGCTACTTAATAAAGTGCCATCCCTCCTCGTTTTCTCAAACATGATCCATGATGTACACACTCATATATATTGGACATACATTAGAATGAAAGGTATATTTGTATTATGTTGTATGGAAACCTGTATTGTATGAAAGAACATCAACTGAACAGATCAAGATGAGTTATATATAGAGATATCTGAAAGATGACAGCCATGACATTTAGTTCTATGCTACTCCCTGAACTTAATAACCGACTCGACTAAAGCTAGTCGTGTCTTTATAAATTTATAGACAGTATCCATTTTAAAATTGCCTTCTTGTCGCTTTACAACGTTAGAATAATATAATGTCATCTTAGTTCTGCTTTTAGCCTTGAAATGTACAATACCCATTGAAAGAGTTAGCACAATGCACTACAAGTATTCGGATCAAATAGAAAAAAAAAAAAAGAGGACAAGAGAGTATGTAAAAAAAAAAAAAAATATGTATTTTTATTAGAAAAAGACGTTAGGCAATCGCGACAGATTTCTCTACTTTAATCTAGACTGTTCACGGAGCTTAGAAGCTAGTTTGATTAAGGCTACCTGTATTTCAGACCAAGGGTATACTTTGAATTCCTTGGATATGCTTGCAGATTTTGGTAAAGTATAACTGACGACTTTATCAAAAAAGTCCCTGGTTTCAATACGATCTGGGTAGACCGTGATAGGCTTCAAGCATTCAAGATGTCTTCTCATTCGATTTATAATAGGCTTTTCAAACTCCTTATCGAGCAGCTTCTTAAATATCGTGATGAGATCAAAAGAGGTGACAAAGTAATTTTCGTGCTGAGGCCAGTGGATACAAGATATGATTAGTGGCGTAAAGATTTCCTTTCGTTTGCTGCCTTCGCCATGGCTGATTAAATCACAATAGTACTTGGTTGGATATGTCATATAGGTGACAGTTATCTGGCGTACGGCGTGCTTTTGAGGAGATGGCTTCATCAGTTCTCGTTCTATCTTGAATTCAACAAGTCTTCGTCCGTTTCGAACCTCGACAGGATCCCATCCGATAGTTACGTCCGTTGCCTGACTGAACTCGAAGGAGTAAGAGATTCTGGATACCGCACTATCATCATTAAGTAAGTGGTGAAAAGAAGGAGACGGTCTAGGAGGTGGTCTATGGATTTTTGGTGGCCTTTGTATTGCCATATGGCTACCGTTACCATTGTAGCTTCTAAAAGCAGAGGGAGCACCATAAGGTCGATTGTTCATTGGATGATGGTACACGACAGGAGGACTCTCCATGGTATTTTCATCGCTAAGGTATGGCGTCTGGCCATCAGAAGAAGTACTAGCTGGACTATTGTCAGACATTTCAGGATAGGCAATGTAATTAAAAAAGCCTGAACTATCCGGGACTGTCTGGTGGCTGCTTTCTTTCAAGATACCTGAGGGCAGAGTTGCAGGACCTATTCCTCCGAGAAATGTGCGTCAGATGGTTTGATATATTGCGCGGAAATTTTTTCTTTTTCTTACCTAATTCATTGAATGAGGAGCTCTCTGCAATACGACGAGGATAGGTATCATATGGAGGCCAAGTATAAGCATTATAAGCTGGATGGCCTATTATTAACAATATAAGTTTCTTCAAGATTAAAAAGTCAATTAATTTTTTTACGCTTCTCTGTGTTTTGAGTATACATATAAGACATGTTTGGAAAAAAAGAGATTATCGTGATTATTCAGGGGTAAAGGTTGAATGGAAAAACTAGATATAAAAAAGCAAAAGTACAGGCCACTTTAAATAGTTTACATATTATATACCCTCGGAGCATTTTCTTAATATGCATCATACTATGAACTCTTGAAGATTATAATAAAAATAGACTCTTAGAAAAAGACATCATGGGTTTCCAAAGAGTCTCTATTCCCTTGCATGAAACCAAGGATGTATATCGACTCTTATCTTTGGCTCTGTTTCTCTTTATTACTACAGTATGTTTCTTTCAAAAGAGTGTGAATATGATGTCTGTCACATGCGTCTGAAAAGGTCTAGTAATCTCAGTGCGATTATCCTGAAACTTGAAGGATAGATATATAAAAGTGATTTATTGAAACTTTCTACATCACAAAAAAAGGCATTTTTTGACAGCGTCATCGAACATATAGAAATTGGTTTTATTATATGCAATCAAACGGATCCTGTACGTGGTTTATTTAGAGCGCAAATTGACCCATAAAAATTGATTTAATCCTTGGGCAGAATGAAGATTATCGGAATATATATATGTATCATGCACACACATATTGTGATGCACCAAAGGACTGTCTTCACTTTCTACCCAGCTCTTTCAAAATGTTTGGGGACAAAGACTTGCAAAAAAATCTCCGGAGCTCCACGAGCATCTTAAAATGCATTTTTATGTTCTCGCATTTGATAAACTGTCAAGCTGTGCAGAATTATCATAGACGACACAATGAAAGAAAAAGGATTTATTGTGTACTTGGCTAAGCAGATGATTCATATAAAATCCATTTTCATAAAAATATAGGCCCATTAACCGTGATGCGTTAATGTCTTTTCGTGATTGTATTGAAAAGCATTAAGGATTGCCCTTTTTTCCAGGCTTCTCTTGGTTGAAGCGAGTGTTATTTAATATTCTTATGGACATCTGTGATACTTGTCAGAAACAATAAATTCCTGTCTATGGTTCAAATAAAACATAACGGCGCCTTGCAGAAAAATTCTCGTGTTTTCGATGAGTTTAAGAAAGTTTGCACACATATTGAACAATGGTTCAATAATATTGCTCAAAAACGTAAAAGACAACATTATGACTGTTATTTTTGGGTATATTTTGTTAATGGAATACAAGAGCCGCTCGATTTAATTGTACCAATCAGTGGTCACAGAAGAATACATCCAACATTTATTCTCCGACATTAACGTCATCATAACACCACAAAAAAAAAGAAATTTTTTCTTGCTTTTCTAATTTTACTTTTTTTTTCCCGTCTCTCTTTTATTATTATTATTTTTAAAGGTAAGTTGTTATATAATGTGTATCTGATTTGAATTTACAAATAGTCATCTTTAGATAAACTTTCCCCCCTTTTTTCTTTTTTACTTATTGAAACACTTAAAGAAGCTTAAGAAAAAGAAAAGCGAAAAAAAAGACAAGAGAACCAAAGAAAAAGAATAAATAATTTATATTAACGGTTTTTCTTTTCTACGCAAAAGAAAGTTTTGTTTGTTTAAATATATTTCACATTATATATATATCCTCTTTTTGAACTCTTTTTTATATAAAAAGGTTAATCGTTATTTCAAATTACCTGCTTTCTTTATAATTAAAAATGTCTGTAAACACAATGAATGATCAACAAAGAAGACAATATCAGCAACAACAACAACATCAACAGCAGCAGCAGAATAAAGATCTTGAAATGCTTCGAAGAAACTATCGAACAGCCTTGTCTGAACTTACATTTAATAGTAAACCTATTATTACCAATTTAACAATCATGGCTCAAGAAAATCAAGCTGCGGCTGCTGTCATTGTAAAGGAAATAGAAAACCAGCTTAGAAATGTAAGTATATATTAGTTGCATACATATAGATGACAGTATATATAAACTCAACCATTAGAATGCGGCTGGTCAAAAATTACCTGTGCTATATTTGATTGATTCCATTTGTAAAAATGTTGGTGGTGTCTATATCTCAATATTTGGAAGAAATATGGTCAATACCTTCTTGGATGCTTATACTCTAAGTGATGCCAATGTCCGAAAAAGCTTTGAAAGGTTACTGCAAACTTGGAAGAATGGCTTGCCAGGTGGTCGACCCGTTTTCCCTCGTCATATCATTGAGCCTATTGAAAGATCAATCATGTATATTCGGGAAAAACAGGCAAATCAGCAACAGCAACAACAGCAGTCTATTAATATCCATGTTAACCCAAATTTTGTGAAAAAGGTAATCATATAACAACAATCAATGTTTTTTCATAATGAATTTATTCAACTATTTATCTTGTACAGGATCCACGTCTTCAATCAAACAACAGAGATCCTCGTCTTAAAAATGCAACACCTCCTCAACAACAAGCTACCAAGCCAGAAAGTTCTATGGCAAGTACTAGCATTTTAATATATTTATCATTATATTTTAACTCTTTATTATAGTTATCAACTACTACAGCTAACCTCTTGTCTCAATTACAATCCATTCTTCCTCAGCAATCACCTATGAATGCTGCGTACCAACCTATAATGAATGCATTAAATATGCCCTCTGCACAGCCAGTACAACCTATACAGACCATACAACCCACAACAAGTAATCCTGTTAATCAACTCATTGGACAAGTAAGTTACCTGTATTGAATATACTCTTGAACACTCTCTTAACAATTTAATAAAAATAGATTAAAGCCATTTTGCCTACATTACCTGCTGCTCAAGCAAATTCTATCGAGCAATACATATCACAGATTGCTTCAACAGCTAATACAAATATTGGTGCTGCTAATGGAACCATTGCTCCTTCTATAGCTACTGCTGTTGCTCCTATTATAAATGCTAATACTGTTACTGCTGTGGGTAACAGTGCGGCTACGGGTGCTACTACTGCTGCTACTGTCTCCGTTAGCACTCCCACCATTAGTCACTCAGCTGTGAGTAGTAGCATAATAAATAGTACACCTACATTAGTCAATAAATCACCTATTATCAATACTGCATCAATTTTATCCCCAGCTCCCTATACGGCCTCTCCTCCTGCTGCAACTCCAGTGAATACTGCCGAGCTACTAAAAAGCCTAACCTCCATGGGCTATTTGGATCCTACTCCAGGCAAGCCAGTGGGTTTAGAGAGCATGGGTCCATTTTTATTAGATTCCAAAGACCTCCAAATTCCTCGGCCTGGTGCTATTGAATTACTTTATTCTGCTGAACCTCTTCAATGCAAACAATGTGGTTTCCGATATCCTAAAACCGAAAAAGGACAGCAAAAGATGGATGCTCATTTAGATTCGCATTTTAGACAAAATAGAAGGATGAAGGAAAGAGTGAAGAGAGGACTATCCCGTTCATGGTTTGTCACAGTTGACGAATGGATTCATGGTGAAGGCGGCGAATCTACAAGCCAACAAGGTAAAACATTGTAATTCATCTCATGATAAAATATATTCAACGATATTTTGTGTAGTACCTACATTTCTTCATGATGGCGTAAGTCAGTCCGGTAAATCAAACGAAGGCGATAAAGCAGAAGAAACCATTGATCCAGATAAGCACACTGTTGTAAGACATACGGATGAAAGAAAGACGTGTCCTATCTGTGGTGAAACATTTGTTGATTTTTGGAATGATGATGAAGAAGAATGGATGTACAAGAACGCTGTGCTGGCGGATGATAAGATCTATCATGCTACTTGTCATGCTGATGTTATCAAGAACGCGAATTCAGCTAGCAATAACATTGCTTCAAAACGTAAATCGGAAGAGCAGGAATCAAGTCAAGCTAAACATCAACGCATTCAATAATAACAGAAAAGAGCCTCATTGTAATAAATTCATTTTTGTTCCCCCCTTTTTTATAATAAATAGTATTCTAATTCAAAATAATTTATACTCGTGTATTTATTAAGTGGGTAAATGTGATATGTATATGTATATTATATGCTTATGTCGCCTTCATTGGATTTTCAGCGGCAATAGGTAATCCAAACTCATCCAGTTTGACATCTTGCTGCTATTAACAAAGTTAGAACAAAACAGTAGAGATTGTATACAAATTGGTGTACTTGCCGATTTTGGTTCTGCTTCGGCAGTCTTTGGAAGATCCAAATCGACTGGTTCTTGTAAGTAAGAAGGTACATCTTCTTCTTCAAACTCTAATTCATCTCCAAGCGCATCCAATTCTATATTTATAATAAAATACATGCATCTCATGCTTTACCATGCAAATTTACCTGCTTCAAGGTCATCTACATCAACGTCGTCAGGCAGATTATATGATCTCGCAAGTGACTCTTGGACTTCATTGGCTGCTTCCATTAAATCTTCCATTTCATCTTGTAGTTGCTATTTGTACTCGATTAACTTGCTTCCTTTCTTTTGTATATATTTGACTTACATCGATCTTGTCCAAGTTAACATTTTTATATTGTTTTTTCATTTCCTTGTTTGCAGTTTGCATAGCATCCACAGTTGCCATGACATTACGTAAATTGTCAGTCGTCATTTGTGCTTGTTCCATATTAAATGACTGCTGTTGCAAGTTGTCTCGCTGTGCTTCATAACTTAATGCCAAGACAAAATGAGATTTAAGAGAGCCAAGACATGTAAATAACTTACAGTTTCTTTTGTTTTAATACTCTTAGTGCTTTTTGTTGAACGTTTTTCTAAATCGACATGTTTACTATACGTGCATCTTTTGCTTTGCAGTATATATATGCGCACAAAAAAACTTACCTTTGCAGGTCCTTCTCTCATTTTCTTTAATTGGTCTCTGTACCTCGTGAGTTCTGCATCTAGTTTCTTTATTTTGACTTCTACAGCGTCTACTCGTACGTCTGTCTATGGTGATAAAGATTAGTAAAACACGATGCACGTAAGAGTACAGTTATTACAGAGGAAATAGCATCGTTCAAGGTAGGCTTAGGTGTCTTTTTAGTAGAGCCAAAAAGTCGATTCATGTTTTGAAGAGAAAAAGGATAAAAAAGGTGGTCTTTTTCAGTAATGACCATTTGATGCAAAAATTCAAACGGCGCTTACAGTGGTCTTCTCCTTTCTCTTTAAAGCATATCTGAAACTTTGTTTGGTCTACGGGGTGCAACCAAGAAAAACACCATTCAATGTTCACTTACTAAGGCTTCGGTTAGAGTAATTTATACTAAATTTAATTCATGTTTACACAGTAGTTTATTAGATATAGGTAACGTTGAACCTATTCCAGTATATACTTTAAACAGCTGTCTCGAAAAACAATACAGTGGTACATGACTGAATCTCAAAGAGAAAGGAACTATGCTATGAGAGCATTTGTTCAGAGTGTTTATGCTCTTTTACTACATATTCTAAGCCACACTTCGTTCGTCTTTTTGACCGGGAAAAAAACCAACAGTCGTCGGACAATGTTTAATCTCAGATACGCCTTCGGGGCATACAGTTTGGCTTCTGCGTGTAAATGTACCCTTAGACTTGGCACAATTAAGTGTTCTTTCTCTGACTATATAATCCATAACAATGGTTGTATGTATCAATCCAAAACAATGATAAAAGATAGAGATATAAAGAGATAGAGATGGATGTGTGTTTGAGGATGCTTAAAGGAAATAGATGGATACCCAAAAAAACATATTTGGAGATAGAAAAAGAAAAAAAGAGAGGAGGAGGGGGAATGTAATGATGGAATGTATAATTAACTCTATTATTTTTCTTTCTATAGCAAGGTTCATTCAAGCGTCAAGTTGAAGTTGGCCGTGTTGTCCTCGTTAACCACGGTGCTGATGCCGGCAAGTTAGCCGTCATTATCGACATTGTTGATCACAACCGCGTAAGTTCAATATATGACAACTTCCCCCAGTGTGGTTTATATAAATGCTAATTCAACAATAGGCTCTCATCGACGGCCCTACCACTGGCGTTGCCCGTCAAGCTCTCTCTTTCCGTCGCATGGTCTTGACCCCCATCGTCCTCAAGAATCTTCCTCGTAACATCGGTCAAGGTGCTCTCAAGAAGGCCATCGAAAAGGCTGACATTGTTGCCGCCTGGAACAAGACTGCTTGGGCCAAGAAGATCGAACAACGCAAGATTCGTGCTTCTTTGTCTGACTTTGACCGTTTCAAGTTGAGAAAGTTGCAAAACAAGGTAAGATGACTTTTCTGCAACAAGGAGAGAGCGTATAGCTAATTGTGTTTATAGCGTCGTTTCGCTGTTGCTCCCGCTGTTAAGGCTGCTGCCAAGAAGCAATAAACAAGTCTTTTTGAAATAAAAAAGCAAAGATAATCTTAACACATATGCTTCTTTTATTTATCGATGTTTCCAATTGTATTCAAAAGACTTTTCGAAATCGAGTTTAGCAACCATGTGGTCCCATTCGTCAACTGTCTTCACAAACAGTCTTTTACCCGTCTTGGGATCACCAAATAGTTCGACCCAATAAGCTAACTCTTCATCATTTGTCACGAAAACAAGTCGCTCAGGCTCTTCCGGGTTTACTTCTTGCTGTTTCTTATGATAGAATAATAAGCAGCTTAGGAGAGGTCTGTACTTGATTGGTACATCATCAAATGTACTAGCTTCCCTGTGCTCATCGTCATCGTGGCCAGCAGAACCAAGAGCTTCTTCATTATTTAGTTCTTCATATTCATATACTTCACTATAAGCATCCTCTTCATCGGAATAATCTACATCAGACTCTTCATCTCTGGCTCTTCTTCTTGTAGTAATCAATATGCTACTAGAACTGCTTGCAATGGACGCTGTATCATCATCGTCTTCTTCTTCTTCATCATCATCATCATCACTGCTTTCTTCTTGTTCAGAGGGAAGTAGTTCGTCGAGTCTTTTTGATGTCATCCCTTCTCCAATCCAATACTCTCCAGCTTGGTTCCACTCTGATAACTTCTCACTCACCTTTTGCGTGCGAAGATAGGATGCCGTCGTTAATTCTTTTATTTTTGTCTCGAGTAATTTTTGATCCAAGAAACGGATAGATTCTCTTGCTTGTACGTTCATGTGTGAGTTACCCTTTTTGTAGCCATCTAATAAATCAATGACTTCAAGAGGCACGATGACCTCCAGCACACTCTGCCCAACAGACTGATTGGCCCATTTTTTAACTTTTGGCAATGCGTCCAAGAAGGCGGTAATGTCTACAACGCAGGTATACACGTCCTTGGGCGTATCTTGTCTGTTATTGTTGTTGTTGGCTATACGATTTACATTCTTTTCTAAAGAAGATACTTGTTCCATTAGACGTTGAGTAGCCAATGCCTTCATAAATCTGTTTTGTTGTTGACGCTATATATAACAGCTATGAGTCCTCTCTCTTTTATGTTTATATATCTGTCTTTTTTTACCTTAGCATTTTCGTCAACAATAGTATATTTTTGCTCGTTTTGGTTATACTGAATAAACTCAAAGGACTAAAGAATAAAGTTAGCCATATGTTCTTTTGATCCATGAGCAATGAATTGCTTACAGTAGAGTCTGCCATCTTCTTGATCATCTCTCTTACTCTTCCCCAGCGTACTTGTCTCTTTCCTTCTGTACTGTGATCCACAGAATAGACTTGCTCTTTGAAAAAGTCAACTGTTTGGTGAAAGGAAACCAGAGGAACTAAACCTAAGAGCTGGAGATCTTCAGATATGGGATAGGTGGTGGGTAGCGTGTTCAAGACAGGGTCGGGAAATGAAGAATGGGTGATAAGTAAAGAGAGTAATGACTGAACAGCATTCATCAGTCCCTGCTTCTCAGGGTCTCTCACCCTACTCGACGATGTTAGACAGTGTTGAAGTAAGGAGCTAAAATTGGCCGAGATAAAGGTCGACCAGATACCGAGACCAGGAAGCAAGGTATCTTCTATGACAGATTCTAAACCCTTTTCGGCTGTGTCCTTTTCAAATCCCTCTCTAGATGCTCGATAAAGGTCTCTAAAGAGGGTAAAGACGAACGTATAGAGATAGACTTGTGTGGACAAGATGATGGGTCGCAAAGCAAAGTTGGATTTATCCTTGAGTCTTTCTCCAGCGATCCATATAGAAATAAGTGCAATCGTGACCGTACGTGTGATTGTCGTCTTGAGAATATGTAGAGCCGTATTGGTCTTTTCGTCTTGACGTGTAGCTATTTCTCGAATGACTTGTCCAAGTTGAGTTGTTACTGATTGTATATCTGGGAAACAATCTCGGTCGTCGCTGTCATTAAACATGAGCGACTTGTGCATGTTTAGAAAGGATTCGACAAATTGAGATATGAGTGTAATAGGGGATGGGTCATCATTATTGGGCTTTACAGAATTCAGCTTCAACTTTGAGTAAAAAGATTTTAAATTGTCTCTTGCTACTGTAGAAGGATGTTTCACTGCTAGGCTATATTTCCAACAAATATATGAGAATTGCAATCAGATATATATATTTTCAAGAATTTACCTCATACAATAGTACCAGACGACGTCGATAGCATTACCATTCGAAATAGATACAAGTGCGAGTTGACTATAGGGCTTTCCACTTGATCTAAACACGTCAACTGCCTTGAGATAACATGTCTTGGTCAATTCCCAATACTCTCTGTACTTTTTGTTTCTTGTCTGTGTAGCATGTTGGGCATGATAACGAGACAGGTCACCCAAGCATATATAGTTGAATTGTAATAGATGGCCCAACTGCTCTTTATCATGATGTTTGAACAATTCGATACCAAATACCTTTGTGTCTTCGATATGATATGTTGATTTGATATTACTGTTTAATTCTCGGTAAAAATTAAAAGCTGTTTCGATGCGTGAGAGCAATGTCTTCTCTAGCCCCTTGTCATCTGGTTTGTTACGCAACTTGCTGCGGACACTCTCAATGTCGGCATAAAAGATATATCTCCAGATTTTATCTTCTATATGATGCTTTGTGGCGTAGAGCAGGTCAATATCAAACATTTGTCGATATGTCTTTTTTAAGCTATAACAAGTTAAGATCATGTATATTTGTTATGAATATTTAGCTCACCTTTGACGAACATATCCTATTTCTTCCTCTGTTGCAGCTATTTGTTCTATGGCAATAGCCTTTGCTACGCGGTCTTTTCCTTTATTAGGTACACTTGAATAATTGATTATAAGCTGCTGCTGAAGTTCCTTCAGCTGTTTCTCCAAAGCATGAGCTTCACTATAAGAATATAAGTAAATATGATTTTAAATAATAATAATAATACATTACCTTGTAAGATCAGTCATGCTATAATTAGGTTCTTTATCAACTATGGGAATATCATTTTTATTGTCATCTTGCTTTCTTTTATTTCTTGGACGACGTCTTCTCTTGTCTCCTCTGTTATTGTTAAAACGTTGGTTTCTATTTAACTTTGACTGATCACTAGACTGCATAGTAGTTGATTTGAAAATCTCATTATTCAACTTGTATGTTTTAGCTTAAGAAATAACCAAAGGGATTATATAGAAGTATATAAAATATATAAAAAGGTATCACTGAATTATATATGAATAGTATGCACAGAAATAGAGTGAAAAAGAAAGAAAAAGGGATATATAAAAAATAAAGGCAGGCTTGTCATATAGGTTAACCATTCTACATTTATTAGCCAATCAAAACATTTTAATCAACATTGCTTCTTCTTCTACGACGTTTGTAGAATAATACATAAGCTGCACTTGTCTATAATACTTTATTAAATACTGTATATTGTTATTATTATTGTTACCTTGATTCTACGTTCGTCTATTTTTGTAACAGAGGTGTCATCAAAGTCATACCAGTGCTTGTCTATCGCATTTTGAGCATAAGCAGTGTCTATTGAATTAAATAAGCGGGCTACTATGAAAGCAAATGTGCAACATCAAAAGCTTACAATGTCCTCCACCCATATCTCCATAATGATTATCTATAGCATACAAATCATACATGAGTCGATCATCATCCTTGACATCAATCACATAATCTGTCATGTCAAGACCAGATATAGGGAAGTCTACAAAGGTATTTAGCTTATTACGCCACATCCTTACTTGACTAAACCGCTTTAGATGAATAACCATGATCTCAGGCAACCTCCAGAGATCAAGTTTCTTGGTTGCCCTCTGTTGCTTTTTACATCTCGGACAATACCATAGATCGTCATCCGTCAGATGCTCTTCCTTTGTAAACTCTCGTAAACAGGCATAGATATCAGGTCGATCCTGTTGATTTCCATTGGCGAGATTATCAAAGGCTCTCCAAAGACCAGTGTTTATCGTCAGTACATCGGGGTTGTTCCTTTTTGGAGCACTTCCAAAGATCCCAAATGCCTTTTCCTTTTTCCATTGGGTCAGTACTGCCTGTCCCTGCTGAATGGTATTTGGGTCGTGTTCATCTGGCATGAAAGAAACATCTGTAGGTGGTTCTAGAAGTGGGAAATGGGTGTCTGCTGATTCCTTGTTGATAAATGTCTTGATCGTAAACATATCTTGCTCTATCGGCATTCCATCTTCATTGATCAATGTCTTGGCTGTGTATCGTTGAACGCGGAGACTAATGGATGTGTACAGATCAGGATATCCCTTTGATGTGTCAAAGGCAAGAATAGAAGGATATCCAAACATATTGAAATGAGTGTTATCGTTGTCGATGAGTTGAAAATATACCGGAAACAAGATCCAGCTGGGATCAGGGTAGGCAAAGGGTATCTCGTAAATGTAAATGATGTCGGTAGGTTGTATAGCCGAAAGAGGATCACTATCCTTGTAGAGCGTACATATCTTGCTTTGAAACATGCGAGTAATTAGGAACTACATACTCCAAGTAAATAATAACTAAGGTATAATGTGATCTTTTTCTTACATGTTTACTATCTTTCAATTTATTCATAATGGCTTGCTTCAGGTCAGCAATCGTTCTGCTTTGCTTGGTCAGAGACACTGTAAACTTGCATTGTCTTGGTTTATGATAATAGATAAATGTGATATTTAATTTACAAATGCTGACTGGAATCGGTAAAGATAAATGCATGAACGGATCAAAAGTAATAGAGACCTTTATTAATACATAATAGGGCGTAGTGTAAAAAGAAAGAGGAAAAGGGTTCATTGTGTGTTATTAATATTTTATATCTATTCTTACCTTATTACATTCATTACATCTCAACTTGTTCTTAAACTGTCCTTGGAACAAATCGACAATGACTGAGTTATTTCTTGACTTGTGATACTTCCACAGTTGATCTGCAATCTCTTCTTGTCGAGATTCATCCTCATAATCGTGCATCTGAACATATGGCTTATGATGTACTCTATTCATATCTTCGTGTAGTCCATCGAGTAAAAAGCCAAGGAACTCTTGGGAATCTTGTTGTTCGTATCCACTAAAATGGGAATTGAACCTTTCAAACGTTTTCTACATGTTAAATCGACAATGTATAAATAATCATTCGTCTTACTCTTATGCATACATACTTTAAATTCATAGGGGGATATCGACGAACTATGCCCTATACGCCATATAGACTTTATCAAACTTGCATATGATTCAGCTAATTCACCTCTTAGGCCAAGTGGATTGTATCGATTGATGTCCTTCTTGTACAAATCTTTCAAGAGCCAATACGTTAATTTTGGCGTATTGCTAAGACACTGAATAGCTGAATTCATGTAGCATGTGTTTCCTAAATTATTTAAACCGCGCAATCCTCTTGTTACGGTCGATACTGTTGTTGACTCAGTCTTGATAGCCAAAGAGTATCTCTTTTCGTCCTTGTTGGGCAAATAAGTTGTGATGAGAACATGTGTTGGTATCGTGGAAGGATGAATCGTCTTGGCAGCCAAGGTATCAAGGAGAGATTCAGTAATGAACGTATTGCTTTCGATCGGTCGTTTCAATATCCAAACACGACTGATGGATGCTGACAGGTTGAGTGCACTGACCAGTGCTTGATAAAAGTCCTTGACCGTGGCTCCACAATCTATATTGAACGTTTTCCTTTGACTTGGCTTTTGGTGCATCTGGTAGACTTCAAAATGATATAGGCTTTTGACACTTCTTTTGACAATAAATCTCTCGTCATTGATTCCATACCACTCCATTAAGCTTTCCCAAGCTCTCTTGGGTAAAAGAATATAATCTTTTCCACATATTAGATTTCCTTTTACTTTGTAATCTTTATCAAATAATGACGAATTGTCAATAGTTGATAGTCTGTCGACATCTCCTCGACAGTATGCTTTGAAGTCGTTGTACCATTTTGTTGAAATGAGGAACCACTTTTCCTCTTGTTCTAATCTTGTTGAATTCTTTATTTCTTTAATATAGTTAAATTGGTCTTCTTTTGACAGTTCATATTTTTGTTTTTTATAATGTTCATCTCTTGTTTTCATAGAATCTATTAATCTCTTTCTTTTCTCATTCGTCATTTTTATAATAATAACAATAATAATAATAAAAAAAGAAGGGCTATTTTTATTTTTATTTACAGTTGCTTGAATGTATCAATAAACCTTTCAATCTTTACACGTAAACTGTTATCCAAGGCTTTAATCTTTCTACCAGATTTAATTTCCTTATCCACGATATAATGCGTCATCTATCATAAGAAGACGTTTGTTTATTGTCATTATTTATTTATATATTATTCTTACCTTTCTTGCCATGTCTTTAAATACATGTTTATCTCCTTTCCATAAGCATTGTTGATCTGCCAAACTTAGATACTTTGTAACCACTTTACCAATTTCATTTTTTAATTCAACTTCACCAAGTCCTTCTTTTTCTTCTTCTGCTTCACTTGCTTCTGGTGTAGATGTCTTTTCTGTAATATGATGTGGTGTTGGTGAAGGAGGCAATGGTGAAGAGGATACAGATGGAAGTGATGGAGGCGGTGGTGGAGGTTGAGGTGAAGCTGTATCTAATGGAGGAGGAGGTGGCGGTGGTGGAGGCTGAGGAAGAAGAGAAGTTTGCTCTACTGGTATCTCCCACTGGACTTGTTGAGTAAGCACATTATAATAATAAAATGTCCCATCTTCATTCATGATCAGTTGCCAATTGGCGGGTAATGGCTCTTGTTGTTGTTGTTGCGGGTAGTAATAGTTATAATAATATTGATAATAGTAATAGTTATTATAATCATACAGATCATATTGTTGGCTATGTACAAATTGTGTATTGTTTTTTACAGGTATATCATTTGGCTGTAATGATGGATACTGCAGTAATCTTGCCAGACCTTCATATGTCACACTCAAGGGAATATACTCATAATAGTCCTCATCTGGATCAAATAGTTCCCTTGTGGATTCAATCCTCATCCTCTTTTTAAACAGCTTATGTTTCTTTGGTTTTGTATGTTCTTCTTTTGTGTTTGCAACCGAGTGACTTTCCTTGGCATTTGCTATGGGTTGAATTATTGGTGATTGTTCACTATCGCTGTGCACATGATCTGTTACTTCAGCGTGTGATCTTTTAGGAATACGATAGACACTCTTCAATTGGCCCCATTTGTCTAATAAGCCGATTGACAATTGACGTATCGTATCATCTTCGTGCTCAGTAAACTTGTCGACAATATCAAACAGCTTGCAGTCTTCAAGTCCGTTTCTGTTGGCAAGTGGCAATTGTTCCAACACCTGTAATGTTTTACATACAATATCGTCATCATGTTTCCATTCACTCAGCCAAAACTTGAACAGTTTGAGGCCGTGTAGCCTGACAATCATTTTCAGAATCTCTTTTCCATAAGAATTGTGTGGATTTGTCAGCTTGAGCCGCATTAGCAACTTGTTCACCAATCGAGGCTTTCCAACAGAATTTAGCATCTTTTTCACAAACGCTTGTACCTTGTCTATATCCTGTAATGGTTGGATCTTTTGAATATCAATTTCATCATCATCCTCTGAAGAATAGCTTGAGGTGTCTGTTGACATTCTTTCATCTATATCGGTTGTTGGTATTGTTAATGTTGTGGTTGCGCCGATATATCCTTTACAATTGACTTCTCCACAGAAACATGTCTGGGCTACAGCACCATAACGCTCAAATTTATAATCAAAGGTCAACTCTTCGCCAGCTTTGATATCTCTGTTTGTGAAGATGCCAATCCTCATCTTTTTTCCAATAACCCATTTCTGCGTCACACAGTTTGGACGGCACGAGTGATTCATAAATCTGGCCAAGCAGCCCTTCTTGGTAGCGTCAATCACTTCATCATTCTTGAGGGTCATAAAATAATAGTGTTTGAATCCTTGGGCATCGTATTCTCTTGTTCGTCTTAGGAATTCGTTTTGAGTAATGACCTCTCCGACATATTCCATAATGAATGAATTACTAATGCGTGAAGATGTCAGTTATGATACAATGTGTAACTATCATTTAATACCATTTTAAGTAATCTTTACTTTGATAAATCAGTAAGTGCTCTTAGCCCATAGCCCTTCTTTTCAGTCTTTATGACATCTACTCTAGCATATTGGCCTAGTTGAAACCGTCTGTTTCTGCAAAAGATACCACAGGGACAGTCTTGAACCATGCATTCCATAAACATCATGCGGTTAATGCAAGCAGTATCATCACCACAGGCCTCAGAGGGATTGTCCTGATCTGGGTCATATTTACATTCACATGGCATTGATTCTTCTGCCATTGACCTGCCTGTTGCCGAACCGATATATATATTTTCTGAAATATTCTCATACATTTCCATGGCTTCGGCTGTGGCAGAGGGTAGTTGTTTGGTATCGATCATTTTCACTTGTTGGTCTCTATGGTAACTAGATTTCATTTTCTGGATGCTGTTGTCATCATCCATTATATCTATATCTTCTTCTTCTTCATCTGAAGTAATCGACTTTTCATATTCGGCCACATAACCTTCTGATAGCCCTTCTTTTTCTCCCTGTTCAAGCGTAGTAAGATCATGCTCTTGCTCAAAATTTTCTTCTTGTTCAGAATTATAATAGGCATCATCTTGTTCCTGACTTGCACAAGTTGAAGTAGTAGCAGCAGTACTGCTCGGAGGCCTCTTTGAACCAAATTCAAAGTGAAATTCAAACATGCTTGTCTTGACCACGATGGACTGGTGCTCTTGCTCTTTAGTATTCTGTTTCATTCTATCCCACATTTTTTGTGAAGTATTTGTAGAGGAAGTAACTTGAACAACATTCACTTTTGAAGGATTACAAGGTGTGTCCAACACTTGAAAAGAATGGGTGTTATTAAAGGTTGAGTCGTCATTCAACGTCATACCTGAATCTACTACTTTAATTTTTGGGTGATCTTTAGTAATAAAAAAGGAAAAGACTGTGAAGGTCAATAACCATCATGTTGTTTAATTAATCATTACCTTTACTTTGACACACAAACAAACACAGGTACACGGACGTATACACACGCACACACACAAACAGATAGAAAATAAAAAAAAGAGAGAGAAAAAAGAAAAAAATAAAGTAGGGCGAGAGAAAAGGTTTTTTTTTATTTCCCAAAAAAATCTTTACCCAATGGCTATCCTTAATTATCTACTTTAGAACGGAATAAGAAAGCTTACGTTATAGTCAACACTTTCAATTTCCTTTTCTTTTTCTCTTTCTTTTAATATGTATCAGTGTGTGTATAAAGAGAGATACTTTAATTTCAGCCAAGATATATACACATTATGAATATTTATTTGTCATACCTTCTCTTTGTACATCTACAGTGTTGCCATGGAAATAAATAATGATCATTTGGTGATCATGATCAGTGACATTAAAACTGTACAATAAAAGCAAGTCACACATGCTCACAAATATGCAAGTTGTGCCAATGTCACTTGCTCAAAGGACCGTTACAATCTATCTTTTGATATGCCAAAGACTATATATGTGATGGCTAACATTTCTTCAAGTACATTGCATGCACTTCAAGTAAAAGATGTAAAGTGATAGTAACTTGTTGTATTTTCTGGGAATAAAGGCTTATAGCTACAAATCTGAAGCAATGGTAGTTATAGAGGCACAGCTAATATTTATACTATCTATCATCTTAATTTTTCTAGTTGTGCATATTTAAAGCCTACAGAAAAAGAAAGGAGTTTTTGTCTTTGCTTAATGTTTATTAAAAGAAGCTTGTATAACTGCAAATTACTTTTGCAAAGTACTAGCTTTCATACTGATATTGCTTGTATACATGCAATAAATGAGTTTAACCTATCTTTTAACATCTTGTGTTGTTTATATGCTAATCTATGGCAAGTCAAGCCTTTATTCTGTGCTAAGGTTAGTATGGTATCTAAAAAAAAACGCCCGAAAGCTATATTTAGACGCGATTTGCGGTATTAAAAGTCAAACTGCAGATACTAGAAATCCCACTATGGAGCTTATGGATGCTTTTCACTAAAATGCAAATATTGGAAACTACTTGATTTAATCTTTAGAAAATGAAATAACTTTTATTTGATAGTAATAAAGTAACTACAGAAATGTTGCTCATTATTCTTTGGTTTCTTTGCGTTTTTGTAATGCAGTAGCTACAGTTCTTTCCTATCCTTCAAGTGGCCTACCTAATCCATTCTTTTGCCTTGTTCAACTCGTGCTTGCTTAAACTTGGCAACAGAGTACATTGCTGCTTCGTAGGCAGCTTTGCTTTCACTTGCTTTACTTGATGATGATTTATTCACAGCGAGACTACTTATTCTTTCTTTGGCTTCACCAATCGCTTTCACCCTCATTGGTTGGCCAAGTGTTTCTGCAAGCTCCATCAACCACTCATACTCGCGAGTTTTCTGCTCATAAATCAAGTCGAAGAACAATAAACTACCTTAAAAAAGAATGCTACCTGGTTTGTTGGAAGAATAGCCCGCTTTGGATGTGATCCCTAACGACATCGTCCTACATACATATTATTTTAGGATGTGCCCTGTCACTCAAGTTGTGGTCTCTAAGAACACTGTACATATTTTATGTCAAGGTTACCTCTATCCACTACTTGCGATGTCGTCAACAAAACTTTTCAATGTTTGACGCTATGATAAACTTACTCAGGAGCCGAAGTATTTCCATGTTACTTGATGTAGAATACAATTTTATAAGATGACCATCTTGATTTGTTTCTTTTCGAGAAGAAAGAGATAAAGAAATGTGGTTTTTGCTTTATTCTAATTTTATGTTGTCAACTTGATCAACAAAGAACCAAGAACAATTCAAGTGTAGCACAAACACTTCCTATATGTAATGGATTACGAACTAGGCTTTCCATACCGCCTACTGTCAAGAGCCTTGCTGCTTCTCCAACAAAATTTGTGCCTGCTTTGGCTGGTATGATATCTGAACTTGAAAAACTTTGTAACGAGCACAAAGACGATAAAGCAAAAATGCCTAGACGCTTTTCGTTAACGCCCACACCGTCTATGCATTGGCGATATATTTCTATAAATGCAAAGGCGTTGCAATCAATTACGAAGCATAAGAGTGATGGCACGTACGAAGGCAACGTAAGCTTGTTTTATTCAATCTTTAACTTCAAGAAGTTTGGCTGCGAAAGCCTAAACGAAACTCTTGAAAGTCAAAACAAGTTTACCTGTTTCATTCAAACAGATGGTTTTAGCGTATGTTTTGCTTTTGCAGAAAAGGCAAGAGAAGAAAAAGCGACAGCGCAGCCGGGTTTGGAAGGCTTTTCTGACCAAAAAATACAAGAATGTTTTCAGCCCTGTGCTGTAGATCCCGGAAGACCACATGTATTCACAGTGACTATGCAGCATGAAGGGAGCAATCTAGAAACAAGAAGATGTAGCGAAAAAGAGAGGCAATGCTACAGTGATGCGAAAAGGAGAGCTTGCCAGATAGAGAAGCTAAAACTAAGGACTGGCATAAAAACAATAAAGACAAGTTTCCCTTCGGCAAAAACTGTCGACATGGAAAAGACAAATACATATGTCGCAGATGCTCTAATCAGTATACCTCGCTTATTCCGTTTTTACGATGAAAAGTAAGCACTATTTCGTTTCTACGATTACTAAGGCAGATAAAGGTCAAGTGCAGAAATGGCCAACATATTGATTAACGAAGGAAAAAAATACAACAAAACAAAGCAGAATCGAAAGCAGCGCAAAAAGAAAAGAAAGAAGAAACAAGAAACAGCCAAATGTAATTATGGCAATAGTGTTTAATGTTTAAAAGCTATTGACAATGATATAATTAGGCCATCTGCTGAAGAAAAGGAAAGAACAGCTCGGAAAAGTAAGTTTCAATATTCCGATTCACTTCCTCTGGTTGTTTTTGGAGATGGCGTGAAAAACAAAGATACTACTTCTATCAGGGGTCATGTTAGCGGCGCCGCGGGGATACTACAGAATGCTCTGGTTCGCATAGATGAATTCCGAACATCAAAGATATTCTTATGAAATCAGATTGATAAAGTCAATGTTATTTAATGGCAATATTGGTCCATCAGCTATTTAGGTTTGCAACAACTGTAAACAGAAGCGGCTGGAACAAAAGAAGCTCTCGAATGGTAAAAAGTCCCATAGTATATTAGATCGCAAAATCTGCAATATACTATGGAACAGAGATATAAATGCAAGTAAAAACATGCTTGATATCTCTTGCGCCATTTGGAGAGGTGAAGGAAGACTTTCGGTTTTCATTAGAGAAATCGTCGTCGAGAACACGGTTCCCTCCAACAGGGTTTATATATATACAAGTAGGTGTTTTATTCAAACTCAATATAGCATACTAAAAGGGTACGAAACCCAGGTATATATGACTGTAAAGCAACAGCTATTTTGTCGGAAATTCATTCTAGTAAAGATCACAGTGTTCAATCGGGCAGCATTTCATTTCTTTAATTTAAGTACTAATGTAAGATTAAAGCAGACGATTACAACTTTATTATGAATTAACCTCTTTTTTAAAAGGGCTTTAAAGAAAAACAATTTAAAGAAAGCCTTTGGAAAGAAGGTTATACTGTTTGTCAACTATTATTATATAAACTAACATCAACTTGTAGGCAGATGTAAATGAAGACAATTTAGGACCATTCAACTTGTTGATTGAAAAGAAACCATTTAAAAACAATGCATATAAATCAGCAAAGAAAAGTAAAAACCTTAAGCAAATCTTGGCCATGGAAAGAGAGAGACAGCTCGCTTTAGATATACCCACCTGTAAGCATAGAATGTTTATACATATAAATATATGCTTATACATAATATATAGATGAAAATATAGAGTGTCCACCCTCTGTGCTGCCTCAAAGAAAGTATTGTGACATTACAGGATTAGATGCTAAATACACAGATCCAAAGACAGGACTAAGATATCATAATGCAGAAATATATCAATTTATTCGCACTTTGGGGGTTCCTAATGTACAAGCTTATTTGTCAAGTAGAAATGCAGCTGTTGTTCTTAAATAAATTCATCCTCATCATCATTATCACTCATTCCCTAGTGTGTGTGTGTGAGATATATATATGCCCAATGTACTATCATCTACTCTTTACCATATTATATCCTGCTAATGATTGCTCAATCAAATCTCGCATATCTTCATTAACCACATGATCTAGAATAGTGGAACCTTGATTATCTTTAATTCTAGTTTTAATAAGTAAAAAGATGTGTAGACTAGGTAAACATGAAATACCTTGGATCTGCACCTGAGCCTAACAATAGATCAACCATATCCAAAGCAATATCGGGGTCATCATCATATTGTGCAGCTAAATGTAGTGGTGTTTTGCCTTCTTTGTTCTTTCTGTTCAAATCAATCGATGATATGTGTACTAGTAACTCGAGGCAATTTTTAGCACCAAACTTGGCTCTGCATCCATCTGATCTTAGATATCATTTCCTTTAGAGCTTATGTTACTTACGCGTAATGACAGGCTGTATCACCAAGACCATCCGTATAGTTAATATCAAAGTCACCTTCTTTTAGGATATCTTCCAACATTTCGTCTTGATCATTGCGACATGCTGCGAGCATAAGATCGTCTTTGTATATACAAGTTTGCCTTGGTTATTGTTATTATTATTGTTGTTATAAAAGGACTCATACCGTTTGTTGCTCCTTCTTCGTCATTCATTTCAAAAATATATATGCAAAAAAGACGAAAGAAAAAAAGATTTGTAATTTCCTTTTATAGAGTCACTGCTGGATTTTATGTGTACGTGAAAGAATGTTTTTGTTATTACTGCTCCCCATTGACACATGTAGTTTGGATATAATTGAGTGAAAAAAAAAAAAAAAAAAAAAAAAAAAAAAAAAGAGAGGGACTTATTGTTAAACGTATACTTGGGATATCATTTTCAGTCGAGGCTTGGTGTTTAAAAATATATATTAGGGTAACCTTCTCAATTTATCCGCTCTTCTTTTTTAATTTTCTTTTTCTATTCATAGTAACATGAGAGACCCTTATAGAACTACAAGAAAACAAGGTAAGAATATACAGAAATAAAGAGAAAGAAATGCTAATGTAGAGTAGATGATTCAGCTAAATATGAACATGACGACTTTAATTCAAGATCACCATCAGAAAGCAGCATGACTCGTTTATCAACCGCACCTAAGCCTGTATACCAAGAAGACTATGACTATTATCAACAACAGGATCCATATGCACCCAACAGACAAAAGAAGAAGAAGAAAAAGACTAATATGGAACACTATTATGATTCAGAAAAGAGAGCCAATTCATATCTACCTTATTCACATCATAAAAGAGATCCTTATGACCCTGTTGAGCCCATCTATCTTGATGAAGAATTACCCAGTTTCAATTCACCCGGACATCGTGGACCGGTAGGATCTATCCTTCAGGATAATATTGCTATGGAAATGGTCGAACAAGATGATTTGCATAACAGCACTCCACACAAAAATATCAATTCTACCATTCAACCCTTGACACCGACCAAGAAAAAACGGTGGTGGACACGGCTTGGTATCAGTGGTCGAAAGCTTGTGTTTATTGCCTTTGCATTCGTTGTAGTCATCGTTATCGTTTGGTATTTTGTGTGGCCAAGGACACCGACGTTACAATATCAGGGCGCAGCTTATGATGGACCAAAGCAAAATACGACTGATAATACGATAATAGCCAATTGGAAAGTAAACTTTACAGTTCTCAATAATGACAACTGGATTCCAACCAACATTGAAAATTTTGCAGTCACTGTGATAGATGCGAGTACGGGTGTACAGTTTGGTCATGGCAATTCAGGTCACTTGATGCTAAGCCCAAGGTCTATTGATCAAGTTATTACGATACCCATACAGATCAACTATACATCAAGTGGACCTAATGATAATACATTCCAAGACTTGTATAGTGCTTGTGTCGTCAAGGTATCTGATCCCAATTCGACTAACCAATCCCTTAATATCAAATTCCGCATTGTCTATTATATTGCAGGAATCGTTTGGCACACAATTGCCACAGTAGCACCTACAACCAATTACTTTCAATGTCCTAATGCTAATTAATACATTTATAATACCCCCCCCCTTCTTCTCTCTTTTTTTTATATTTACTGTATTTCTTGTTTCCTAGATTTCAACCCCTCCCAAAAAAAAGGGTCTATTTAAAGTAGTACGAAAATAGACAGTGCATAAAATAATAAAGGGAATGATCATTTTACTATTGGACCTCTTAAAAAATTTTTTTTCTAGTTTTTCTGTTTTTCTGTTTTTTCTTTTTACATGTAAAAAAAGATGCATGGATTTGGAAAGAGTCTAGAATTAAAGATCAATGTCTTATCAGATGAAGTCGTCTTGCTTGGTCAACCACAGGAAGCAGCAGGGAAAATGCTTCAGGGTACTCTATCCTTGAATGTAAATGAGCCAATCAAGGTCAAATCAATCAATTTATCCTTTATCGGCAAAATGAAAGTATCTTGGTCTGAAGGTAGATATGACAAAAAATGTATTCTCAATTATTTAATAACTTCCCCTTTCTTATAGGTGTTGGACATCAACAGCATTTTCATAAACAAGAACGCACCATCATTTCACATCATTGGGAATTTGTTGGCAATGAGCAGAAAAAATCTCAAGTGTTGAATGCCGGGAAATACAATTGGGTATTTGAGCTCATGTTACCTGGTGACCTACCACAGACCCTCGACTCGGATGTAGGTAGTGTAAGCTATAGACTAAAAGCGACAGTAGAAAGAACAGCCTTTGTGCAGAACACAGTCAAGAAGAAAGTCATCAAAGTGCTTCGATCTGTGTTACCTTCAGAGTTTGAATTGATCCAGTCACTAGAAATTCACAACACTTGGGCAGAGAAAATGGTTTACGATATCAGTGTTCCTTCAAAACTATACGCATTCAATGACAAAATACCCATCACTTTCAAGATACTTCCTATTGCCTCTCAGCTCAAGGTTCATGCTCTCATGGCCTCTATTAAGGAGTATTGTACCTATACAGCTAACGATCATACCAAGACAGACACACGGATCATTCGTCTTATTAGACAGGACAATCCCTTTGTCGAACCGATTTCGGTCGAAAGACCGACGTGGGAGAAGACACTGCCACTAGAAGTACCCTCAAAGTCACCCATGGTGTTTGCTGACGCTGACAGTGACATGATTCGCATTCGACATAGACTCAAGTTTGTCATCTCTCTTGTCAATGCAGACGGTCATATATCAGAACTACGCTGCGCAGTGCAGATCATCATTGTCGAATCATTTGTTGCCGCACAAGAGATGACAACTCTCCCTGCCTACGACGAGATGTGGCGATCAGTGCCTTACGATCCGTCTGTCGTCGAAAGACTAAGGGCTCGTTCGATTTCTGAGGCCGGCAGCAATGAGCCTCCCCCTCTGCTTCCTGAGAGTGATCGAGAACCGGTCACTATCAGCGGTTGGTCTCGTCTGCTGTCCGTGTCGCAATCAGCCGTGCCTACTGCTGTATCATACGATCAAGTACCTCATTCACAGCCTGTGGCCATTCCAGGATCGAACAGTGGAAGTAGACATCACTCACGACGACCCTCGGTTGACGAGCAGGACTTGGCCGACGTGCCACTGAGCGAGCTACAGAGAGAAGATCGAGTCGAAGAAGGACACCATTGGTGGGACGAGGTTGATCTCGGCAAAGTACCTTCGTACAGGACAGTAGGAACCAATTTATTCCCATATTCTCTTCCGCCTGCATATGACTCTGTTAACAATAGATTTGATCATTCACCAGCCAATCCATAAACGCTACGTGCATATGTATAAAGTTGCATTGCATTCTTCTCCTTGTATCATATACAACTATTATTACATTACCATTTTATAATCAATGCCCATATTACCCAATATCCCAACATAAATAAAGAGAGTATAAACTATGTTTTCAATTTGGATGTGAAACAGAAGGGAGACTCATAACGAGGCTTAGTGTTAACAGTCTTTAATATATTATGCGAGAGCAAAAAGGTTCAACCTTGCTACACTGCTACCGGATCTTTTATCTCCGGACCGAATTTCTAAGCACCATTGCCCGATGCGTCGGGGTTTATCTTATATTAAAGAGGGCACTTCCTAATTTTCTCTTTTTTTTTTTTCCGTCACAAAAAAAGAGAGTAGGTTCAGAATGACTTACAGGGGGATAAGTATAAAGCTAAGCTTTATAGTTTTTGTATAGTTATAAAACATGATCGGTTAGGCTTTGCAAGGAGTCAAAGAAGAACACACAACAAGCCGACCCACCAAGCCACGAAGGTACCACTTTCCTCGATAAAGAAGAACCCATGTTTTTTGTTTGCTGAATTGCGTGCGCTGCGATCTTGTGTTCCTATATACCCTCAACCAAAGTGTGCGCCCTGGTTTTTTTTTTTTCTGTTCCTGTACACACACATATACATGTATGTGCATTGCTGGGTCACTACACTATCTTCGGCTCCTGTCCCTACTGCTAATCTTGCTGCGTGGTGTGCGAGCTTATTTTGTGGAGTCCTTTTTCTTGTGTTTACACACAGGGAGATAGAATGATATATTTAGGAGTTTGACCTAAAATTAGAGTGTTTGCAATAAACTATTCAATTAAAATATTGTATTTTTACATACATCGTTGCATTAACACCAGCGATAACTGGTGAGGATTAGTGTTTGGTATATTCTTAAAGGGGTGACTACCCTCATTCCGTAACGATTTCAATACGTTATGAAAGCTTAGGGCAGACGCCGGAGCTCGATTCCATAAAGTTCCTTTGATTTCACTTGTTGTTTTCACAGTCTTTTTACAGTGTTGGTTTTTGTACCTATTTGAGTAGAAGATTAGTGAATAAAAAGTGGCACTTTTTGTCAAAAGTTTCAAGTTCTAATCTACAGGTAGGGCAAGTTTTTGATGCTCTGAATTCACCCAGGAAAACTACTCTAAACTCTTCTTTCTTCAACAGTGGGTCCGAACTTCTTCTTTAAATTATGCATGAGTCGTTTCTCGGCTTGCATACTATGTAACCATTTTCATTTTGATATCGTCATTAGTGCCGTTTGAATAATAATATATTACCGACATTGTCGTATTTACCCTATAAGCACTCTGTCTTTTAAGAATGAGCAACAGAAAGAAACTGACCACAAAACACGCCCATATAACGCGTCATACTCAATTCCTATTGGCCATATAGATACTCTTGATTGCTTATAAAATGATGTATATAATAATGAACTTTCTTTCCTCTTGTTATTAAAGAAATTATGTAGAGGCTCATCGACATACACCTATGTTCCTTCTTTATTGCTCGAGACATTTCACGAACAGGATTATTGCCCTGGCTCAGATGTCATGAGTAGGATCATGCAAAGCGAAAGGAATATTGACATTGTGATAAAATCTCTTGTTGGCAATCAAATGTCCAGTTCTATGTATTCTCGGGTACCGTTATTAATAGGTTAATGAGCCTGTCTTTAATCGTATATTTCAAATAAAGTCCTGTGCCTTGCTTGGATAGGGTATATTTCAATTTCCGCATTTTTTAGGCATTGTAAACCATGCTTTAGTCAGTCCTTATCACTATTTAATGAACTTCAACATGTTCAGGGGAATACTGAAAGGATCATTTCTTGACTCTATTTCTTTTTGCTCTTAATATTCTATACTTTGTAGTGAACAGACTCTTTTTCAAAAAAAAAAAGAGCCCTTGGCTTGAGATCAATGGCCATCTCAATAGCTCAGATCTCGCTATTTGATTGAACTTGAAAAAGATCCAACATGGATAATGCAAAAATCATACTTTCTCATTTTTGCCAGGGCAATGCAAATCAAAGCCATATATAGAAAAAATAAAGTTAGAAACTGCGGGAAAATCTCGAGTTCATGGTTCAGGAGCTCATAAACATAAGCCGTCACATTGGTTGTTGATCAATCATACGAGGAGAAAGGCGCTTTGTCTCTTTTTCTTTTTCTTTCTATCTTTTTATTAAACATTGTTATTATAAAAGCATATGACTGAATCAACAATGACTGCTAATAACAAGAACGATCAGAACATTCTATCTTTTGTTCTATTTGACGACGACGATGATGACGAACATGACTCATTTATTAATACAGATATATTAGACATTACTCAGTCACTTAAAAGAAGCTATGGTAAGAAGTGGTTTCTAGATACATTATGATGCATACTGAATCAGTCTGCAGCCACATACATTCATGATGACTCGCTTTCTCACGGTAATTGTCAGAGCGTTGGTAAATCGAATATAGTTTCATCTCACGCTAAACGATAACTAAAATAACTATTAGCCAGAACGAAAAAACCGGGTCGGAAACCAATGATAGATACAGATGAGGTAACGTAAGATAAAGAGATAAGGGAGGGAACTGTTGTGATCGGTAACCCCTTCTTTATTAATAAAAGGATGAAGAAAAGATTAAAAGAAAAGAGCAAAATAGAGCTGCACAAAGAGCATTCAGGGAACGTAAAGAGCGATACGTAAGAGAGCTAGAGAAAAAGTTTAAGCAATTCCAGGATAAACATGCTGCAGCTATTCACCAACTACTTCAAGAAAATCAATATTTAAGGTCCGTCATCTGCAGATTGGAAGTCGAGAATTGTGTGCTAAAAGGAACACCAGCAGATTCAGTGGATGGTGTCATCAAGGCACTTGAAAAGGCGCGCACATCCCTTCCTGTACCACCTCCACCATCGCCTGCTGCCTTTCAGTTATCGACTAAGCCTCCATTACCACCGCTTCAGATACGTCCCTCATCGATGAAGGCAGCGAATCAGAACATAGATGAATCAACTAAGCCAGCCAATAATAGTAGCAGCAGTAGTAGTAGTCATAGTAGCAACAATAATAACACTAGCAGCAGAAGAAACAATAGGAAGACTAATGCAAACCATCAGGCAAGGGTAGTCGAGACGAAGCTGGCTAGTGAAAATGCTACTCAGCTGAAAAAGACAACAACAACAACAACAGCAACAATAACAGATATCCCAGATCGAGATTTCACATTCTCTATTACTACACCAGCCCTCCTACGGGCAACCTCAGATAGATCGGCAGGTAATGAACAGGTCCAGGCAGTTCAGCTCTATCCAGATCACAGCCACCCAGCAAACCCGTTGTTCAGAAAGGATCGAAAGAAACAACAGCCAGAAAATAATAACCCAATAAACGAACCTGTTAATGATGATCAAGACAAAGGAGAGCCTTCAAGGACGGACGATGATGGCAATAATCAAAATAATGATCAAGAATTTGATAACTTTTTGAAACCATTCCTGGAAATTCACGATGATCTTTGCACAAATGGCATAGTTAACAGCAACACCAATAACAACAACGATAATAACAATAACAATAACAATAATAATAACAATAGAAACCCTACTGCTTTACCAACCGAAAGACGATCCAGCAATAATGATCGTTATCAAGAGCCCACATCGAGAATCTGGCAGAGAGTCAGTGAACATGCCAGTAATCCCAAGTTTAGTGTCGACCAGCTATTACACGCAGTTAAAAGATCAACTATGCTTACAGATGATAGATTGGTGTTGGAAGAATGGGACATGGAGCAGATGTTGGAGAACTTTTGAATATATGTCTTTTCTAATGTTGTATTTTTTAAAATAAAGTTCATATTTACATTAAATATGTGACTCTCCTTCAAACTATGTTCAAAGCAATATTAAAAACGTTTTTCTACGGTTAGCTGAAATTTGATTGTTTGCTAATAACAAACTTACAGACCAATAACTTTCTTTATATGTACGATAAGAGAATCTATAAAGAGAAAAGCTAACAATCATTTACAAACTAAGAAGTTTTGAAGGAGATTCAAATGAAAAAGACTTCCATTTTTGTCAATTCAATGAAGGAGTTATAGGGATTGGCTGAAAGTGACATTAGAGAAAAGAAAGCGTTTGTTTGACTCCAGAAGAGGCGGAAAATAAAATGCAAATGTGGAGAAAGGCTGCACCCTTAATTTTCCCACACTATTCCTTTGAGAACCCTGACTCATCCATAATATGACATAATATGAACCCTGTCGTCAGGGTCAGTAACCATAGTGAGCACACCATGAACCAATGAATGGCAGCAGCATTTGTTTTTACATATATATGCACATAGAGTCATTACCTTTATTGCTATTGTCTCATACGCTTTTTGATTAAGAGCCTATATGCAACAATGATGGATGAAAACAATCGGAATAATAAATCTCCTTTACCCCCCCTCAGTTTATAGACCATTTAAATTAACCATAAATAAATCATCATTTTCCCGTCTTTCCCTTTTCCTTTTTTTCTTTTTATTAAAAAATGTCAAAAGGAGTACTACAACTATATTATTCTCCCTTAACCCAAGTTGTCTTGCTTGGTTTAGTATGTTTATGCTGTCCAGGAATGTTCAATGCGCTTTCTGGATTAGGCGCTGGTGGTTCGATGAGTTCAAATGTAGGCTTGATCGATTCAGCTAATGGTGCTCTCTATGGCTGTTTTGCCATTGTTGGATTCTTTTCTGGTACATTTACAAACACAGTTGGTGTGAAGCACACATTGACAGTAATGTACACACACATTTTTTATTTTATTTTTTTTCCATTTTTTACTGATGCTATGTGACTAGATTGGTTCAATTGGCTATGTTGTCTATTCTGCCTCTCTATGGGTCTATGACCGAAAGCAAGTTTCGGGATTTGTTATTGCAGCAGGTGTTATTCTTGGTTGCTGTGCTGGTGTATTCTGGTCTGCACAAGGTTCAATCATGATGTCTTACCCTGAGGAGAAGAATAAGGGAAAATTCGTAGCCATCTTCTGGGCCCTTTTCAATGTTGGAGGTATCCTTGGTTCCGTCATCGCATTAGCACTCAACTTGGAGAACGAAGCAAGCGGTGGTGTGTCCACAAGCACTTACATTGCCTTTGTTATCGTCATGATCATCGGCGTCGTCCTCTCTCTAGCCATCGCAAGCCCCTCACGTGTGGTTCGACCTGATGGAACAAAAGTAGCTGTAGCCAAGGCCATGCACTGGAAAAAAGAACTCAAGGGTGTTCTTCTCGTCTGGAAAGAGTGGCGTATGTTGTGTCTTATCCCCGCCTTCCTAGCCTCCAACTGGTTTTACGCATACCAGTTCAAAGTAAACACAGTCTACTTTAATTCTCCGGCCAGAGCATTAAATGACACCATGTACTGGACACTTCAAATCATTGGTTCGCTTATCTTTGGATGTCTTCTTGACTTTCAGGGGCTCTCACGCCGGTCCAGAGGACTCTTGGCACTGGCCATTCTTTTTGTCGTTACCATGGCCGTCTGGGCAGGTGGCTTTGCGTTCCAACTGACATTTGATAATGGCTTCGAAAAGCCCATTGGCTGGAAAGATGCGGGGTTCGGTGGTCCATTCGTACTTTACATGTTTTACGGATTCAGCGACGCTATCTATCAAACCTACCTCTACTGGCTTATGGGTGCTATGTCCAATGACCCTTCTTTACTTGCTCGTTATGCAGGATTCTATAAAGCTACGCAAAGTGCAGGTGCAGCTATAGCGTTTGGTATTGATGCTGTCAGTGTTCCACTCAGGTGGGAGTGTCTCATCTGCTGGGTCCTCGTCTTTGTCTCTTTTCCTCTCATTCTTCTTGTGGCCAGCAGGGTCAGTGAGACCAATATGAATGATGAAAATGATAGCCTATCAAGCAAATCCATTGATAAAAAGATAGCCGAGGCAAAAGATATTTATTAACAATATTTACACATTTTATTACTATAATAGCCATTATTTAAGCCAATTAAATTGAATAAAGCTCTTTTCTTTTTTACACATGATGCCTGTTACTACTATTACCACTTCTCGTGAGTAATTCATAAATATCCTGCCGCACTTCATCTTCATCATATGCAGAGTAATTATCCTCATCCAAATGAAAATGGGTGGAACGCGAATGCCACGTGTTCATGGACTGAGTCGCAGAGACTGTGTCATCCACTGAACGGAGTCGATTGTTCCGAGAGATGAGGTTATACAAACGGAAGGACTGATTACTACTACTGCCTGTCGTCCTGTGATCACTGTTGATCATGCTTTCCGTCTCATCCACTTGACCATCGGAATTCTTGATATTGTAACCCATGTTTTGAAGAATTGCAGCCAGATGCTTCATGATATCGATATATTGTTCCTGGCTCAGAGGATCTCGACTGAACCGAGCAATCTCATAGCCTTGAACATAAACCGTCCCTAACTCTCGATCAATGAGCCCTTCTTGGATCAGGAATTCAATATACTGTCGTACAGGGCAATACGTGGGTCGCTTGTAACTCGGATCTATACTACAAGCTACATTCTCAACAATCGCAGGTGTTCTTGCTATTGCTTGCTTAAAATCGAGTCCTTCAAACAGAGGTGTGCCTTTGTATGACGTTAGTATATTTTTATACATCACCGCTTTCGTCTTCTTGCCTGGCTTGGCCCATCCAACGGCCTGTATGTCTTCAGGTCTCGGCTTTGCTTGGTCTCTGATCGCTCTTGTTTGTCCGAATTCATGCCAAATTTGAGAATAGACTTTCTAACAAAAGAACATCACTATGTTAATGTTTTTTTTTTTGGTAGATTCTGTTTCTTGATTGGAATATGTAACTTGGGTATATTTTGCATTGATCGTCTCACAGATATCATTCGACTGCATAAACAAACTACAGATATAAGCGCCTTTGAGGTCATGCTGTTAGTTATCTTTTATCAATTCATTCATGTAGTTTACCAACAACACATAGCTTCCTGCGACAACTGCCAAGTTGCGAAAGTCGAGATTTCCTGTTGACGTTCTGTCTGTTAGAGCTTGTATAATGACATCAGCTGCAGAGATGGCAATACATAGCGCACTTAGAGAAATAAGAAGGAATAAAGACGCTGTATAAAGGTAATGTGGCCACTTGGCAGAATTCATTTGTAAATCAAAACAAGGAAAAAAAAAGGAAAGAGAGGAGAGACAGACACAAACACTGATATCCTTTTTTGGCTTTTACGAGAACATTAAATCCCCGAAAGAATTTAAAGTCCTCAGCAAAAATTTAGTCTGTAAGTGTTTTTCAAAGATTCTATTTTGTACCTCATATAGTGACATTATTACTGCCCAATCGTTCTCTTGCATTCAAGAAGGAAGAGGTGATGTTAAATTCAATATTTGATTGACTGAGGCTGATTTCAAAACAGGGAAATGTTTGGTGAAATAAAAGATATAAAGACCTGACAGACCTACTGCCAAGGCTGAGAGTGTATCTCTCGATTTCACAGGTTGTCTTTTGGTCACCAAGACACATTTTGGGTTACGGCGGATGAAGGACCCATTGCTTGTGACATTTGTCTCTTTTCCTTTAACCATTCTTTTGTGAATGGGATGATCTAGCTTGCTGAAACAATACACGCATGTCTGCGAAGTCATGTTTTCGCTGGTGATACAGACTTGGGTTTCTTGTCCATGGAGCTTTTACTTCCAAGTTCCTCCATACCTCAGATACTTCTTAATTCTTGAGCCAACGCCGATTCCTCTATCGTCAATGAACATGATTGGTTTAGCTTTCGTAGCAGCATCTGCATATTAAAATATGACGCGATCAGGAATTATTATGTACACATTAATGGTAAGATTACCTCGTTGCTTTCTAACAAACCGTCTTTCAGATGAGCATATCTTATGTCGGTATTTTTTTGCTCTGTATTCCTAAAATTCTTGTATTGTTTGCTCCAGTTTTGGACTTGTAAGAGCTTCTGAAAACGGGACGATGCTGACACTGCTTGTTACAAATTTCTTGAACCTCTTCAACTTTTGATACCTCTTTAAGTGACATCTTTGACAGTTCTTTTTCTATTTCTTGAACTTTTTTTTCTTCTTCTGTTGCTCTTTTCTTTCTCTCACGTTTTTTTCTAATCTTCTGGTAACCACAACCAACGTCAATATCGGCTGCTTTTATTTTGAAGGAAGCCGGCAGCTTCAAAAAATTATTTCCTTGACCAAGTTCGTTATATCTTTCTACAACATTTGTTGCGCTATAATCGTAGTCACTTAAAGCTCTAGATGAAACTTGAATCTTGTAAGAGTGAGCCCGATCGTGTTTGTCATTGTAATGATTCCGTTATCTGTTCCAGAATAAATGACCTTTAGCTACCATCTACACAGTATTCTTCAACTTTTTGAACTTCGTGACCATCTTTCTTGATAGAAGTTGATCTTAAGGAACAACGGCTATTACATGATTGGGGCCAAAGCCAGTGCGCTCTAAAGAGGTCTGAGTAACCTATGTGCTTTATAAATCTTTCAGGCTGTATCACTTATTGACTACGAATGAACCATATTATTGCTCTAATGCCCAAGTTAAATACAATATTCTACAATGGGAATAACAATCTTTTTATTTTATTTGATCACAATACAAATTATAATCACCCTTGGACAGTACTGGGACCACACAAGGATATATATGGCTCAGTATCCTTTTACTATAGTGAGAAGAAGCCATATGTGGCAACTGAATAAATCAGAACCTGTTAAGAAAGCACATGTTTTGAAGTTCTTTGAGACAGAGAGTGCAGTCAGTATGTTTCTGTCGTGAATAGCTTTTGAAATACAGTAGCCCAAAATAGTCGCGTAAATCATTCAACAAGAGTGTCGGTAGCTTCTTTATCCGTAATACAGAAATATACAGGGACACCTTTCAAAGTGATTTTGTTTTTGACATCGTCACGGAGAGCCGTTAGCGTAGAGTTAGAAGAATTCCTAGGAACGCCTCGATATCCAAGCGATGAATTTTGTAAAGAACCATGTGAATATCTTAGTCATTACAGCTACTCGGGGGTAGGACGCTGACAACAAATGCCCTAAAAAGCAAGAGTTTAAGTTTGAGCAGTTATTCAATTGTTGGCTAGTTAATAAAAGTGAATGCTTATAGCTAAAGGAAAACGAGTGTCCTCAATATATATGTATTTGATAGGTTCGTTGGACTGTTCTTACAACAATCGGTGGTTAAAATAAGCTATTTCAATGTCTCTCTCTCAATTCTACGGCTTGAATGAAAAAGGTGGCAATATGTATGCAAAACACATATGAGATGATAATACGACGAAAAAGGAGAGAGAGAGAAAAAAGCGGCATATAAAAAAAAGAGGGAGGATAGGATGAATCTTATATAAAAAAGGGAGAATAAAGAAAAACACATAAGTGTGACCTCTTTTTTTCCCTCTCTCTTTCTCTATCTTTTGTTCATAATGTCGAAATCAAATAATGCAGTCAATAACATCGTCAGTAATCTCATGCGTGCAGCAGCTGGTGCTGGTGCCAGAAATGTATCAGATGAAGATATTGATAAATATGTGGCAGACTTGATATTAAAAGAAGCCGAAGAAAAACGTAAAAAGTATCAAGAAGTGGGCATACAAGCCTATCAGCCTGTTACGTAAGAAAGTAAATTACTCCTCTTTTGGTGTTTATTGAAAGCAGCCTATTAGAAGAAAGCCGAGACCCAATACAAGATTTTTACTTAATGTCGTAAAGGCAACTGATAGTCATAATCAAGCAGTTCTTCGTGCCAACGAAAGAAATATCAACAAATTAAGAAAAGATCGACTAAAAAGAGAAGAAGAAACAAGGAGATCCCATGAAGACAGTGATGATATTTATAAAAGGAAAAGAAGTAGTAGTGATGATAGCGATGATGATCGTACAAGTAAAAAGTCGAAAAGAAAGGATAGCTCGAAAGAGAGGCTACCAGAGAAAAAGGAAAAAATAAAGTACCGAGGAAGAGGTAAAGTTCGAATCGAGTGTCCTTCTATGGACAAGTATTTTTCGTCAGAGTATGACCCTTTATTGGATGCCGATGATGATGATGATAATAAATATATGACAGCAAATGAATATAGGAAAAAGCATAAAAAGAAGAAGAAGCATGATCAATAAATATTATCCACGGTATTTCTTTAAAACATTCTATATATAAAACCATGTTAGTGTATCTCTCCCCGTTAAATCTATGAGACATACTTCTAATGCTTCCATAATATCTGACCGATTGACAGCCGAGTGATTCTTCTTTAACGAGGTTGCTTCTGCTGATTTAGCGAGATCTTCCATAAAACAAAGAAAGTCCAAATAAATCTATACAATCTTTGGTTGGTCTGACCCTTTTTTCTTTTTTTTCTTGTTTATTACAAGCAATTCAACATTGGGTGCCAACTTCATTCCGCCTAGCTTTTTTGTAATGATCTTTCTCAGCTTTTCACGATCAAATTCGTCAGATCTCATGAATAAAAGAAAAAGGAAATACAGCTGACATTCAATGTGAAAAACTTTGTGTTTCCCTAGAAACTTGTTGATGAAATGCCAACTTGATGGCAAGAGAGTTTAGAATGCTACTACTATTAGCAATTAGCTCTATGACCCCTATTTCATTGTGGTAGCAAAAACTCAATTCTGCGGCTAAATCAGCAACTGGATGATCCAAGGCTCCTTATCCCCCTCTTCTTGACCAGGTCCTTCCAGTGTAGACATCGATATGCTTTCTGGATGTCCTTTCCGTTGTATGACCCTATATGTCCTTACCGTGGAAAATCGTCCATCATGTCTCCTCTGATCTCCCTATGTTATCTCCTTCATTTACTAGTCACAGAATAACTAAGTGGGACATACAAATCTATGAAAGCGCTGGAGATCTTTCTGTTTTAATTAAAAAAGGGGTGTTACCATAACATCTCATCTTTTATCCGATCAGTTACATAAGATGCATATGCTAAGACGGTTTAAATTGTCGAATTGATCAATAATTTTTTCTTTCAGCAAACCCTTCAAACACAACTTCATAGTTTATGATTGTCTTTATCCATATCTTTTACAAAACCATTATGAGCCCGTTGCTCGTGTGAAACTCGAGATTCTGTTGACTATCATTGGCTTATGCAGCTTTCTGGCTTGCAAAAAGGTGCGAGTGGGATTCTTTAAAAGGGATGTCATTTTAAATCGAAAAACCTATATGCAAGCTCTCTCAGCAGAATATATTCAACCATATCAAAAACTATAGTAACAAGACATTGTATGACAACTATAGAAAAATATATTGCTGATCGAGTAATACCAAGACGTATTTCTTAAAAGACATTGGTTAACAAGTTGTACACTAGTCATGAATCGTCTTACTTAAAAAAGCATAAAAATAGCCAACAAGAACGAAGGAAAGGATTACATGTGTCGATTTGACCTATTTTACACGTTATTCCTAAATTATTCGCACACTGATAAAAAAAAGATAATTTCAGACAACAAATAATGATAAAAGAGAGCCCATCAGAAGCAAAGAATGGGATATACAAAGAAATGACTAGTAAATCAGCTATTACATTGATATTAAATACTTACATTATAAAGAAGAGAATTTGTAAGAGAAAAACAGAGACAAGAATCGTTAGTAAACATGTAAAGAAATTATTAATATCTTATCTGAAGTGCATTAAATAAGGCTTGTGATAACCAGCCCGGGGAAAGATGAGGAAGAAGAAGCAAGCCAGAGAAAAGAGAAGAGAGCAAGAAAGAGAGCGGATAGGACCAAGGCTTGGTAAGAACCAAACTACCTCCAGCTAGCACCGGTACTGTTTTCGATTTTATGATCTATAATACTACATATTAGTTTCCTACAAGAGCAAATAATATAACATACCTTAGGACTAGCTGGGGAATAGCCGGTCTTACTTTTGGCCCAAAAGAGAAAAGAAAAGGAAGTCAAGATCAGACTACTTAAACAAAGTCTGTAGCAACTTTTTCAGTTACGTGTTATTTATCAATACTGACCACATTTATCTTCTCTTCTCTCAAAAAGACAGAATTCATTGCTTTTTTAATAATAAAGAAAGAATCGATAATCAACTAAAGTGTAATTATGGTTGGTTTTAAATTGAATGATTCTTTGATCTATTTTATCATGGCTACAAATATGTCGTGACCAATGATTGGGGAAATGAAATTACCTGTTAAAAAAATACAAAAACTCCGAGAATCCCTTAATGCAATAGTACAGCGGAAGATTTTCCATATTCACAAGCATGAATTTAAAGAGCCCCCCCCCCTCTCTCTCTCTCTTTCTCTCTTTCTCATTTACTTTATCTCTTTCGCTTCCCTTTCCTTTTTAATAGAAATACACATAAATGAAGATCAGCTCTCATAAAAAGCGTAACAATAAGCAATTTCATAAATCGATTTCGTTGATAGAAGAAAATGACAAATTAAAGGTAACCAAGACAACAGCAACAGCAAGAATAGCAAGCTCATGCTGTTAATCATAGGATGAATTAGACCAATTAAAAAAGGAAGCTTATAACGAGCTTCAAACACAAATAGATAGTTATAGCAATAGCTTCATTAGTCATATGCGGCGGATAGAGAAAGGTCATCAAGAAAAGGATGATGATCAAGTACAAGAACTTGTGGAACTATTTCGAACAGGTGGATCTATCAAGGACTACAGCGCTCTTGTAGAATGGGAGTTGTGCAAGGTAATACATACAAAAAGTGTGTGTGTGTGTGTGTGTGTGTGTATATATTAACAATTCATATGAAGCAACCGACGACTTACTTTGACAATCATGGTGAATGTGGGGATTTATGGTAAAAAAAAAACCGATCCTTTTATTATTGTTTTCTATATATTGGTCGAAAGGGTGTTCATGAGTTCCATCATGGTTCCTAATTTATCAATTAAATATATATATATATACACATACACACAATTGTAAACATACCTATACTAGGCGATCGAGTATCCCTTGAGTCCGAGGCGATGTTGTATAAAGAGTAAGATTCGGTTTGATCATCTACCACGCTCGGATGATTAGGTGAACCAAAATCAAATCCACTCGAAAAGTGATTCATATCCAATGGCTGTAAGGTAGGCATACCAGCTGTCATCTGTGAGAATACATCGTCTGTCCAGACTGTTTCGTTTGTACTATGTGGGGTATCATGATTTACTTCTTCTGGTGATCCTTCAGGTTGAGCGCCCGCAGTAATATCTGGCAACCCCTTTAGTCTTCTCCATGCATTCGTGCGGTTCACATCGTAGTTGATAGTAAGATACCAAAATTCATGAAAAAACTCTGCAGGCAATTCCCAATTTGCACTCATTGTAGGATCGCTACCGTGACAGACTGCACCGTTCAAAAGCATGGCAAAGCATCGATCATAATTCATGATATCTCGAAAGATAATCATTCTGTCTCTCATGTGAGGCGTAGGCACTAAATCAATGCGTGGGTCATGGGGAATGGCCAGCTGTAAGATCGTCGGCTGAAGTCGGGCTGCGGACTTGCCCACATGGGTCAGTGTGGATTGTACACGAAGTTGAAGACGGATGTGCTGGATGGCGCTTAGACTGGAAGGATCTCGTTTCTTCGTATTCTCTCGTTCATCTTTTGAATCGTCACGCATCCAATCATGCATACTCTCGTCATCCTCTACTTTTACATCATATTCGTCTTGTTCGTTCTCTTCTTCATCATCATCTACTGTTGATTGATATTCAGCATGCTGCTGTTCAGGTGAATCACCCTTGGGCACATTGGCAAAATGAGCAGCCATCGTCGGTTTGAGGTTGACGTTATTTTTTGTATATGCATTTACATAGGCCTCTATCGCGTGAGGCTGTGTCTTTGCCATTTCACTCAGTGCTTCCTCTGTTAGGTAAGGTGAGTGAGGGGGTATATGAATATGATGATGTAAGCAAACAAATTGAAGTGTAAGTACGACGCCCTTGAGATACCAATTCTCTGCACGATAGGCGTCCATCTTGCTCTTGGTCTGATGTAGTTCCTTAAGGGCACTATTTCGCTGCTCTCGTAACTGTCGAATCGTGCCTTCCAAATCGCGTAAATGCTTTTCCTTTCGTTCACGAAACGCCCTTTGTGCCGCTCTGTTCTGTGCCTTACGAAGCGCAGGTGATGCTGGATTGGGTTTTCTACCGGGCTTCTTTCTTATTTTGATCGGCTGTCCATTTTCATCTACTTGTTGTTGTTGTTGTTGTTGTTGCGGTAGAGAAGATAGGATAGGTGGTATATTGCTTACATAAATGGCTGCCATATTATTATTATTATTGTTATTGTTATTATTTTGTTGGTTCATAAAAGAAGGAAATGGTGTTTGTGAATTCCAATCTCGTTGTGAAAAATTCTCCATGACGTGTTTGTCAAAATGTTCAATAAAAGAAAAAGGGAAAGAATATATATATGCTTGAAAGAGAGAAAGAGAAAAGGGAAAAAAGTTACAGACAAGAAGAGAACGTTGTTAATAATTAGAATTCACACGTGAATTTATTTTCCCTTTCCTTCCCCTCCTTTCAATGTCGTACTTGGTCAATTCTGAAGTCAAATTGTATCTTTTTTAGTTCCTTTTTGGCTTTTAGATCGTCTTAAAGATTCTCTTGTTTCAAAATGAATATTGATTTAAAGGATGGTGTGTGTGTGGATATAGACATTGACTCATTGTATATATGGCGTAGTGACTGCTGCCAGTCGTTGTAAGTGGTGGGGGTGAGAACATTGGAAGTGTATTTTGCGGGGAATAACAATAAAAAAAGACAGAGCCAATTTAAAACCACAACAAAAATATGTGAAAGAGATCATTCCCACTTGCACATCCTCGCTTTTCCCTTCTTCTTTTACACTCTTTTACTATTTTGTTTGCCTCTTTTTTTTTTTTTAAAAAAAAAAGAAGGGCGGAAGGCACAAAAGGTTACATAACTTTAATTCTATTCTGCCAACTGTGAATGGTTGCCATGTTAAATCTCCTCTCCTAGGTACTCAAAACGGACATTTATTTTACCAGTTTATTAATGAGAATTGTGCATACAGGTTTTTATTATTATTTAAGATAACCAGGATGCAATTAAAGAAGCTGCCAGAAGAGTAGTCCAACTCATGATAAGTTTATGAGAATCGCTTGTATTGTTCACATTAGCTTCACTAGAAGGTCTAGAAGTAGCAGTAGCTGCCATGGATGCTGTCATTGAAGGTTTAATGAGAGAAGAAGCCGTGGTTGCTATAGAAAGAGAAGGACATGAGCTGACATTGAATTTGACAATGTTTAAATGGTTACCTAGTGAGGTAGACATAACAGAAGGAAGAACACCAGAAGAAGCAGATGCTGTTGCTGTTGCATCGCTTAAGCTAGTTACCATCGATGGCCTATAATTCATATATTAGTAAATTCAGAGGTATATATATTTGCTTTACCAATGAGCAGCAAAGCAAGCTTGTTCACATGCATCACCAGCATTTTGTTTTTGACATTGAACGACACAACCATTGGCAGTAGTAACTATGCATACAATGAATGGTGAATTTTTTTTTTACTGATTTCAATTACCGCATTTATCCAAACAAGGCTGATCTGCCGCATCACAATCACAAGCAGCCAAAGTAGAAGCAATCAAAGAGACAAGAGCAAGCAAGATGTAAATAGTGAATTTCATTATAAAAGAAAAAGATAAATATCATGTTAATAATAAAAAAGCGAGTGATATAAATACCTTTTTTCATGTTAATTAAAAAGGGATAAACAAAGACAATGATATATCTGATTAAGGAGGATGAAAAGAAGACGAAAGAGAGAGAGAGAGAGAGGGGGGGGGGCAATATGCAAATACCCAATAAAGAGAATCATTAAGGGTCTACTTTTTAATAGAAATATACAAAAAATAATTTCATTCCATTCAAACACCCCTTCTTTTGTTACGATAGACATATGCTCCCCTTTGCTATACATTTGAGTCCATCATATTTCACCCTGAAATGATAAAAAGAAAGAAAAAAATTCTTTTGCACAAGCTTGTAATAGACATGTTCATATAATCAAGTCAATGGCAAGTTTATATTTTTATTCCAATTGGGCAGTAAATAACAAAAACATACAAAGAAATTTAAAGCAATAATGACATAAAGCATATACAAAACCATAAAGAATATATATAAAGTAAAGCATAATGTATATAATCCATGTTGAAACTATTGGCAAAGATAAAATGCAGATGATCTTCTTTTAAAAAATAAATCACTGGAGGGATGCTCTGATTGAGGGGTTGTGGGTTGAGAAGTAGAGGACATGCTACTGTTTGAAGGACTCTGAATTGGACTGATCATCGTATTAAGTTCTGCTTGAACAGATTCAAGAGGAACATCATCCCATGACCAATTGGTCCAACTGACCAAGGATCGTACGTCGACCTTACGCTTGGCTGCCTTGATAAACAACTCGGGAGGACGAATCTTGTTATGGCGAAGGTAATAGCTCTTACAGGTTTCACACCAGTGACCATGACCACACAAGTTGCGATACCATTGATGAGTTTCACGCACACCGCAGTTGGCACACGATTTTTTCAAGTTGCGGGAAGCATCATTACTTTTATGACTTGATGGAGCATAAAATACCATAGGCAGTAGTTTTGTATCCTCTTGATTTACTTTTTCAAGCAACTTAGGACCAGGACGATTGGCAACAATCAACCGAAGCGGTCTAGATTCACCATGTTTGAGTTGGTATCGGTAACAGGCGACACATAAGCGACGTCTTGATGCAAACTTGGTATTGCAATTCAAACACATGGGTTTAAATTTAGCAGGTCGTGGGGTATGCAATAATAGTAATAAGGTGGCGTAGAGAATGGGTTGAGGGGATGATTGAACATATTGACTTCTTTCAACAGAGAAGATGGGACGAGGTAGATCAAGGTAATCCAATCCAGCGGTATCAAATAAATAGTTGGCGAGTTCGATAACGTTCATCAACTTGTTTGAATTCTGAATGTCTCGAAGGTTGAAACGGAAGAGGGTATTGAGTACGTGATTCAGACGATAGATATGGTCCTCCTTGGCCATACTTGCGTTCTCTAGGAATCGAACATCTGTCCTACCAGGTGTTGAACCATGTTGGGTATAGCGAAATAAATGTAGTAACCATGTAGGAAAGAATATAAATTCCGGTGAAATTAATTGACTCTTTGCATTTTCTGTACGAAAGAAGACAGCTAAAAGCCGCATTTGCTGATTCAATTCAGTGGATCGAATCGGTCGAGACGCTTTACTAGTACCAATGTGACATCTGAATGAACCATTTAGGTGTCTACCTATGATTTTGATATGAATTGGTATATCTTGCTTTATAAATCTTGATTTGATCATAGGCGTCAATAAGTTGTCTGTTAGTGTATTACGTTCATTGCAAGTTTTCATTTTAAATCCAGCATTTAATAGTAACTTCTCCCACATTATCATTAGATCATTATCTTGAATCGGTTCACCATTGGTAGTAACAATAGGTTCAGTAGTAGTAGTAGTAGTAGTATTAAGAGTGATACTAGTATTAGTGTTGGTTTCTATAGGTAGCAATAGTTCACTTATATTCATATTTGCATATATAAAAAATATAAAAGAAAAAGAAAGAAAAAGAGAGAGAGAGAACAATAAAGAGTAAAGAAAGGTTATTTATATTAAAAATATTTTCTTTGTCTTGTATTATTATCCAATAAACTTGGGTATTTTTATAACCTTTTCATTGTTTAAATTATAAGCTCGTGCCAATCCATGAGACAATAGCATGAGCCTCCTTTCAACACATCTCCCCTTTTACTATTCTCCCCCCTTCAAAACATATTTTATCTCAAGACTCTTTCTCAATTCCTTTATATCCTATTTGTTGTCAACTTGATCATATTCATATCACTGACAACTTTTTATAATTATTTTATCTCAAGTCACATTCTCATTCTTACAACAATCACACCCCCTTGTTTCTTTATTTATTTCTTTCTTTCTTTTATCTATTACGCGTGTACCTCTAAAAGAAAAAAAAAGGCGCGCAATTGAGTTCAATGTCCGATAGCGGATCTCTAGTAGCTTTCTTTATAATTTTTTTTCTTGGTCTTTTTTTTTCTTTCACTGTATTTCTGCATATAAAATAATAATAATAATAATACATGGATGGACAAACGGCAGAGGAAGACTTTTCCTCTTTATCAACAATAGATAAATTACAACATAAAGTAAATAAGAGAGATAAAATACATTAATAATATTCCATTGACATTTCATTAGTCATGGAAAGCTCGTCTGTCAGCTTATGAGGAATTAACTGAACTCTTTCGTAAAACAATGGAAGACTCTGACTTTTACACCTATCAATCTTATTTGAAGAAAATGGTGACTGATGCAAACGCTATAGTTCAAGAATCTGCCTTAGCTGCTGTAATTGAATACGTCAGCAACGCCCCTAATGCTTCATCGTAATTACAGCATACACTTTATATATTTTTGTCTTATGCATTTATTTAGTACTCGTGAACAAGTTATTCCAAGTCTTGTTGAAAAATGCTTTGGTGCAGCCAGAGCAGGCACAAGACAAAAAGCAACAGATATCGTCTTACTTTATGCAGAAATTGATCAACCAGATAGTGTCATTGTAAGTTTCTTTACAAAAACATGCGTCTTTTAGCAGTTTTATTCACTTTTGAATTAGGAATATATCGTGCCTGGAACTACAGTAAAGCAGCCCAAGCTGGTGACTCATACCGTGTTCACTCTAAAAGAACTTGTCAGGTACACGTTACAATCTTTATTTTTCAACATGTATTTATTTTAAAATAGACAATTTGGGGCCAAGAAAGTAAATCCAAAGCCAATCTTGAAGCTATTACCAAAATTATTTGGACACACTGACAAAAATGTGAGAGCAGAAACCTTTTCACTCACAGTAGAGATCTATCGATGGATTGGCCAGGCAATGATGACTAGTTTATCGGATTTAAAACCCGTTCAACTCAAAGAACTAGAGGAAGCGTTTCAGAAATTACCCGCTGAGAAACCAACCCCTGAACGTTTGATTCGTGCGGAGCAGGCTATGCAGGAAGAACAGGAACAAGAAGAGGAACAGGAAGAATCAGGAGAGCAGAGTAAATTGTGATTATTGTATATAAAGATATGTATTAAACATCTTTATTTAGTGGATCAAAACGAGGATGTTGATATGGATCAAGACATGGATCCTTATGATCTCGCTGATCCTGTAGACATTACGGCAAAATTACCTGGTAATTTCTATGAATTACTCGTAAAGTATTTCTATTGCATTTATCTATCGTACACTAACTCCCTTTCTTTATCATCAAGGTTTCAAAAAAATGGCAGGAAAGAAGAGAAGCATTGGATGCGTTACTGGAACAGGCCAAGACACCAAAGATCTTGGATAAAGATTATTCGGAACTTATAGCTGCTTTAGCAAAGGTAAGAAAATATATCTGTCTTTTGCATGGAAACTTTGCAAACCATTGAGATAGCGTATCAATGATGCCAACGCACTACTCGTCGGTGTGGCAGCAAACTGTATAGAAAACATCGCTCAAGGTTTACGAACAGATTTTGGAAAATACAAACCAGTGGTTGCACCCGTCATTGTTGAGAAGCTGAAGGAAAGGAAACCAGCGACTTTAGAACAGCTAGCAAACGCCCTCAACTCCATCTTTGCCACTGTACCCATGTCTGAATTGGTTGAAGATATTACAGCAGCTTCCAAACACAAAAACGCCCAAGTACGATCAGAATGCTTCAAACTTGTATCAAGGCGACTGAGAGAAGTTAAAGAAATGCCCGGTAAACCAGAAATTAAGGCATTTGGAGACATGTTCAAGAAGCTGCTGGACGATGCAGATGCCAATGCCCGTGAAGCGGGCGCAGAGGGTTTAGGTACAATGATGAAGTTGCTTGGTGAAAAACCGATGCTGGCCTTCACAGATGGATTGGACGACATCAAGATGGGTAAGATCAAGGAGTTTTACGAAAAGGTCACAGTCAAGGCCAAGGCTCCAAAAAAGCCCGCGGCTCCTCCTCCCAAAAAACCTGCCGCAGCACCTCCAGCTAAAAAGACAGCGTCCAAGACAGCTCCGCCCAAACGAAAGCCTCCAGCTCGTTTAGCTGGTGCTGCAAGTGCCAAGAAACCTGCTCTATCATCTAAACCCAAACCCGCAGCAGCCCCAGCAGCCTCAGCAGCCAATAAAAAAGGAGCGAAGCAGCCAGCAGCCAGTGCCCCTGAGGAAACGGAATATAATTTCTCGGAGGAGGCGGAAGGTCCGGTAGACATTTCAGGACATCTCAATAAGGTCGTTGCAGAACTAGGCGATGCAAATTGGAAGGTCCGCAAGGAAGCTCTTGATAAGGTACAGGGTATTATTAATGGTGCTCATAACTCTATCAAGTCATCGCTTGGTACCGAATTCCCAGGTGTTCTGAAGCAGCGACTGAACGATACCAACAAAAATTTGCAAATACAAGCAGTTGAAATTACTGGCGCATTGGCTGTAGCTATGGACAAACTTTTTGAAAAGCACTTGAAGACATTTGCTGCACCTGTCGCTGCTGTTCTTTCTGATAACAAGCCAAATGTTCGTGCAGCTGGTGTGGCGACATTAGAACAGTTTAGAAAAGCATGTGGTTTGGAACAAATGGCTGGTGTGTTTGGAGCTAGCTTAGCAAATGAGTCACCAGCCTTACGCAAGGATTTACTGACATGGTTAAATACAGCTGTTCCAGATGATACCAATGCAGCTAACGGCGATTGGACTTCGCTCATCAGCCCACTGTTTTCTTGTCTGCAAGATCGTAATGCCGATGTTCGAAAGGCAGCTCAGACTTTTCTTCCACACCTTGTCTCCCTTGTCGGATACGATGCGGTCTGTCGTAAGGCTAGCGAACTCAAGGCCTCGCAACGTCAAACGGTAATGCCATTGATTGAATCTGCAAGGGGTCCAGCTCCTGCATCCTCCAAAGGCGGATCGTCACAGATGGAACGTCGTTCCGAGACTCCGTCAGATGATCACAGACTTGGTAGTTCTAGTGCAAGTCGCACAAAGACAGTAAAGAAAAAGCTTGGTCTTCCTTCTCCGCGCCCCGTATCTCAAACAGTCGCCACAGCTCCTGAACCAGAACCTTTGCCACCGATGATAGCCAATAAACAGCTCCGAGCAAAGAAGGAGATCGCTAGACGGTCCATGGAGCCTTCTCGCCACGAAGCTGAGTTTATGGAGCCTGAGGAACAACTGCCTTCATTAAATAAACTTCCCCGACTCGGCGGCCGATCGCAAATAGGAAAGCCCCGTGGCCTTGTCGCTCCACAACGCATTTCTCACCATGCGCCGCAAAGTATGTCTGAACCCGAGCCAATGGAAGATGTCATTGATGACTATGGCCAAAGGATCCCTGAAGAAGCCTACGAGTATCAATATGAACCACGTCAGGTCCGATCCTATCAACAGCAACAGCAGTTCCAGTCTCCATCAATGTTACAACAACAACAGCAACAACAGCAACAGCCCACGTTAAACAGCAATAGCCGAGAAGATGTTGTAGCCTATCTAATTGCTCAGATCACGAGCGGAGATCCCCAGGCTAGTATTGAAGCTCTAAAACATTTTGACAAGTTTATTACACAAAGCCCCGATGTGATCCTGCCAGATATTGAGCCTTTGATCAATGCAATTACCTTACAAGTCAAGCTTGTCTTTTCCTCGATCGATCCTAGACAACCAACCTCTACACGTCTTTGCAAGCATCTGGTGAGTGCTCTAGTCCTGTTATTTTCAAACCGTGAACTTGCTAGTGCTGTCTCCCACGATGCATTGTATCACCTATTACAAGAGTTAGCACACCGTTTACTCGATCAAAAAATGCTTGCTCTGGAATCTGGACCTCAACTCTCAAAGGCACTGAATGTCGCAATGGTAAAGATACTTGAAAACAGCAACCGAAATGTCACATTTAGGTAAGTGAATTTGTCATTGAGTAACATGACCACAAGACTGATCCATTCCAAGTGCGCTTTTATCCATCTTGTCCAATTGCTCTTCTGGGCTCCGTCCAGGTGATTCGCCTGCTGCTAAAGAAACAAAGTATACCGAGCTCATCATGAAATGTCTCTGGAAGCTGGCCAAGACCATTCGATCTTCCCTCCAGGCCAACCAACTTAACCCTGACGAACTCTTGTATGAAATTAATCGCTTTTTTATCATGACACCTCCAACCGAATGGAAGCGCAGAGCAGCTGAAAATGTTCCACTAGGCGAGATACCTCTTCGAACAGTAAAGACATTACTACTTCAATTAGTGACAAGTTTAGGCGATTCGGTATTTCAGCATTTAACACTGATTGAAAATCCTCAATCAAGTAGCGTATACCCCTACCTGCATCATATGCTTGAAGGCTGTCGAAAGAAGGATGGTAGTATGACACAACGGCAGATGCAGCAGTCGCCTACGTCTCAACTACAACAACAACAGCAGATGCAGATGCAGATGCAGATGCAGCAATCACAGCAGTCTGAGTTTATGACACATTCACGTACCTCTTCGTTAAGTAGGCCATCATCTATTATATCGCTTAAATCAAGTACAATGGCTCGATCACCATCGATAGCATCTCACCGATCTAGCGAAGGAGACAATGGCAACAGTATGCATATTGATAACAACCCGAGTCATCACAACCCTGCTGTCAATAACCATATACAGCCTATGCAAGTTGACGAGCATCCACCCCATGACACATCAAGTAATACTCTGAATGAACTCGAGATGCACAATGCACTACAAAGAATATTTGCCAAGATCGGAACTCGCGATCAAACAAAGCAGGTAAGTAGTGAAATGGATAATAAAAATAACTTGACTAATGTGAATGTTTAGGGTATTATTGAACTATACGAATTTCAAAAGGCTTATCCAGCTGCGCAATCCAAAGTGAATACATATCTTAGTCAGACAGGAACGTATTTCCAAAGTTATATCCGCAGAGGACTTAGTAATTTAGCTGCAGAGGATAATGAAATGCTTGCTGCTTCTACGATACCCATGGTACCTACCACGACTACTACTACTGCTACTCCCATGCCAGCAACACCAGTAGCCACAGTCACTGCAGCCTCATCTCCATCACCGACGAATATAAGCACGGCAACAGCTACAAACGTACAACCCTTTACTGCGACTCCATCGACAATGACTGCTATGAATGCTGGTATGACGATGGCAGCTAGCGTAGCAAGCGAAGATCAGCATCGATACTCATTTGAGCAGCAACAGACACAGATCAGAACGACTATCAATGAAAATCCTAGACCCAGTAGTTTTGTTGCAGGTATGTGAAATGATGCTTTTTTTCTATGTATAGATTTTCTTATGAGTGTATATAGATGACGCTGCTGATATAAAGTTAAGATTACTTAGATTACGACAAAAATTTGGATATAAGAATGAGGTAAGTTTAGTTTTAAAAGAAGTTTAGGTCATTCTGAAGTTTAAATGCTTGAATAACAGGTTGACGATAATAACAACGCTTCAACATAATCACCCTCCCCTTCTTTTTTTAATGCAAGCAGTATATCCCCCCCTTCTTTGTAATAAGCGTTTTCTTTATTCTATTAACAATAAAAGAGAGCGAATTTAGTAACAATGAATTAAACACTTGTTGGAGGTACAATTTGATAAAAATAGTCTAGTAAAGAAGTCATCACCCTTATTTGTATCATTATGATTATGCTCTCAAAAAGAAATGATGTACACTTTGTGTAAAGAGTCAGTGTTCATTATTCTGCATGTAACAATATTTTTAGAACAAGTATATTTCATTGCTGTTTACTTTTTGACATCAAGAGTTTTTCAGAAAGTAAAATTGCATCTATGATACAATTTACACGAAAAAGCAACAAGTCAGCGCGACATCTCTTTCTGGAAATAGTGTATCTGGAGAAAGTCCATTGGCTTCCGCCTCCTCCTCTTTCCTCTCAACATTTGCCAGCCTAATCCTTGTTCTGTTCCCTTCTTACACGGTTTTCTTCGCTTCTTTCGCTCCTTTTTTCCCTTTGTTCTCAAAAGAGTTTTTAGATTCCATGTACTTTTTTGATCTGGTCCGGGCGGAATGAAGTTATAGTGGTGTCAGTACGCCCATAGTGATCTTTTATTTTCTTTAATAAAGTGTTTGTTTGATTGTGTCTAGAGGAAGCCTTAGCATTAGCGCAATATGTGACGTAAGCAATTCAGTTTTAACAACAAAAAGCACTAGACAAACCACGTCTATACAATACTATGTACTTCACTGAAGCATAAGAAAAGTATGTGCCGATGAGTCTGTAGTAATCTCTTTATCATGCTGAGAACTCATCATTAAAAATAGCATCATTTTATAAAACTTTCTTTCTTTCTTTCTTTTTGACTACGGCTGAAGAATTCGTTTTCAGTAGAAGTGATGTTATCAGTCAGCTTACGAGTTGTGGTTTCTGGTATCTTGTTTTGCCCGACTGTGATGACATCTTGATAGGTAGAGCCAAAGGGAGCAGTACCTGAGAAGATGTTGGAAAGGGAGAGAGCTACGATGGAGCACTGTACATCAGCAGCCAAGGTACCTGACAAGGCAAAGGTGACCGAAGCTGAAATGGTCAAAAATCTCATCTTTTTGGGAGAGGTGTAATTTTTTACTGCATGAATTTATCACGGCCAATGAGAATTGGGTATGGCGCATCTATGAGAATAACGCGTTTTGTGGTCAGTATTCAAACAATCTTTTACAAGATGGAGTACTTATAAATTAACTACAACATATATGCTGTTTGTTATGCAATTTGAATCACTTACGCCATATATTATGCAAATACTGTGCAAATAGCAAAACCTAGAGTATAGAGATTTATTGACTCTGCTTTTAACGACTCAAAAATCAAATGTAGAGAGTGCAGTATGCTTGTAACCTGAATTTATTCACGATCATATTGATTTTTTTGTACAATGTATTTTAGAGTTGAAAAAGTAAGCAGGTCCTCATTAGCTAGCATGAACACTGATAGGACTTTGGCCGGCATTGACAATGAGACGAAAGTTATGTGGTAGAAAGCTTGGCTTAATCTTTTTTCGTCAACTTTTAGAGTACAGATGTTGTGAATGTTGTCGAAAGAATGATCAGACGAAAGAGTTGTTTGACGGTGGCTTCAAAATGTCCAAAGTTTTGAAGGAAATGATGTGTGCTCTGCACAAAAAATCACCGGATGCACTACGTGAATCGACTTTTGTCGGCTTTTTGCTCTTTGGTAAATAAAATCATACATATGCTTTGTGCCTTTTGTTGCTAATATTTTTATCTTTTACCTATAGACACAAAGTTCACGATGATCCTATGTGATTTGCCCACCAGTTATGTGTGCCGCATCAATCACACAAAGACGGTTGATTTACCTAAAGAGGCTAATGCTATTTGCAATGAATTGTCAATTCTAAAGGCAGTCTATCAGATAAGTTAATGATGAAGAGCACCAACTGGCCTGTCAAACAACAGCCAGTGGATGTCAATATTGATCTTGAGCAGTACAAGATAATTCTTCCTAGTCTTACTACTGAAGGAAGCAAGAGAAAGAGAAGAAGGAATGGCGATCCCACCAAAGAATAGCTTGGCTGCCTGCAACAAAACATACCCATCTCTCTTTTTTAAAAACTATATCCTTTAACGATATCCCTCTTTCTATATAAAGAAAAGGCTATTACTTAAATATAAACAAATTCATTGACCATTTTAACGCAAGACTCTTGATGTCAAAAAGTAAACAGCAATGAAATATACTTGTTCTAAAAATATTGTTACATGCAGAATAATGAACACTGACTCTTTACACAAAGTGTACATCATTTCTTTTTGAGAGCATAATCATAATGATACAAATAAGGGTGATGACTTCTTTACTAGACTATTTTTATCAAATTGTACCTCCAACAAGTGTTTAATTCATTGTTACTAAATTCGCTCTCTTTTATTGTTAATAGAATAAAGAAAACGCTTATTACAAAGAAGGGGGGGATATACTGCTTGCATTAAAAAAAGAAGGGGAGGGTGATTATGTTGAAGTGTTGCCGTTGTTGTTAAAGTCCTGTATTCGGTCTTGTTTACGTTTTTAGATTTGGAAGGTGTAACTCCGAATGAAACCACTATTTTAGAAGCTTTTCTAGAACTCCTCTACCTTTTATATAAATAGGATCTACTATAAAATAATAAACGTCTTTCTTTCTCATAAACTATTACATACATATACCATGAAAATCTCAGTTCTCAGCTTAGCCGTTCTTGCCTTTGGTTTACAATCTGTTGCTGCTGCCTCATGTAGCTGTGATCCAAATGATACTGACTGTTTGTCAGAGTGTGGTAAGTATTCACAACGCGCGGTTGGATAAAGAGAAATCATATTCATATTTCACACTAGTTCAAAACACCAATAGCTGTATCGATAGTTGCCGTGGCGACACTACCTGTTATCAAAACTGTATTGGTGGTTGGCCAGGTGTAAGCGAATCCGCCGATGCTACTGCTACTACTGGTGCTGCTACTACTGCATCTGCTACATTATCAGGTCCCATTGGACCCTTGACACCTTCTAGTCGTCCCGGTGCCAACAGCATTACTGAATCTTCTGCTACCACTACATCTCGCGTTCCTTCTGCTGTTACATCTGCAGTTGCCTCGGTTACAACCAGTGCTACAACTGCCCCAAGCTCTGCCGTCTCTGCAGCTACTTCATCTGTTATTTCTTCATTCAGCTCTGCTGCCAGTAGTATTGTATCAGCTCAATCTTCGGCTGTTTCATCTGTCGTCAGTGCTGCTTCATCTAGTGCTGCTGCATCCACAGCTCCATCATCCACACCCTCTCCTAATAGTGCTACCGGCTTGGTTCCCGCAATTGGTGTCACATTGATCTCCGTTGGCCTTGCGTTCTTTGCTCTTTAAAGCTTTATAAATATATATAGTACTTATATACAATAAATTAATAATACCTTTAAATCTCTTCTTAATATCATTTCCTTTCTCTTAAAGCGACTAAAAGACGCTAGTTACACAAACATACGACATGTATGAAGTATCGACATGGTCCACATGACCCGGCATCATTGTAGATCTGATTACCAATTGCTCCATTTTAATGTATGTTGGGGTTGTTTCTTGTTTCCATCGGATAGGCGGATAAAAAATCTCTTTTGTTCTCTGAGGAGAAATCATCTTTTTTTTTAATTCAAACGGGTAATAAGAAGTGTACAGTCTTTTAGAAAAAGAAAGGAGGGAAGTCTGTATTTGTTTACACGGCTTTGGAAATCAGTGATTTCATAAATGCCTCTTGTGTGTCCAGGCCCCCCTCCCCAACAAAGGCGTACTTTGTGGCTATAAAATAAAGAGATATGTACACACATAGTAATAAAGGCTTTTTATTTATGAAGATGGGTTATATGTTTTTATAAAGATCAAAGAAAATTGACGTATTTTTGCTGACAATTGTGAACTGATCAAAGATAGTCGGATCATAGTGCATCTTTGTTTGTTACAGTAATATAAAATGCTGGACACACAAATGCCAGCAATCATAAGGCAAGATGATCTTTTGGAATAATAGTGGGCTCATAACTCTGTTTTTGATATCATTCCAAGTGGGGGAGACTTGACACTATTCATCTTCTTAAGTTTGAATCTTGCCAGCACATATAATTTTACATGTGAAATAAAACGACAGAAAGGGTTCTAATGTTGATTATAATGTTGATATTGTAAACATAAGCATTAAAGAAAGTTCTAGTACAACAAACAAGTCATGTGTACAACACACAACCTACTTTTTACATTGCACCAAATGAGAATAAGCAGAAGCAACGAAACAGATCAGGTAACTCTGTAAGCAACCTTTATATAAAATAATAAAATAAGCTTTATGGATGCTTTTGAAGTATTTAAAGAGGTAAAATACTTTTGATATAAAGTCATGTAAAGGTTTCTTTGTAGTGTTTTCTCTTTTTGTGAAGTCAACCTGTAGAGTCATATCATGATCATATCTGATGATAGCGGATTTCAAATAGTGAGTCTCTTTTTTGCCAACTGACAAAAAGACCATTGCGCTGTACATGCAAAATGCCATCTAGTGGTCTACATATTGAATTTTTATTATAAGCTTGCACAAGAGACTATAAAAACGCAGTGGATTATATTCCAGTAAGACTCAGTAGGCATTATTTTATATCCTTTAGGAATTCATATACGAAAGAAGGGCTGTTTCATTCCCCTTTTATAGTGAAAGTAGATTACTACTTCTATATACTACGGGGACTTGAGCAGTGAGTTAGTTCACCTTTTTATACCCTAAGTTACCTACTATATATTGTTCTATGACAAGTCAAAACATCATTCTGCACTGATACAGAGCAGTTATCTATTACTAAAAAGAAGCAACATCCGAAGACTAAATTTAGACGCGATCTATATGTGAAAAAGTGCAAAAAAGGAAACATAACCGAAAACAACTCGGATAATGAACGATACACTGTTGCTTATAGTTTAACAACCTTTTGATCTGAGTCAACATGTGTCTGAAGGAAGTGAGCCTAGTTTATTAGTGAGTAATGGACAGCAATGAGAGGTATCTGGTGAAATAGTAAAGTCATGTTTTTTATGTACAAGGGAGATAACTTCCCCGCGAAGATCCTGATCACTCTATCTTTATGACAATCTGTCCATGGATTAATTTCTATTTATGGAAATAGACATAGACCCTTCCTTTGTCTATTCTCTTTTTCGTTAAAATATTCACTGCATTCCTCTCTCGTTTCTTAGTCTACTGATCAGGCAACACTCAGTAAAGATATGAATTCAAGTGTAAAGTAATATTTATTGAATAAGACTAGGACAAGAGTAGTCGTAGAGGGGGTGTGGATCTGATGTTCATGTGACCCAATCTCTAAAAAGAGAACAATAGAAACTATAAAAGGGGGGCAAAAAGAAAAAGCTTTTTCCTTCCTTCCTTCTTTCTTTTTCTTGTTCTTTTTTTTTTATGATAAATACAAAGGTAAGTTCATTTTATATGACTTATTCAGCGCAAGATATGGTTGGTTCTGTTATGGCTATCTATTACACGGCTAGTCGTCTGGTATGGTTGATCTATTGTAGGTCTTTCTTCTGCTCTACGCAAATCATAAAGGGTGCTTTGGTGCTATTGCTAATTTACTATGGAGGAAAGCTCGTTATGTAAGGCATCCATGGCTCTGCATCTTTTATATGCGGGTTGCATTGGCCTTGCAGCGTAAGCAAGTAACTTTATAGTAAAATTTGACAATAATACCTAGGGTATCATGACCAATTTGTTATGGTGAAAGCTCCCAGTGCGAGGTCAAGGGTGCGACATACTGTATATGTGAACTTCCCTGTTCTTGCAGCGTAAGCAAGTAAACAAATGACAAATTAGTCATGTTGCCCATTACTGCTTAACTCTATCCTAGGGCCAACCTGTCTTATAGGCTCAAATGCACGGTCGCTGACTTTTTTGATAGGTTATTCTTTAGTTATGGCTACTTTAAAAATAAATAATAAACGTGTCTTTTTTATTCTTCATTTGTCGTATTTGTCTAGTTTAATCGTACTTTTTATATGAAAGTAAGCATAGTATTTCATTAGTTCATGTAGGCTCATTCATAATGTCGTTTAATGTCGGCCAGGTTACAGTTGTTACAAGTTGTATTACTGAAACTAATGTGATACGTAATAGTGCCTTTAAGCAGGGAATATGTCTATCACTCTAGCCTCCGTACACATCATTCAGTTCATTTACTTTAGCGCAAGACATGTCACTTTGATTAAGATGATTTCTATTACTTTTTCCTCTTTAAGAAACCCTCTCTAACATGAAACACATAAAGAAAGTCATATAGATTGATCATATTATAAAATGATGAAAGGTTTAATTAACAATTCTAATAGTATGCGCAATACGCTTATCCGTAGAAGGGATGAAGCGTCTTGTTAGCCGAAATGCAAATGAAAGCAATTTCTTCCTCTTAAAGAGAGTTACTGGTCTTAGTAGAGGTTGCTCAATAGCATTAGGCATATTGAGTCATATACGGTTGTCCATGGCTTCCAAATCATTATAAAAGATCTCCTGAAAACGACTGGTCAGCAAAACAGTAGGGGCTGGTATTGCTGGCTCGGTAGAGTCCAAAGCAAGACGACTAGCACAACGTCAGACATGAAACCACCTTAGGTTCGGAGCTGACTGGGAGTGAAGATATGACCGACCACTAGTTGTGATTGACGGGTACTGATTAGGTGTAGATTCTAGAAGATCCAAAGTCTTTGAAATACACCCTGAAGACTCTTCGCCTTGAGCAGATTCTTCGTTTTGTTCTTGGATGAAGGCGATTTCTCGGGAACAAGCACCCTTCTGAATAGGAATCTCTCCTTGAGTGATTGCCATTTCCTGAGCGCCTGATATTTATGGTTATATTATTTGAAACAGTAGAGAGTCAATTGACTACATTTACTTTTTAAATAGAAAGAGCCAAAAACGAGAGGACAACCTGAGAATAAGCGTGGGGTGACGACTACAAATGTCTAACGTCGTCTATTAAGTGAGAATGAATAAATAGAGAATTAATTTATGCATGATCTACATAAACACGACAGAACCAGCCTCTTCGCTCCTGGATAATTTGCTCTTCTAGATATCATGGGAGACTTGAGCAATAGCATCTTCACTGAAACATTCCTTAAGTGAAACTGGTGTAGCAGCTGAGATCGTTACAGACGGGAGGAATATACCTTGTGACATGCTAGCAAGGCTAAGCACTGGTTTGTCAGGTTTATACCCGTTGTCGTCACAATGGATAACTATATTTCGAGTATATTAGTACAAGCTCTGTATACCAGTGACAGAGATCAAATACTTATGTTTGTACCCGTTTACAAGTGAGCATAAGAGTAAAGCAATTGCAAGTGTTACTTTCGTTTTGTAAATCGTCTTGCAGTAGGAATTCGATTCTGTCATACTCTATTCTCTCATACTATTACCTTGGAATAACCTTGGCTTTGAAATGATGTTCCTACTCCACCGAGAGTTATGACAGAATGGAGGCCTGGCTGCAACAAGTTACTGTTGAAAAGAAAAGAGAAAATTGTTTAAACAATTTTCAAATTCAAGCTATTTGTATGTGAACTAAGCATTCATTCGCTATTGAATTTTGCTGCAAGTCATAAATGCTGTCACTTGTTGATATCTAATTATAAGTAAAAGGAGAACGGAACAGTATTGCATGAATCCATATACTACTGTTTTATTAAAAATATATTTCAGAAGGATAAAATTATGACGTGTATGAAAAAAATGATTGACGTATGTTAAAGTATTTACGCAAAGGTTAAAAATAAAATGCGTGCAAAAGGAGACGATATACAAATGAGAGTAATAAGTACCAAGGAGAAAAAATATATAAAGAATTATACAGTTAGTTATGTAAGAAAATTATTACATATAACTTACTCCGAAGGCATCTAAATGTGTCCTAGCGATAACTAGGACGGAGAATCATCATTTAAACGTACTCTAGTTCTTGATTGCTCCTGATCATCCACTCTTCTTCGACATCTTGCAGGAGCAACAGCAGCCCGGCGAAACCTATGAGAAACCATGCTATTACGTCGAAACCCACGAAGGATGTGCATGCAGATAAGGCAAGCAGCAACATCTCTGTTCCATAAGCGATATCCATCTGATGCTGTCATGACGGGTCTATAGTATAGATTGGTACATCTACAAGCAATGTTCAATCAGTATAAAGTCATCCAAATGGTTAATGTATTATTACCTTAAAAGACCATGGCAGACAACCGTAGAATGTTGCTCTCGTTGATACGGCCGTGGATTTGGAATACGACGAAACGTGTGGAGGCTTTCGTTAAGGCGTGTTGGACAGCATCTACTGGCCTTGTACTCGTCTATAAAAAAGATTTGGAACCCATGTTTCTTGAGGTGCCTTCGGAAACCAAGACCATGGATGTGCTTATGATACCTAGCATGGGGAGCGGACCAGTTCCCATCACAAACACGGTATCTTCTCCAAACTTGGCGCGTAAGTCTTGAATAAGCTATTGGTCGGCACGTTGTTTGAAGTACGCTGAAAGACAGATATTGCGAAAGAGGAGGTATCCATTATCATGGTTTGTGATGGTATGTCCATAGAATCGACTGAGAACGGCAGACTGCTCAGATCTGGCTTGAAGGAAGCGGCTAAAGCCTTCCATGGATACGGTGCTGCTTGGCTGGTGTCTGCGGTAATCTCAGGCTACACTTTATTAATTCTGAAGCAGAGATCGCACCTAAAATCGTTGTTGTTTGTGCTCGGGTTTTGGGCACTGTGGCCACGGCAGGCAATCCTTTCTTTGACCAGACCATACTTCGTTTTAAATTAATATGAAATGCAGACTCATTGAGAAAGACGCAATTAGTTCTAAACCCCATATCCGCACACTCCCACTTACGAACCCAGTCAGTACGCTCCTGAATTTTTCTTCACTGTTCCTATCTACAGGCTGAAATTGAGCTTTTTTGAATAACAAGTTACATTCAGTTCTTACAAAATTGTAGACAGTACTTTTAGAGACCTTGAGGTCCTGAAACTTTTGTAGCAGCCGCTCCATTACTTGCTCCAAGACGGCTGAAGGGTTCTCATCTATGTACTTCAAGATCACTTGCTTGTGTTCTTCATGAAGTATACACGAGCGACCAGTTTTCTTATGCTTTATAAAAATACTATCAGGATCTGTTTTGTACATTTGAGCCCATCTTTAAGTTGTGCGAACATGAATATCTAATTGTTTTGCAGCAGCTGAAGCACTCATAACTTTCTCAAACACCAGTTTAAAGAATCTAACTTTGCCTTGATCCGTATAGAGTGCGTACGCTCGCTTACTTGACGCCTCCTTCATGCAAACATCTATGTCATCTTTTGCATCTTCATCTTCCATAGAGTCTACATCGGAACTATCCTCCTGAGGCTGACTATGCAAATACTGAGCGTATGAACCAACTGTTTCTAAAGCATACTGCTCTTCATCAATGATGTAATCCATAGACTTAGATCTACCGTATTTATCAACTACATTACCGTGCCTGTCTTCATAGAAAACTTGAAAGTTCATTTTGTAATACTTGGTTTTTAATGAGAAAGGGAGTAAAAAGAGATCTGGCAGTGCTTTCATGCTCAATATGCTCATATTTTGTACGATAAAGCTTCTATATATACGACATTTAATTTGTTAGCAAGCGAAATCAACCAATGGTTAACGTGACATTAGAATTTAACAAGCGTGAATTTTACTCTTGGTATCAGTGTCAATAATTTTTGGGAATACTGTAGAATATTGTAAACAATCCCAAAACAATCTTCCTTTTCCTATCTCGGAATTCCTTTTCGCTGGGGTGGCCATCTCAACGCCATTGAATTGATTGCTAACAACAAGACTAAAGCCCTTACAACTATGAACCAACTCTCAGCTCTTGACCTTCATCCCAAAGGTTTTATCCCTCTCATAGTCACTCGTTTCTATTCCTAAATCGTTCGTACCCAATTAGACTACGGACTAACCATTACCAAGGCTACTTTCTTCTTTAGTAAGCAAATGGACGACGCTCAAAACACCTACATACGTCGAAATCTTTGGGGGCTCGCGCAATTCCTCGACAACAGTAGTGCTACATCTGGCAAACCTACCAACCATGCAGTAACGCGCTTACTTCCTTCAGTTCTAATTCCTTCTATGCACCTATACCCTCCCGGATGATTCACTACTTTCCCATCTTCTCCCATTGATCCACCAACCTAGAAGCCACTCCCAATGGTATAAACTCTCTTGGTCCCCATTTGGAAACTATGCTCACCAAATCCAGAATCCTTTGATCGCCGATCATTACGATTGATGCAAAGGAAGTTCCGCCAAGATAACTTCAATCACAAGCGCTCTACGCACGCCTCTGTTCTTATACATTGTCGTCCGACTATCTCCCTAGACCCCATCCTTTGGCTACCAATGATCAGGCCAGAGAGAAGTTGCTGTATACATTGATGCCTTGGTTGGCTACCCAGTGGTCACGACAAAGCTTGTCCTCAGCACCTCAACCAACCCTTCACCAAAGCCCACGCCATTCATTGTCTCCATATGCACCGCTGACTTATGATACCCGAAACAATTTCTGATCCATTATCCTTCCTTTTGAACATGTTACCTATGAAGAAGCCACGCTCCTTTCAAACCGCTCTCTTATGGACCATTCGTTGGCCAGCTATATGCGCTCTTCTTCATGAACTTGACTACCTCCATCATCAGAAGTGTCCACCTTCTTCGCCCCCACACCTTGGGCAAAAGCTCCTCAATTGGCTCTCTCGTTGTCCTCACTAGTGTATCTTACACTTGCCCCAACATCATTTCTTCAATAACTTTTTTACCCTTGATCTCATAAGGGTTTTTTAGTTACCAATTCTTCATTCTTTTTTGATCTGCCTCGGGCGAAGAAGATATATTATTATCGTGCACCCACTTGAGGCTTTAATTATAAATGAAGCTGTTTAACTGTATAACATATAAAAATGAACAAGACTCCTTAGATTCTGACAGCCTTAGACAATTACAGGCAGGCATTAATAATTCAAGGTATGCTTCTCTAAGGATTTTTTCCGCGGAATGTTCTGTGTCAGTGATATATTTATTGCAGCCTACAGTTTGCCTCACGCTATATGAACTTGCTTTTTCGGATGCTCTTTTCTATACATATGCGCAAGTCTTTATAATAGCTATTACACAGAGCATAATCAAAATGTCTGTATTTGTTAGGAACTTGCTCCTGTTTACCAATAAGAAGAGCTTTGAAGGGCTTTGCATGTATTTAGCATCTTGATCAAGTTTAGCATGAAATACTGTATCGTATGTTTTAATAGACTCATAATACAGTTGCTTTAGCAGATACTTAGTAACTCCATACTTGTAAGGTAGATAAACGGCAATGGTGAGCTCACAAGCAAACCAAAAGAAGAAGCTTATGCTTATACATGAAAAGGCGATTCTTTCCATGCAACCATAAACAAGTAAGGAATGTATGTTCTTTTGAAAGTAACGATATCAAAAAGTATTATTGTATCTACTATTTTATTACCCTTTGTTACCCCTATTTCCCCAACCTCTCGGATTTGCCTCTGTAAATTCATCCCATTCTCTTTGTTTCATAGTTTCAGCATCAAGTGCTTCATAATCATTATCATCAACTGGCTCTTTCTCAGGTGGCTCGCCACTAATAGTGTAATTTAGAACTCTGTATAGTTTATGCGTAGTTCTATTTACCCTCCCTGAATAATATTTCCTCTTTCCATTTCTTGTTGAAGATACTCGTCAATAGTCATAGTTGGCAAGTTATATCCAGGCCCAAATACGTTGTCCTTTATCTGCTCCCGTTTACTAGTGATGACAAATGGCTGAAGTGGCCTGCCTTCTTTATTCAACAACGGCTTATCTCTACCCCAGTTTACTCTATTACTTGCTGGTTGAAGAGCATCCGTCTGTGTCGAAGGCATAACCCCTTTCTGTCTCATCATTTCCCGCATCATTTCCATCTCTTTGACCATCACCAATTCCTGTTCTATTGAACTCCAACTTTCTAGTGCCTTCATGATCTCCAGCTGAACCAAAGACATGACCCAATCTCGTTCCATTTCATCCACGTCACGGTCCTCATCTTTTCCTGCACTTGCTTGATCCAATTGTTCGCGTAATTTTTGAACAGTTTGTTTGATTTCTTTTTCGCGTTTATATCTTGCAATTTTTTGTTCCCGTTGCAGTGCTGGGTTAGGCTTTTTATTTGCTTCGAGCTGTTCCAACACGTCGATATCATCCTTTGTGATAAGCTGATGTGTTTGGCATGTACTCAAGAACCTTTGTATATAAGCCTTTTTTAATAAGGTTATATAAAGAGAACTATTCTATAGCATAAAGTATAGATTCATACCTTGGCTTTGTTTAATGTATCGCCTCTATTGTCCATGCCTGTAAGTCTTAGTGTCAAGTCCCCGAGGTAAGCAGTGATGAGCAAGAACTTTATGTCATTGGTGTTGATGTCATCAATAATTTCGTTTTCGCTAAACAAATGAAGTCTGGAAACAAAAGCATCAGCTTGATTCAAATAAGCAATGCCCTTATTCACTTTTGACTGATATTCAGGGTCACTGCTTGAGAGAGATGTATTCTCTAATTCTGTCAATATCTTTTGTCCAAGACTAAACAATTGTCCAAGTGATAAGTCCTCCATTGCATAAACACACACACAAACACTCAAAGAAAATTTTCTCGCTTTTTTATTGTTACTGAATTTGATTCTCCGACCACCACTCTGGTAAAAATGGCGCAAGATAGATATCATTATCAACAGTAAAGGCGACATCCTCTCCTTGAGCAAAATTTTGAACATGTTCTAATCTCATCAAGGCTAATCCGATATTATGAATGCCAGAACACACCTTGCCTACACCTCTTTTCGATGATCCATCAGCTAGCTTGATGTCCTTTTGTGGCTGAAGAGTATCTGATGGATATTCAAATGTACGATCTACTGCTTGTATTCTTGGCGCACTAGAAGAAACGCTTTTAAAGAAGGATATGATAACTTATGCTAGATACGTACCTTTCACCCTTTCTATAAATTTGAACAGGAACAATTCGCTTACGAATGATACCTGTATGGTAAGTACGAATTGTCAGTTCTTGTCCAATATAACAGCCTTTACGGAAATCAACTGGAGAATACACGTTAGATTGATTATCTCTTGTTACTTCACTGCTTACCTCCGTTCATGTAGTCCAAATTGGACTCAAGAGGTAAAGAAGACTCGGGCCATAAATCATCCGTTCCTTCGGGTATTCCATGTAACATACGGCGTATTATATATTCTTTACTTTCTAATTCTTTAAATTCACCCAATTCATGTAATGAGTGATGAATGCTTTGATCTGTAGGTAGCGCGGCTCTATAACCAAAGCCTGGTACACGAGGATCATGGCATCCAACATCTGATAATCTTTTTTCTTTCTTGATCAGTGTCGGATTCACACGGTGTTCATGGTTTAATGCATCACCCCAGATATGCCACAGCTTATACTCGTCTGAACAATCTCTTATTTTTACTTTGGATCGTAGAATGTATCGTTTCAAGTGACGTACAAACATGTCCTTGGAAGCTGTAGGAATATCGACTATAAACTTTGGGTGAGGGAAATTGACACCGACATTGACAGGATAGATAAACGCGTCATAGAGCATACGTCCCTAATGATATGTAATGAATTACGGGTACACTCATATCTCTTTTTATCTTTCTTTACTTGAGGTGTCAAGAAGGCAGTAAAAAATCCGTCACCTCCTGGCGATATTTTCGGCATATGGTTTGTGATCATTCCTTGCAGAAATTTTGCTGTGTCTGTTCCTTCAAGTTCGATCAGGCTGCGATCAGGAATTGGGCAATAGCAATTGCCTTTGTGAAGTTTATCTTTCTCCTGAAACTGAAAGGTGGGTGTGCTCACAAAGGAGCGATAGAGAATATCTATAGAAGGTTAACAGATATATTTTAATTATCAGTGCTTAGTTTACTTTTATTTATCTGCTTAAAGACACGAGTAGCTGCAAAATATTGACAAAGCATGCTTTTAAAAAAAAGGAAAGCAAAATAGCCTGGCTTTCTCGTTCTTTATCTTAGTGCTTTGAGCTCAAGTCACGCTTAATGCGGAGATCAAAAAAGTTGACCCTGTTTAAAACGAAAAAAAAAAAAAAAAAGTGTCAATCTTTTCGCTAATCAGTATGCATCACGGAAAGCATGTACGTCGATTAAATCGTTCCAGTGGACACAGAAATGCTTTATTGAAGAATCTCGTTTCTTCTCTTATTCAATATGGTCGTATTGAAACTACTGTTGCAAAAGCCAAGACTATACAGCCCATTGCTGATGCTATGATCACCCTTGGTAAAAGAGGTGATATTGAAGCTAAAAAGCAAGCAATTGCATATCTTAATGTAATTAGAACAATACAGCACATACTCTTTTTTGCTTTGTTTTACTAAGCTTTATTCTATAGAGTCGTGATGTCACTATACCAAAATTGTTTGAAGAGCTTGCTCCTCGTTTTGCTAACAGACAAGGTGGATACACTCGAATTCAGAGAATTGGAAAGAGATATGGTGATAACGCACCTATGGCAGTTATTGAATATATTGATGGACCTACAGATCTCAAAAAGGAGACAGTGACGAGCGTTCTTGCACGAAAATTTGCAGATACACAGAAATTGTCTGTTAAAGACATCTTGGCCAACGAAGAGAAAGTGAAAGAATTAGGCATATCAAAGTCATTAATAAGGGATTTAAAGAAGGTACAATTCTCCAATTCTTTGGAACAGATTGATGCAGCCATTGAAAAGAAGATGACAGAATTATAAAAAATAGAGGCATATAATATAAATAAAAGCAAACTATCGTAAAAAGTACATACACACAAACACATGCGCTACAATATTAGTAGATAGTAAGATGATGCTTGAGTCTTTTTTTTTTGTATGGTAAATAAGCGTCTTTTCATTCCAAAGTATTAAGCGATTTCAACTACACATGTGGTTTGCACACAGGTTCTATTCTATTGTTTATACACTATGAAGTATAGAAATAGTTCTATGCTGCCTACAGTATTCGCATTTTAAATTCAGACAATGTTAGTTTTTTGGGCGAATCAAAATTAATTTTCAAATATTTAACTTATCTTTTTAGGATGAAATAAAAAAGGAAATTCAGATACAAAAGGAAACTAGCTTCAGACAATTTTAAAATAATACACCATTTCCAGAAAGAGATGTTGTGCTGACTTGTCGCTTTTTCGTATAAATTGTATTATAAAAATTGCAAAAATGCGACTTTACTTTTTGAAAAGACTGTACACTAATCCAAACAGTAGACCTATGATTCCCCAAACCATTTCTGACCCATTGTCCTTCCTTTTAAATATGCTACCTACTAAGAAACCCCTCTCTCTTAATACAATACTCTCGTGGACCATCCGCTGGCCAACTATATGCAGAATCCTATATGAACTCGATTACCTATATCATGCTAAGCTTCCGCCTGCCCCGCCCACTTACTTCGGGCAAAGACTCTTAAAATGACTCCTCTCTTCTCCTTCTCACTAGTGTATTTTACACTTGACCCCATTCACTCCTTCCAAAACATCTTTACCCTTGGTCTCAGAAGAGTTTTTTAGCCGCCACTATCCTTTCTTTATGAACTGCCTCAGGCGGGAAAGGTGTAATATTACAATCGTGCGCCCATTAGAAGTTTTCAATTATTTATAAATAAAAATCTGTTTAAACGTACACTAATCCAAAGCAACTCATGTGACGCAAAAATATTAAAGAAGCATTGAATCTATACATGTCCAACAAAATCCCCTCAAGAATATTTGACTAATTTTGGCCTGCCTTTGTGCTTGTCACCAGGTTACTGATTATATATTCTAAAAGCAAGCGGGAGAAATAAGACTGGTAATAGAGTTAAGACATGATTTAGTCCTGATGCTTCATGGTTCTAATTTATCCGAAAAGAAAAGAAGGTCCTTCTTTTACAAATTAATAGCATTACACAGCCAAATAAAGTAAACTTTACATCTTTATCCCTTGTTTATTATTATCTTTCTCTTTCTCTCTCTGCTATCAGCTGTTGATCACTTATGAAGATGGTTGCATATCCTGTTTGCTCACTGTAAAAGAAGGTGTTTAAAATTCAAGTGTAGCTTTGACCACATTGTGCGGAGAGAGCGATCTGCAACCAGAATGTTCTCCGATTGCGACTTCTAAATAACCTGTCTTTGAAAGCATGACTTTGTAAGCTTCAGAAGGCTGATTAATCAAAAACTCTGTCGCGGATCTGATTGAGCTGAATTCAATTGAGCAGCTGGCGCAGTTATTATGACAAAGTTCCAATCAAAAAGGACGCTCAGGACACATTTACTCAAACTATTCAAAGTAAAATAAATCAATAAAGAACGACAATGACAACCAAGAAGACGATAGATAATGATGATATAAGCATATGATGAACAGTGCTCAAAGATTAGGAAAGACGCGTGTGCTTGCTTTATCTATAAAACAAAGACCACAGGTTGGACAGAAGATGATTCAGCCACAGCAAAGAAGAGATATAAATATCCAATTCTGATTTATTTTCCATTTCTTTCTCCATCTCCTTCACTTCATTCAAGATGTACTCTCGTGTTGCTCGTCTGGCCTCTGTCCTTCCTGCCAAGAAGATTGCTTTTACTACTGCTGCTATCTCTGCGGTCTATGCATATGCTCAACAATGCAAGAACGATGTTATCTTTTACACTAAATCAAAATAATCTGCAATACCTTCATTTATCTATTCAAAATTACTTATAGACATACATTTCATACACATATAGAACTTGTAATAATAATAAACCCTTGTCCATTCCTCCCTCTCTTTTCTTTATACTTTGCTCAGTTGTCTTCAATCACGGGAAAATCAGGAAAAAAATTTTTACTTCGTGGTAAAATAAGAGGGGAACGTGGAAAGAAAAAATGGAGTAAATTGATTGGTTGGCTAAATAAAGGAAAATTTTTGACAGATGAATAATATTGGTGCGACCTTACTTTTTCGGAACAAGTGAAACAAAATGGAAATCGATATCGCACTCTTCCCCTTTAAATGACTCAAGAATACCTTTGGAATCACTTTCAAATCAAAAAGAGGATACAGTGTCTTTGACCAAGAAGAGTCTCAACTCTTTTTTCTTTGCAAGTATGAACAAGTTTGTCGCCAAGTCTATTAAAACACGCCGGTCTCGGCTCTTTTCAAACATTCTCCTTTGTCTACCATAAAGTGACATCAGTTTTCGTCTCTTTGACGAGAAAAAGCTTACTAAATCGTCAATCGATTTCAGAGATATGTTTCATCACTAAACTATCCTTCATAGTTGTATACTTCCTTTTAGACCTAAACTTGGTCAGTTGCCATGACAGCAGATTTCTTGATTTAGCCTCGATAAAATCATGAGCTGATTGATAGAGTTTTTATCCCATTTGATATGAAACGATGTTTTTTTTTTAATTCTTTTTTTCCTTTATGATTAGTTCATAGCATTAGGTTTGTTGAGTGCATCAAGTGCTCTACAAAGGAAAGTGAATGTCACGGCCATTTCATTTATAAATACCACTCTGCTTAATATATGTTCTCTTCTAGCTCATATGCAGAGCATTTTTTAAATTTCTAATTTACCAAATTCCGTGGTCTTGCCACTGTTAGCCCTTGTAACAAAGAATATAAACAAACAGATTCATTACTCCCCACCAAACAGCGAGTATTTGCTTATATGACCAAAACCATCATTGACGATGTTGACAGGGCAAACATTGGAGGTGGGGTCAGAGTTGTTCGCTGCATTGATCACGTCCACTTTTGCACGGCTCGTGCTTGGAAGTGTGCGACTTTACTTTCCGGAAACAATGCAAATTGATCAACACTGATAACTGGTGCAACTTTTTGCATAGAGTTCTAATTCTGGCTGATATGTCAACTGTAAACAAGCGATTCTTTATTTAACTCTGCAAGGCTTTTTCATTGTTCACTTGTGACATAATATACATGATTATTTTATACTTTATACGGGAAAAGATGTCATGTGAAAAAGCTGAGACGCTTATGATTTTAAAGAGATGCAGAGTACATCATGATGCTTTGTCAGAATACATGCAATAAACTGTTGTATAATATCGCTTATTTTCATAAGCATCAATAGAGTTTTTATTTTAAAAAAGCTACTCTCATGTGCCTTTAAAAGTTACAACACTTGCAAGAAGTAACAAAAGTCAAAAACAAAGAAACACAGACAAAAGAAAAGGCCAGAAAGTAGAATGGTTCGAATTGGAATCATCGTCATGGTGGCTGTAAAAATAATAAACCATATCCTCTCTCTCTCTCTCTATCTTATCCTCTTCTCTCTCTTTTCTCTCTTTCATTTATAATTGTTCCTACATTTTGCGCACATAAAGATGAACAATTCAAGTGGATCAGCTTCAAGATCAGTCAATGGATATCTTTCCCAACAAAACTCAATCATTTCTTCTTCTCCAACTACATCAACTCCAATCCCTTCAATGTCAAGCACTAGTAACTCAAACCTTATTTATAATACATCTAATTACTTTATATCTTCAGCTTCCAATCCTACGAGTAATAATGAATTCTTTTATTGACCTATGTGTCATTAAATACATTTTATACATAGTCTACCCACAAATTGGGTCACAAAATACTTTTACTAGCCCGCATCTGGCCTATACACAGCAACGGCGTCCCTTAACCTCAAGAGCAAAACTAACAACCACATTATGGGAAGACGAAGGCACGATATGCTACCAAGTGGACGCCAATGGCTTCTGTGTAGCAAGACGGCAAGGTAGGAAAGTTGTATATATATCTCACACTTGTCTTATATCAAAAAGCAAAATAGATAACGACATGATCAATGGTACAAAGTTACTCAATGTCGCCGGTATGTCTCGCGGTAAGCGAGATGGTATTCTAAAGAACGAAAAAGGTCGTGTGGTCATCAAAGTGGGTGCTATGCATTTAAAGGGTGTTTGGTAATTACATATGACCATATAGACCATCATCACACGATATGATTAACATGTCTCTACTAAGGATCACGTTTGATAGGGCAAAGCTATTAGCGGCTCAGTACAAAATTCATGATCTCCTTTATCCTTTGTTTGTTGATGACCCCACCATGTTTTTGTATTCTTCGCTGCACAATCCCATCAGCAGATTCGATAATTATCGACAACACTATTTGCCACCTTCTAATTGGGATAGATTACAGCCTCCTTCAACAGAAACAAGTGAGATCAAAACTTATTCATATGTTTTCATCTTTCTCATTCATTTGATAGTTTATAACAGGAATACGGGGTTCAATACGTCAAGCATGCTCTCCACATCCTCAGATAACAATAACAACAACAATAATTTATTCCTCACTCAGTTGGATTATAGTAATAAGACAGGCGCTTCAAAGTTGCCTCTTGTCTCTGGTGATTTTACTAGCTATACTAATCCAGCTTACTATTCTAAGCAATCAAAACAAGGTCAGCCGCAGCAATCAGAGAATAACAAGTTGTATGAAGAGTTAATGGCTAGCACAATAAAACAAGACTTTAGCGCACTTTCTCCTAATTATTCCAAGGCATCGAATGAAACAGGTACGGTACATATTCTGATTATTCTTATGTAATCTAATTGCCCTCATATTCTCCATAGGAAAACCGCTAACCTATCTCTCAGCATTTCATTCACCCTATTCCCGATCCAATGCAGAATATGACCCATCTTCGTCTACTGCCTTGATGACTCCTTCTTTTGATTCTTCTCGCAGGCAGAGTATAGCTAAAACCAATCAAAAGCCAATGGTCGCTCGTCATCATCCTTATATGCCAGTCAACAAGAACATGCAACATTTTCAGCAACTGAACTACAAGGAAGAGGAATACGAAAAAAAGGGCGAAACCATATCCACAGAATTTAATAATAAACATCCATGGTAATCATTTTGTGTTCATTAAAATAAACTATCGTTCCCTTATTTTCTCATGTCTTTGTGGAACGCAGTAGAATATCAAAGATGTATTGTTCCGAAAGAACAGATCTCGCATCATATGAATATTTTTAGAATAGTTGCTACGGTTATTGGCGGGAAAATGATGTGTAATTTGATTTGCATAAAAAAGAGAATAGAATAATGCGAATAAATTATTAGCTGCAATATGTTTATGATGAATCACACAAGTATCATTATACTTTTGTGTGTGTACAATTTCGAAAAAAGAGAGCATCATTTCAATTGCTGCGCAACACAAGACTCGATCGGCTTCGGTACAAAGCATATTAGACCCTTTTTTTGCAGCAGAAAAACTTACCTTTTACCTCTAGTAAAATAATGAAGGCTAAGCCAGTTCAATTTAAGATAACTTCTGGGATGTCCCTCTCCTGACGAATGCATAATATTTTCATAAACACTTAGTCAAGCTAATGAGGTTTCCATGACAGCAAAAAGAGCAATGGCTTTTTTGTGTGCCGATGTTGTTAGGTCCTTTCTTTCTTAACAAATCCATGACAAGTATTTGACGTAATAAGTCGTCTCCTTTTCTTCTGTGATGTCCTTACAACGTGTATGCTAACCTTGCAGCTCTTCAAACAATAACACCCAATGTGACTGCGCGTGTACAGCTTGGCAGTGCAAAGAGCATAAAGAATATATGCGTTTCCCAATTTGGAAATATTTGTATTTAAAGCGAGTGAGAGAGCATGAAAAAGATTTTCTTTTTCTACTTTTTTTTTTTTCTTTTTTTCTTTTGATCAAAATGTCCTTTTTGAATAATCAAGAAAACATTGTACAGAAACCACAAAATGTTTTATCAGGTGTATATTCAAATACAGGGTTCGACATGATCCAGGTCCTATCACGGTTGATCAACAGGCAAGTCAAATAATATCACAGTCTGAACAAAAGTTGTAACACCCAAACAGACCACATCCACAGATACATTTGGGCCCCATTGACTTATCTTGTTCATTTGTTGTGTCTGATGCAATGCAATATGACTTTCCAGTGATCTATTGTTCTCCTGGATTCGAAAAGTTGACTGGATACACGTACGATGAAATTGTTGGTAAAAACTGTAGATTTTTGCAAAGCCCAGATGGACAGGTTACAGGTGGATCAAGACGACAGCATACAGACAACAAAGCCGTGTATTATCTAAAAACTCAGTTATATAAAGCTAAAGAGCATCAAGCGAGCATTATCAATTACAAGAAAGGCGGCCAGGTATTTTAGGTATTTGATATTAGGGTATGTAACCGTCCTATTAAGTTGTAATCATTAGCCCTTTGTCAATTTGATCACAGTCATTCCTTTATTTACGAAAGAAGGTCAAGTTGAATACTATGTGGGGTTGCAGATTGACTTGGTTGAGCAACCCAATTCAATACTAGAAAAAATGCAAAGTAAAAAAAAAGAAACAGAATCAACAAAACAGCGTGAATATGCTTATGACATCATTTGTGAAATAGATGGAACATATTATATTAATTATCATCAAACTTCGTATACAATCCCATCCTCAATAAAATATGAGAAAGATCAAAAACAGCATGGTAACTGTAAATATTACAATAAGGAAATATAGATCTAAATATGTCACAGAAGACTCAATCGAGGAAACTATTGGCGTCGTAGACGAGTACTTTCGCGATTCACCGCCATCAGCAGATCTGGAAAGAGATCCCTTAGGCTTGTTAGGTAGCACATCGACGGACAGCGGAATGCAAAGAAGGAAAGAGTGGAATCAACTTGTGCTGGATCAAACGAGCGACTTTATACATGTCGTATCCCTGAAGGGTGTATTTCTTTACGCTTCAAGTTCCAGCTATGTACAACTAGAATACGAACCGCATGAACTGATAGGAAAGCCTTTGAGCTCGTTTTGTCATCCATCCGACATTGTACCTGTTATGCGCGAAATAAAAGAGGCAGCGCACAATAGCAACACGGACAGGACGGTAAACTTGATATTCAGAATCAGAAAGAAACACACAGGATACATGTGGATAGACTGCCAAGGTAGATTGCATATGGATCAGAATAGAGCAAGGAAATGCTTGATACTTTGTGGAAGAGAGTATCCAGTATACAACCTCTCGAGTGACCAAGTAAACCTTTACTCAGAAGAATATTGGGCTAAGCTCAGTCTTGCAGGCCTTTTTCTATACGTCACAGAAAGATGCCAGGATATTGTTGGGTTTCCTGCAGAATCACTAAAGCATGAGTCCATCTTCCAATACGCTGAGAGTGAGTCTATCACAAAGATTGCAGGTGTCCTGCGTATAATTGAGGAAACCAGAAAACCAGTGACGATAGAGCATACCTTGCTCAGTTCAAAAGGCTCATATGTACCTGTTTCAAGCACATTTTACCCCGGCGATCAGAATCCATCATTTATTTTACTGCAAGTGAAACCAATCAAGGAAGGTAATGAGGAACCCTTGATTTATCAGACAAAAGAGCCAAACCTGTTTCCCGAACTGGATATGACAAGGTCAACCAACTGGCAATATGAACTTCATCAACTCGAGCAGACAAATGAAAAGCTAAAAGAGCAGATCGAGAGATACGAAAACTCAAATAAACACAAGTCTCGTAAAAAAGTAAGCTTGATGTTACTTGGATATCAATGTTTATTCATCAGTTATTTTAGTTGAAAATCAAGCATAAACAAGGTGAGCTGATGTGCGCAAACTGTCAAACAAGGGACTCACCTGAATGGCGGAAGGGTCCTAATGGCCCCAAAGAATTATGTAATGCATGTGGTTTGAGATTTGCCAAGCTGGAAAAGCATAACAAACAATAAAACTCCGTCAAATGACAATGCATATTGCATATAGCTTTTCTTTCTTTTTCTCTTTCTCTCTCTCTCTCTCTCTCTTTTGCTTATCTACTCTCTCTATCGAAAAAGATGCAAAGGAACGTCAGCGATAGTGTTCTTTCAATGTCTCGTCTATCGAGCGTGATGCGTGATGTAAACACTTTTATCTCTGAATTGGACCAACCATCATCCTCTCCTCCTCGAAGCCAATCCTTTCAACAATTTTCAAATACAGAGTATCAGAAGATCGAGAGGTCAAATACGACTAAAACCTTAGTGAATCATGTAAGGACAAAAAGGAGATATTCATGTTGCATGATGTATCGTGACTAACACCCTCCACTAGGAACTTACAGAAGAAGCATGTCCATCCTTTGCGGAGCCGTCACAAAAAAGAGTACAGCAACCATGTATGTCACCAGAGAATGATTATGTCAACAGATATTTGAAACACAAGGACGAAAAGACAATGGTCGAGACACGACCACTGATGTCATCGACACTTTCTACTGGAACATCTGTTTCAACTGTCGTCCCATCCAATTACGCTTATCTCTCTGCGCTAAGTGGAGCGTTTGTGAAAAAGATTAGAGCCTTGGAAAGTATTCGAGAGTTATTTTGCGCAAATGTGTATCCTGAGTCATTTACAGGACAAGAGGCCATTGTAAGTTTTGCTTTTAAAAAGAGAGAAAGAGTATCAATGTATTCAAAGTATGTTTGTAAAATAGAATACACTATCTAACCTACTGGATGGGTTACCTGAACCATATTGCGTATGTATAGCCAATACGTTAATGAAAACAATCCCACCTCTATTTGAGCCTATTCATTATTCTCAAAAATCTATTATTCAAGGTAGTCTGTATCCGGATGAATACTATACACTGAATGAGGACATGACAGATGAAATGCCGCAGGGTATCTTGACAGGGCTTTTGGGGTGCTATACGCCTAATTGTCATCCTAATGAAGGGTGTTATGCGCCTCGATGTCCTAACCGATATCCCCTTGCATTTCTCGAGCCATTTGGGAATCAGGAACTTAAAGCCTCCAAGGGAACTATCGGCCGAACTCCATCAAGTAGTAGCCACATGGAACAAAAGGCATTATCTGAGGCATGGGCCCAGAATGTGCCGAAAGAGCTGCTAGAGACTCTATCTAAGCGAGAGATTGCTCGTCAGGAAGCGATTAACGAAATGATTTACTCCGAACGAGCTTACAGGAATGATCTTGATACTCTGAATGATGTGATCGTACGCCCACTGTTGAAAGACAACAGCATCATCCCGTCAAAGCAAAGAAGAGAGGAGTTTGTAAGTGAAGTGTTTGGAAACTATAGAGAATTAAGAGAACTCAGTCTCGGACTCTCGAATGACCTGATTAGCCTTCAACAGGAGCAAGCTTATGTACCCATGATTGGTGACACTTTGATTCAACACATGGCTTATTTCGAAGGCCCCTACACACGCTATTGTTCCCGAATGTCGCTTGCCGAGTACTTGATCAAACAAGAATCCAAGGTAAACCCGAGATTGGCTATGTTTTTCATCCAAGTCGAACAGGACAAACGCATGCGTCGTTTAGCGCTTCGTCACTTTTTGCTCAGTCCTGTCACTCGCATGCAGCGGTACCCGCTCTTGATATCTGCTATACTCAAAAAGACGGATACAGAACATCCCGACTACACCTTCTTGATAAAATGTCTCGACATGATCAAATCCGTTGCATCAAGGTCGGATCAGATGGCGGAACACTATAAACGACGTGTAGAGATCCTCGAAACGAACGATGCGTTAGTCTTCAAGCCAGGAAACCCCCATGTAGACCTAGAATTAACAGATCCTCGCCGGAGGTTATTCTATCAAGGCATCATGAAGCGCCGTAGCTATGAAAAATCAGATATCTTTTTATTCGTTTTTGACCATATGGTGCTGATGACCAAGTACAAGTATAGAGTATGGAAAAAGCCTATTCCAATCCAGATACTGCACCTGAGTCAGCGATCAAGTCAGACACCTCCTGTTTCGACAGCGACCTCGAGATCGCTGATGCCTGCTGCTAGTAGCAATAATAACGTGGCATCGCCTAACTATGCACTACTGTATCCACTGACAATCTGCCACCTCGGACGTCATGGAGGGACATATAATTTCCTATGCAGCTTAGAAGAGAAGCAAAAATGTATTCAGGCGATTGAAGAGGCTAAATCTTGCTTAAGAAAACGAATGGGTGAAGAGGTATGCGAATTGATATCTTTAGATGACAGCTCCTTCCGATACTCTGCAACTACAACGCTTCAGGGCAAAGTGTATTGTACTTTTCCTTTTGGTAAATATGGATATTGTTTACTCTTCCTTGGGTAATAATAGTGATTGTGTCCTCTAGTTACCATCCATATGGAAAAGATTCTACTTGTTGGCACAGATAATGGCGTGTATATAAAGAGCTATGATGGCATTGTAAGGCGAATCATCACATGTGAAGAAGTAACACAGTTGGCCGTATTGGAAAGACACCATATCTTGCTGATACTTGCATGTATGTATATATGTGCGCATGATAGACTCTTGTATCTAATAGAATTCATTACAAGCCAAAACATTGAAAGCGTATCCAATAGACTTGCTCATGTCCAATAGCAAATCTCCTGATAAGCTTGGTCAAACACTGGGGCAACACATTCACTTTTTCCAGATCGGTATGTGCAATAATCGGCACCTGGTTGTATATAAAAAGAGGAAGAATACATCAAGCATATTCACCTGCTTAGAGCCATTGTACGATTTAAGAGATAGCAAGAACCAAAAGTACATCACTCCAAAGACTGGGTTCAAACTTGGAGGTCGATCGCATCATGCATGGTTTAAGAAATACAAGGTAAGAATAATAATTGTAAGGTTCGTCAGCTTACCTTTGCTTTTTATATTAGGAATTCTATGTGGGAGCAGAAGCCAGTCGCATTCAATTTCTAAAATCCAAAATTTTAATTGTCTGTGATCGAGGATTTGAAGTGATTGATCCTGAAAACCTTGCGGTTGGAGGAAGAGAGATCCCTGATAGAATGGATCCACAATTCAATTTTGTGAACCGAGAGACGATTAAGCCAATTGCCATGTATCGGGTTCATGATAAATTTTTACTTTGTTATGACAAGTTTGCGTTCTTTGTCAATAATCGAAATGGATCTCTTGTCTATCGAGGGCCACAAAAGTAAGTTGTGTGAACTGTGGTGTGATTGCTTTAACATATTTTAGGTTACCACTCCTCTGTGAATGGGAAGGACAACCATTAGATATAGTATTTCAGTATCCTTATGTGATTGTTTTTGATGCTCAGTTTATTGAGATTAGACATGTAGATACAGTAAGCAATATGATAGCGAGTCAATTGTATAATGTTAACCTTGTCTCTCATTAGGGAGAATTGGTTCAGATCATACCTGGAGACCAAATCAAATTGACCTACTTTCAAACAGGTGACACAGCTGAGATTCATGGCTGCATGACACATACGATAAGATCGGATATTCAACAGTTGTTTTATTTGAAATTGAAGGCTTATCATCCACGTAAAATGTTATAAATGTGGTTTATTTGAAATGTACCATGCCATTTGATTCTCTTTTAAAGTAAATCCACATTTTTCATAAAACGGTATATTCTTGGCTGAACAATCTAAAATGACTATTTATATGTTAGTTCTATTCCCAAAGTCACATAAATTATTACCTTTGTAACAGCCTGTTTGCTCTGCAATATGCTTAAGGGCTTCAATGATTCTGATCCCTAGTTTTTTACCTTGATGAGATGCGTCTACTGCTATATCTTCAATATGGCCAACAAGTCCATTTGTATGGACAAATTTATGCTCAACAAGTATAGTGCCAGTAGCTGCTATACGATCATTTCTTTCGTCTGTTATCGTTATTGTGTAATCTATCTGCATTGTTAGCAACATTTTAATACTAAGCAAAAAAATCTTACATGTGTCATTATGTTTCTTCATATAACCAAACTGTTGATTCCAAGTGTCAATTGTATGTTTGCCTACCTCTGTCAAGACAGAGAGTACGTCGAGATAACCACGGTAGTAATCATTGGATCGTAGTGGATATAGTTTATATCCTTCATGTAACTTTGATTGTACTTCGGATGAAAGATACTTGGTATCTTCGAATAAGTATTCTTCATCAATATGGTCTTTGGTCATGTTTGATAATAGTAAAAATAAAAGAAAAAGAAAGAAAAAGAAACGTAAAGCTAAGTAACTATATTTATACATTCAACATCCTTTTTTTTTTCCACGACCATTAAAGTAAAAAAAAAAAGAGACCAAGTAGGAGTGAAGCCATCATCATCCATTTCATTCCGCGGAAAAAAAAATGCTAAAAATATTTTCTTATTTTTTTTATGTATACTACTATAATTATTATTATTCGCTAAGGAGTTCATCTTGTTCACCATAATCTTCTTCTATTGGTGTAGCATCCGCTGTACCAGTGGACATTATTGAAGGTGATGGGTCTGATACAGCCATAGGGTTGGCTCCACTTGATTCTTTGGGAGCCCTTCTATTTGCATTTCCCATTTGTTCTAAATTGCCTCGTTTCTTCTCAGCTGCTGCCATCACTCCTTTTGCAGCACGAGGTTCCATTTCTTCAAAGTTTTGCCACACATAATGCTTCAAGTCTTTAGCTCCAGGTAAATCTTGAATCAGCTTAGCAATCGTAGGATGTTTAAATCCATAATAATCAGGACCAGAGGCCGAGTTGGAGTGTTCTCTGTGTCGAATCTCATTAGACTTACGAACGACAATTGTCCAAGCACCTGTAGCCGAGTTGGCAATGATCGGTTGATCTGGCATGTCGGCTGCTGTCACACGGAATCGTGGTCCGTCGCCTCCATCAAGGATAGTGGATGTAATGATGGTATTGCTATTAGGGTCGACCATACTAGGATAAGTTCTATATATATATATATATATATAAATAACCATTTGATATTTACAAGGTTTGTTTACCTGCTTACGGTATAGCCAACAGGAAATATATATCGTTCGTTATGGAACGTAGGACGGTCTGTGACGATGTGTCCGAGACTGAGAACAGTCAAAACGCCAATTTGTTGAGGTAATTTAGGATTACCGTCTTCATCTCTATCAATTGGCTGAACACGACGCGTTTTGACGGGAATATGAGCTGCTTTTGATCTCTTGGGAGGTGCAGAAGCTACCGTGGCTGGATCATGGCTTGATTCAACAGTGCTTGAAGGACGATTAGCAAGTTTTTTGAGTATCCTAGTCTTGCTTCCTTGTGGAGTTGAAGTATGTGTACTGACTGCAAAAGGCATAAGTGTTTTTGTACAATGAAAATAACAGGGTCTTACCATCTAAATCTTCATCTGTATCTGATATATCACTATATATATCACTACCACTTTCATCATCTGATATTAATTGATTCATGCTTTCTAGACGTGAGATGCTGTCCAATAAAAGACTATATAAAGTGTTGATACAAAAGAGATAAAAAGTAGAATACAACTTACTTTCTTTCATAAGTTAAAGTGCGTATCTTCTTTTTTGCGTGAATATAATCTCTACTGATGGCAGCATTTAACTAGAATATTAAACAAAGAATATATATGTTTAGAGAAAGATTAAAGTCTTTATGTTTTTATGCCAACTTCTTGCATTTCTTTGAGTTTTCTTTTCAACTTTTTAAATGATTCATCATTTGGTTCTGCATTATTTTCCATTACTATATTGTTATTATCTATGGTGGGTGGCGGCGTAGTTGTCGCTGCTTCTTCTGTAATAAACGGTTGTGGCGATATAGGGTTACTCATTATGTTGTATGAGAAAAAAAAAAGGAAAAAAGGGAAGGAAAGTAAGGTGGTATTGCGTACTGTAAAAAAAAAAAAAGAAAAAAAAATGGCCAGCTTGACTGCTTCTTTATCTTTTTCACTTAATAGAAAAGATGTATTGAATTCCAACCTGACAAAAGTCGCGAAGCCACAGACCAATCAGAATCAATAACCTACATATTCAGGCATTAGGTGGGCATATGTTACTATGATGCAGGAAATCAAACAACAGGATTAGATACGGGGAATTAAATTTATGTCCTTTCATTTGACCAAGTTTATTTTTGTCTATGTAAACTCTCTTTCAAAATAATCCTTATTAAGCAAATTCCATAGATGTATACATTATGTGAAAATCTGCACTCAGTATTTACTTATTTGAGAGAGTTCTTTAGAAGAAAGAACAAATTATGCTTGTTCAAACACAGTGTACTCGTCATTGACTTACGCGTTTGTATTAGAAATACTCTTGCTTCAGATTGTAAATATAGCCTAGATAATTTACTGTAGACTTCCATTCATGTGATCCTGAGCCGAAACAGTGCGCACCTATAAATATGCACTGCGCTATAAGTCCAAAAGAATACAAAAGTAAATACAGGACTGGGGTTAATGACGCGAAGTAAAGCTATAAACCACAGTAAGCTGTATTCCATCTTTATCTTATTCGTTTTGTGAGCATTCTTTGCTCGAGATTCTACTTTATTGTTGTACAAACCTGAACCGTACAGACATGCTTACTGCTTGACGTAATATCCAAACTTTAAAGGAAAGGATCTATTAACAGTGTGATGACTACAATGCTTGAAACCATCCATAAGCAACTTCTTTTGTGCCAATCTGTCTCAAAAGAGCTGGATGACAAAAAGATTACAGTCTATGTTATTGCTCATGATACATTTTTTAGCTTATTGAGACTGTCTATACTCGCTCTTGACATCCAAGCTTCTTTTAGGGAAACTTTTTTTGAAAGAGTGTTATTAATTCACAAATGAGTCCTTTGTACGCCTCCCTGGTCTAGGCACCAGAAAAAGACGGTGTTTTTTAAAACTGCGATATTATTTTCAATGGAATTAAAAAACGTTTTTCTTTTTCTTTCTTTCTTTTTATTAGACCTCTATTACAGTGTCTTCCCCCTTACAGAATATCGTTACTGCTTTACTGTATAGTAGATATATAGCAGTAAAGATGTAAAAATAAACAAGGGGAACATTAAACCAATAAGATGGTTATAACAGGATCTAAAGTAATGGAGTGACAAGTTACTGCTAGGTAGTATAAATAACCAACATTTAATCAAAAAAGGGGATCTTCATTTATTTAAACAAGTGTCACACAAAGTTCCGAGCTATAAATATCAATAAACGATCGTCTTTTTTTTTTACTTCTTTTTCTTTCATTATGTATTCTATTAAAAAAAAGTCAACCTTTGGTCTAATAGCTGCCATATTCCTTATCACAGCAAGCTTATTTTACTTAAAAGCAACAAAAAGAAGGAGCCATGACACCATTCCAGTCATCTTTCCGGGGACTTTTGAATTAAATAATATAAGCACGGAAGAAAAATTTTTATCTTATTTGCCACATTCTGGATTTCATAATCAAAGAATAGAACTTGAAAACGCCTTACTCTTGGCAACCTACCTCAACCGAACCTTACTTGTCCCACCCGTCATGTTGGCAAGTCCAGCCATGCCATGGTCAAAATATGACAAGTTGTACGAAAGATTATTGTTTCAGAGTAAAGCTGGATTAAAACACTGTGTGTCGATACCATCAGATATGCCTTTACCTGCAGAATGCTTGAATAGTTTTAGATATACAAATGTACCTTGGTCATTCTTTTACAACATGTCAGAAATACAGCAACGGACTGTACCTTTACTATTCAGAGACAGTCTGAGTTATCAATGGATTTACACTCATTTGGATGTAACAGCTAAAGATGTCTATTTCTTTAAGGATCTCATGCCTTATGAATATCAAATCAGTGATGACCCAACCGCCGATTTACCACTTGACAGATTCAATTACCGCATTGATCTAGATACACTCAAAGATATCGAACACCGTGTCTTACATTTTGGTTCCATGTTTGGATCCTATCGAGTTCTGGCAGAGACGCCCGAGCATCAGCAAATCCTTCGCGACATTCGTTCCAGCATGATCTTTCGTCATCCTGTACTCAGTCATGTGACAGAAAAGATAGTGAAGAAACTAGGAGGCACAAACCAATTTGTAGGGATGCATATCCGTGTAGGAGATGGCATTTTCAAATTAAGAGCTTCTATCCACATCGACGATATCTTTCATTCGTTAGTGGATCAATTTACAGATCTGACTTTGGAACAAGTCACTCAATACGATCCTAAACATGATCAGGACAGATTGGAGTCAACAGATTATGAAGTTGTATTACGTAGTATGCCCGTAGAATCAAATCATACCAAGCCTATCGAAGTGCATCATGATACCCCTATTATCCTGACTGAACCTAAAACGACTATGCACTGCCAGGACCCCTTGGACGATGTCACTGCTCGTTTTAGACATACTGTACTCTATATCGCAACCGATGCACCCAACCCAAGACATCATCCTCTTTTACAGAAACTGTTTAGAGTGTTCCCTTGTACATTTGTTCTCTCTGATTTTGACGAGGAAGTAAAGGAGATTCAAAAACTTCAAGTGGTAGAAGAAAATGTCAAGCTCGACTCCTATTTGATACCCATGCTTGATGCCATGATCGCAGCCCATGGACATACCTTCTTTAGCACGCCACATAGTACATTTTCACATTATATAGAAAGACAATTGCATCCAGTTTATACTGGTAAACAAGTCCAAGTAATAGGTTTAGAAGAGTATTTAAAAAGTCAGTAAATAATAATAAAAAACAATCGATCGAGAATATAGAAAAAAGGTGAAACTTGGCTCGAAATAGAAACGAATATAGAAAAAAAAAAAAAAACGAAAGAATCGATCGAAATAATAAAGAATGTAAATACATATAAATAGTTCATCTCTTCTTCTTTTTATGTTAAAGAGTGACTGTAATGGAAGATGGCATTGAATTATATAATAAATCAATAAATATATATATGTATAAACCAAAGCTACCATTACTCAAAAATGACTATGGATCACGCTTGAACTCATTAACTCACTGTCGAAAGTGCTCAAGTCCATTCAGTAAGCCTACCACCTTATCCTGTGGTTTCACTCTGTGCCATGACTGTATCCCGCATGTGCCCTTTCAATGCATGTCATTCACTTGCCTCCGAACACACCAAAACGAACATCGAAACAGGCCAACAGTGTTACTAGAAGAAGTAATCACTCATTACCAACAAAAGAGCTTGAGTCGATCGCTCTTTAACTGTTCCATATGCCTTTCTACACTACAAGATCCTGTCACAACCCAATGCGGGCATACTTTTTGCAAGACGTGTCTCATCATGCTACAGAACAGATCTTGTCCGATATGTAGGGCTATACTTGGTCGTCTTGGTAAAGTCGATCAGTGTTTGAGTAATTGGTTATCGTTCATTTCTTCAACTGCTCCTACTTCTGCATCCACTCAACCGGATCATTCGTTATTGGTCATCCAATTAAATACCCCATCTACCATTTTACCAGCCCAGCAATGCTTATTCCATATATCGATCCCAAAAAAGAGCACAGATATCCTCAATTATATGTGTTCGCATCCTGACATAACACATTATGCCCTCTGCTTATCTGCAATATCTAAAGACATACATGGGACTATCATTCAGATCAAGCATATCGATATCCTACATAACCTCGGTCGCTCCGTTATTCAGGCCGTGGGCCTATTTTGCGTTAGCGTAAACCAGCTATCATTTGATGCATTGAGTCGCTGCTACTCTGGAAATATCACCAAGCTGGATAGGAAATATTCATTTCCTGCTATCAAGACAAAGTTACAAAACAGAAAAATGGCAACCCCTGTTCTCAGGCCACACTCAAGATCAATGCAGTTGTTCAAGACATCTCCTACATTTAAACTGGCTGACAGCTACTTGCCTTTCACTCGTCCTACCTGGGGTTCTCCTAAAAGCATGTTGATGTCCGCTTGTTTGAGAAATGCTACAAAGAAATAACCATTTTAAACTGCTTTTGTTTTACAGATAATGCTTATGCATCTATGTTTATAAATCTATATGATCTCAAGCAAACCCTTGCTCATCATAGCCTTTCCTTATTTGTCAACAAACAAATAAACTTCACACAGATCGTGAACACAAATTGTAGAGACAGATCGAACTTTATTTACCTACAAAAAGAGAGAGAAAAGGAGGGGGAGCAAGGAGAGTTAAGAACAATATATGTACACATTTATATACAAAGTATATGAAAAGGATATAAATCAAGCGTTTGTTTGTCTTTCTTTTTTTTCCAAGAAGCGCTCCCGATACGTTTTTCTCTTTGGAATTTGCTCTTCTTGGTTAGATCGAACAAAGGTCTTGAGTAGTTGATTATTATTCTAAAAATGGGAGAGTTAAATATCAATCAGCTTGCTTTTTTTTTTTCTGTTTTTTCTGTTTTTTCTGTTTTTACTGTTGTCTTTTTCAAGCTAAATTCTTTTTTAGATGTTGTTGTTGAAGGTATCAAGGGTAGACTTAATAGTGTCTGTTCCCATTTTTTCTATAATATAAATACGGCATCAGTTTTTCTCTTTCTCTTTTTCTTTTAATGCATATAAAAATGATGATTTCTACTTGGGCTATCTTTCGAGCTTCTTCCTCCTTTTCTCTTGCTTTCTTTTTGGCTGTTTCAATAATCTTGTACTTTACTTCATTAGCTTCCCATTGAGCCTTTTGCTGCTCATACTCTTCACGATCAACTGTGCTTTCTGGTTCTATTCTATTAGAGGTAACCTCTTGTCGACGCTTTCTTCTCTTCTCCAGCTTCTTTTGTTTTCGAAACTTCCATCGTGGCAATCGCTCATTGTTCATTCTAAAGCATAAACATGCTGTGACCTCGAGTTTTTCTTTTCTCGCTTATATCGGAGTTTCAATTTACAGACACCCCACTCCAATGCTCTGCGTGTATGTGTAAAGGAGTTAACAAAACAGAGAGCTGGCAGCGAGCTTTTGAATCCTTCCTTTACATAGCAACGTCGAACAAGATGGTAAAGTGTGATGATAGATGAATGATGTTGATGGATGGATGATTAGATTAACGGATAGAAGGGCTAACTCATATTCTTTAGCCTTTCGTCAAGCAGCAAAAAAACAAGGCCTACTTCAAGCGTTTCCAAGTCAAGTACCGCAGAAGAAGAGGTAATGATAATTAGAAAAAAAAAAACGAAATTCTCTATATAGAGCTCAATATGACACCATTACACTATATTGTGGATCAACATGTGTCCAATGTGTGTCATTGAGACCATTAGAAGAATTTCTTTAATTGCGAGATATTAACCTTAATTATAGAGGGTAAGACTGATTACTATGCTCGTAAGAGACTTGTTGTCCAAGCCAAGAACAAGTACAACTCTCCCAAGTACAGAATGGTCGTCCGTTTCACCAACAAGGACATCATTTGTCAAATCGTCTATGCTAAGCTCCAAGGCGATTTCGTTCTTGCCGCTGCCTATGCCCACGAACTTCCCCGTTATGGCATCAAGGGTGGTTTGACTAACTGGGCTGCTGCTTATGCTACCGGTCTTTTGCTTGCCCGTCGTGTGCTCACCAAGCTCGGCCTTGCTGACAAGTACGAAGGTTTCGCCGAACCCGATGGTACTGTCCAAATGGTCGAAGCTGCCGAAGATGCTCCTCGTCCCTTCAAGGCTTTCCTTGATGTCGGTCTTGCTCGTACCTCCACTGGTGCCCGTGTTTTTGGTGCCATGAAGGGTGCCTCCGATGGTGGTATCTACATTCCTCACAGTGGTAACCGTTTCCCTGGTTTCGATATTGAAACCAAGACCAACGATGATGAACTCCTCCGTAACTACATCTACGGTGTTCACGTCGCTGAATACATGGAATACCTTGAAGAAGAAGATGAAGAACGTTACAAGAAGCAATTCTCCACTTTCATCAAGGAAGGCATCACCTCTGACATGGTCGAAGACATGTACTCTGCTGCTCACGAAGCTATCCGTGAAAACCCTCTTCCCGAAAAGAAGGAAGCCAAGAAGCCTGTTAAGACCGGTCCTCAATTCAACAAGCGTGTTCGTCTCACTAGAAAGGAACGTCTTGCCAAGGTCAAGGCTGCCAAGGCTGCTTTCGCTGCTGAACAATAAAAAGTTTAATCATTTTCATACCTTTTTATTGATAATCAAGTTTTTTTTTCTTTATCTTTATTGTAAAATTAACGTCTGGCCGCAGGTTGATTACCAGCATTAGGATCTCCACCAACGGACATCAAGACCATACCAGCGAAAAGAATGTAGGGCCTATAAAAAAAGATTAGAGGCGATGAATCATCCCAATCGATTATATGTATACCAATATTTTTGGAAAAAACTCTTTTCTTCTGCTTCCTTTCCTTGAGGTGCTTGATCATTTACGTTCACTGTAGGCTTTTTAGAGCTTTGTTGTTGTTTTGCTTGAGCATCAAAGTTGCCTAGTAACGGTCTGGTTTCTTTTAAGATACATACATTATCAGTGTTTGCAATAAAACTTACTTTGGACCTGGAGCTGCTTTAACGACTTTTATGTCGGATTTAAATGGTTTTGTAGTGATTGGGAACTATTTAGATTTGTTATAAAAGTTGCTTTTTGGAACCACTTTTTTGTGTTTTACATTGAGTTTATCATCGCAATCTTTGGCTGTTGAATAATAATCAAGGTGATAGAATTCGTTATTTTCATCCAAATGTAAGATGAACTGGTCATTCCAATCACTTGCAACCATTTGACACTTTTTTTTTTTTAAAAAAAGTTCATTCTCTCTTCTTTTTCTATATATATACTGCGAGACACTTACTAGTTTTACTGTAGAAGTATAAATGTTGTTTGTGTTTTCATCCTTGACTTTAATTTGATAAAACATTTCTTTTGGATCATTAAATTCAACAATTTCGTTATCTGAAGGAACATATTGTGCTGTGCCTGGTAGTCCTACTATATCACCACGCCTTATGTAATTGCCATTTTTTTGATGATAGACAGATAATCTGGATACTTTATTCTAAAATAGAACGAAAAGAAATGAAACATTATTGAACATGTGTCAAGGCTAGTATAAAACATATATTTATACCTCATCAGCAATAGCAAAATGACAAATAAATGTCAAAAGGAGAACGATTGAAATGAGCATAAAAGCAGTAATGAGAAAAAAAGAAGGACGCGTGCGTCTATATGAAATAAGGAATCTTCATAGCTCCGTTCACCATACAGGGTAAAACTCCGACACACATCAGTCTGTATCTTACCAGAATAAATAAAGGCTGACCATCATTCGCGTACTGTCCGATTTTCATAATATCAGTGACTACATTAATATTTCTTCCTCCAGTGCCTTAATATTGCTCTTCTATTGGACAATGGTGTTCGGTATTCAAAAGTAAATTTTTACAAGTCTCTTCAAAACGTTACAAGCTCAAATATAACGTTGAATTGACAAGTATTGCTGTATTTACCCTATAAATACTTTGTCTTTTAAGAATGAGCAACAGAAAGAAACTGACAGCAAAACACGTTTATATAACGCATCATACTCAATTTCCATTGGCCATATAGACACTCTTGATTGCATATAAATGATGTGTGTAATAATGAACTTTCTTGTTCTTGAAGAGATTATGTAGAGGCTCATCGACATACACTTATACCTCTTCTTTATTATTCAAGACATTTCACAGTGGCTATGCATATCATGCTGGACCCTGGACAGACACGACGTTCGAAAAACCGGTATTTTCTTGTTTGCCCAACTCAAAGATGACCAACAATTTTCCACTGATAGTCGCCGAAATTCAACTCAAGATTAGCAGCTTGTTTATTGCTTGTGCTATCCACTATTGCCTCAATATATCAGAAGAGGCCAAAGTCTCGTCGATCTTGGTTGCGCTCAGCGTTGATGAATTTGTGGACAAGTCGTTTCTCAAAAAAGCATTCATGATGGGAAGTAAGCTTTATTACACTATTCGTTGTCTTCCTTGGGCCAAATTTGTCTTTGTGTATAGCATGGATTCAATTACAACCCGTTGTAGCACTGTCCCATTTTTTTTTACTCAGAAACAACAGTACTTGCTCGCTTTGGATGAATATGGTGACCCAATAATGAAGTTTATCTATCACGCTGCATACTTATATGTTCTTTTCTCGTTGTGCTTATAGGCTTGTCTCCCATTTGGCATACCGTATCATAGTCAACATTCGTAGCATTGACTGCCTCCTTTGGTTTCATAAGATTCTCTGTTTAAAAAATAAAAGCATCTTCTTCAAACTTTGTCAGTAAAAGCATTGTGCTGAGTAGATCTCTCCTTTTGGAGAGGAACTTCCTCCATTACAACATCACAAGAAGCAGTAGGCTCTGATTGAACCATTTGAGATACTTTTGTAAATCAGTCAAACTTTTCAATCTGTTGTTGCTCCTCTTCCTTCTTCGTCAAAGATATTGTCACAAATGTCTTTTTAAAGAGCTGCATGTTTAAAATAAATGATTCAAATGAGCAATAAAGTGTCCTTTTTTTTGGTCAAAAAGTAGCAAATTTGTCTCTAAAGTCCGACCGTCATTTTCAAGAAATCGTCTAATTGATGGTGGTAAACCTTTTTTTAGTACAACATGAATGGTGGAGTATCGTCTTCTTCAATGAGTTTGATTCGTTAGATCAAGTTGCTTTAAAAATATTCAGTAACACAAGTTTTATAAGAAAATATATAATTAGAAAAATTATCCTTTAAACCATATTAGAAAAAGTAGTAAAAGTAAGCAGAAAAGGGACTATTGACATGACAACAAATTGAAGAAAATGAAAGCATAAAAGATGGAGCAAAAAAAGAAAAAAGAAAAAAGAGAAAGCAAATGAGAGAAAGAGAAAAGACTCCTTTTGTCTTTTTTTTTATATTTAGTTTTTTTGTGCCCATTTCTATTTTATTAGCTTACTCCTCTTTTCTTTCTTCTTTCTTTATTCTATTTTTTTTTTTAATTCAAATTTTTAATATAAAAAAAAAGATCATCAAAGAGAGAATAATCAAGATTTAAGCTCTCTTTTTCTTTTTACAAAAAAACACACACTTTCCTTTAACAAACATCAAAAAAGCAGTAGTCATTCCTTTTACTTTCTCATTTACTTGTTCAACATTGTAACCAAGACAATACCATGGCAACCTGTTGTGCAAGGTTTGTTTACTCACACTATACACTTGGGTTCATTAATATTTAAAAAAAATAGACTGAGTAAGGTCTACATGATCATAACCAACACACTCTTCGCTTGCCTTGGGCTAGCATTTATCGCATTTGGATTGATAGGCTTCAAAAATGGGTTTTATGGATCTAGTCTTTTCCCTGCAGATATATTTCGATGTGAGTATATTTGAAGCAATATTGTGTATATATGGACATTAGAGACGAGAAACACAGAAAGAAAAGAGCGAACTGATGTTAAAATAAAAAAATTAGGGCTAGCGATTCTGGGAGCCATCATTTGTGTAACGGCCATTTTTGGCGCTATTGGAGCATTTATTAAAAAGAACTTCATCATCTATATTTACATGATCATCATTATCGCTGCTCTCGTTTTACAAGTCCTTATTGGCATCAAGCTATATCAAGCGGCTGCAAATGCACCTGCATACATGTCAAAGCTTTGGACGTCTTCCAGCATGTCACAACGCGCTAGTCTTGAGAATGAGGCAAATATATAAATCCTTTATTTGTGTGTGTGTACAAGATACTTACCGATTTATGTAATATACATAGTTTCATTGCTGTGGATATCAAACGAGCCTCGATAATTATGCTCCAACCGACCAATGTCAACCCACAAAGACTGCTATGACGCCTCTTCCTATTTGCGCTGATTTATTAATAGGCTATGCCAAAACGACCTTTAACAAAGCTTATCTAGTCGTCTTTGCCGCATTAGCATTAGAAATCTTGGCTATGTCCAATGCGATCACTCTAATTTGTACCAGCTTTGGTGCAGATGAAGAAAGCGAGAGACGTAAGCGTAGAAAATCTGGTATAAGGCTTGACGACATGTCTGTAGAGACTCCAACTACCTTAGTAGGATCTGCCTATACCATAACTGACGAACAAAAGAAGTACTACGCTGGATCTCCTGGCGCTGGATCTTATAATGCTTATTCAGCAGATACTATGCATTCGCCAGCTCGTAGTAATGGATATGATGCATACGGACATCAGGATGCAAATGCTTATCAGGCTGAACATTACGGATATCCTCAGTATAACTCACAGAGCCGTGGCAATGCTTATTATTAGCCTCTCTATTGTCTATACATACACATACTATATATATATTCTTATCCCTTCTCTCCCTCCACACCTTTTGTTATTTTTATCAGCTTTTTATTACAACTTATATACATAAAGAACGATTCCTTTGTTGTTCGCTTTTTGTTTTGTCCATTTTTTTTTTTTTAGAATCAAACACAGAAAAGAAAGAAGGAGCTTCTATTTATTTGGTACGCTTGTTAGTGCTCTTAATGACGCCACATATACGCAAATGATCTTAAATTTTACATAATCTTACTTTAGCATACATTCTTTTCCTTTTGCTTTTTTTTCTCCTTCTTTTATTCCAACAACTCGATGACAACGATGCACGGAAGCAGCTTATTGTTCTTTCTTGTTCTAGTTATATAACCTTCATAACTACTACTGCTATAAGAAGAATGGCTTGATGTGCCTGTGCCTGCCTTGGGTGCATCATTATGAATAGGCTTGATAGATGGTCTTCTGGGCGGCTCAACGCTGTTACTGCTACCGCTACTGGTACCATCCACTTGGTCAATTCTTGGGCCTTCCGTTTTAAAACCACCATTAGTGGCACCGTCTACTGGACCGATTCCTGAGCTTTCCGTTTTAAAATCAGGGTCTGTTATCTGGAAAACCTCTTTTACTCTATTGGCGTATTGGGTATCCTCTGGTTTTGCGTATTGGCCTGTAGCATTCTAACGAAAGAGTAAATACATAACACGCAGCTTAAGGTTCTTTCTTACCTCTACATGTTTACTGTTCTCTTCTTCCCAGCTTATTCCTTCAGGCAATGCTTCTTGCGCAGTTGTCTCGGCTATATCGTGCAAAATGCTTCTTGACAGTGACCCACTGGATATCCTATCTGCTGAGCTAAAAGAGGACTCCGACGATGCCTTCTTTGCAGCCTCAAGCTGGTTCGTGACTTTACCATGTTCGTCCAATTTCTTACTTGCAAAGACAAACAACCTTACGCCTTGTGAATCAATTGGTAAGACTGCGACACACATGTTGGAGACCGTCAAGGAAGCCTCGTTCTGTGGCTCGATGAGCTGAGCATGGACTGTCACCCAGGACTGTCGCCGGGTATTGAAGATCGAGAGTTCATTCAATGGGTAATTGCAGAGTATCTCGTCGTCGTCCTCGTCAACACGAATCGAGTGACCACCAAAGATGATAAGCTTGCCTGACGCTGCACACATGTAAGCCTGGAATCGATCGTGAGGACTGTCGCCTGTGGTCGGAATCAAATGTTCCTTTTGAAGGGTTGTGCCTCGCTCCGGCTGGTGTCGGAAGTATCGCTCTACTTCGGGGTGTTCATACTTGTACCACATCCATGTATTGCAATCCAGCTTATATAGATCGTCATAGATGATGTAGCTACTGTCGCTGTCAATCTGAGCACCACCATGGACGTAAAAGCTCCTGCCTATGACAGCACTTGCATGGCCAAATCTCAAATGAGGTATTTGACTATACAGTTATCTTAGATTTTTTTTAATAGACTCGTTTTTTCTTACCCACTAATAGGAGGTACAAACCAGGTATTTTCGAGTGAATCGTATACGAATACGTCATTTTCGCCTATCATAACAACAAAAAGTGAACATACAGGTTGTGTGATCAAACAACAGTTCTTTTCTCTTACCTACAGAGTTATAGCATAAACCACCGAAGACGATCAAATAGCGATTATCAACCGTATCAACTGAGTGCTCGTGCCTTGGCCTTGGTGGTGAGCCTTGAGCATCTTTGACAATACGAATCGTAAAGGTACGTGTATCAATTTCGATCAGACTATTAGACAAGGTGTATGATTTCAGCAAACGTCCACCCACAAGATAGATCTTGTGTCCGATAGCAGCAGCACTAGTGACTTGAGGATGAATCTCGTCATGGTCTATAGGTTTCAGCTTGTGAGAGGACCATTCTTGAGCGAGAAGATCAAAGGTATAGCAAAGTAGAGATTCGCTCATGAATGGCATGTAGAATGTCGTGCCGATCGCTACACCAGCTCTAAAGTTGATAAAAGGAGGTAAAGCAGGTATTGGTCTATTGACAGTATCCACGTAGGCTATTCTGTAAGCAAGTACGCTTCTTGCCAGCATAGCTTCATATGTCAAAAAAAAAATAAACATTTTATTCATGCAGGCGTAAAAGGGGGGTGTGCAAGATTGTTATCCGTACCGAAATATGAACATGTTTTTGAAAGGTTTGCCAATGATCTATTGTCAAGATAGCTTATGATGGCTAGTTTTGTGTCTAAGCTTAGGTCAAAGATAGTTGCCTGTTTTCCTAATTGAGTCATTTTAGAGCAAGAAAAAAAAAATGGATGAAAACAAAAAAAGGCATGGCAGTGATTTCATGCATATATTGAAATTCAACTTCAGTCATAAAAAAAGTATATCATTGGCCAATTTATTTAAGTTCCAGGCGATCACGGAAAGGCTCATAAATGGTTACAATGGATCAAAGAGCATAAACTTTGATTTACAACAAAGCATTTAAGGCTGCGTGAAGATCAAGGTAATGTTTGAAATACCTAGAAGGCAAAAGACGAGGTCACCTTTCACAAGTAACTCTAGCAAGGTTATCTTTGTACTTATTTAGAGTAACAATGGAAGCATGCTTGGTTGTCTTCAGACAGTCCCACTGGAATAAGATCGGCATTAGTAACCAACCGATTAAGTTCACGTATAGCCTTATTGCCTCTATGAATGTATAATTCTCTCTCTCTAGGCTTTTCATAAACAATGCATCTTAACATCTGCTTTTATAAAAATAAAAAAATAAAAAAAAACGGTTGCCATTACCAACTACAGTGAAAACAGTACCAATGGGCAGGTTTTTAGCTTACATTTTCCAATAATTCAAATTTGCAAAGCAATCATAAAGGGATCACTTCCGGATTTGAAGGCAAATTTATTAAAGATCGTTTCCGCACATCTCTTCAAGCTTTCTCTTTCCATTTTTCTGATTTTTGTTATTGGAAGCAAAAAAAAGTGTTAATTTAAAATTTGAAGTAGGTTCTTCATCTTTTAGTTCTGTAACTGTTTCAATTGTTTTTCCATTATCAAACGAGAACACCAAACCAAACGCAAGTATTTCTTGATTAATTTAATAAAAAGACCTTAACCTAATAGGTATTTGGCTGTCTCTGTCTTTTGTATGCGGCAAACATATCCATTTGTGCAATCCATAAACAAAAGTTGGTGAGTACTACATGCACCAGAAGTTAGACTAATTATACGGGCGTTACCTCTACCCATTACGTATGATATCACCCAGCAGAGCTTTTCAATATGTTTGTTTTCAAAAAGAAGAAGAAATAAAAAGAAATGTTGTTATTGATGTATTCTAATTCTATGCTGTCAGTTTGATCAACAAAGACGTGTAATTATGATATATTTGCATTATTTAGCCTACTCTCTGGTGCATATAGCTCTTTGGTATTTTATTTCCCGTCCCACAATATAATAACCCGACGATTGGCACTATTTTCACTGTACAGTGCCTCCGGCACCAATTTGCACCAATTAAAATACTTTTGCGCTTTAGTATAAAACTAATTGCTGGTCGTGCCTACACCAATTCCAGTTGACTCCAGTCGGACTCCAGATGTGATATTAGCCCTTCGAGCTGCACTTTATTTATTCGAAATAATACCATGTTTTTTTATCCTTTTCAAGACGTGCAAAGTAGTTTTTTCTTCTGTTCTCTTTCTCTCTTATCTTTTTTTTTTTTGTATAAATAAATGGGAGGGTCTTTACAGATGGTCGAAGATTCGAATATACCATGGGACTGGGAGCACCACACCTTTTGTTCTCCTTCCGTCAACTTTAGCATTGACGAAAGACAAGATTTAATTTTGTCGGTTAATGCAAAAACCGCCAATTCTAGAAGATAATGTCTCTTCTTTCATCAAGCAATGGCGCTTCATTTTTCCTTTTACCAAGGCCCAGAACTGTTCAATAGGATTTAGCTCAGGCGAGTAAAGGGGAGAGATACATTATTCTATAACCTTTAACTTTGATTTTTCGAATAATCGGTTTCGACTTATGGATACTAGCATTATCCATCACTAAATAGCTGTCCTTTAAATATTCATCCTCATTCATAATATCAAAGAACTCATTGACAAACTTAGTAGAATGAACGGTTGTTGTACCTTTTGGAACTAGTTTTACATCAACTGCACTGGTGTCATCCTCATGAGTTCCTTCGTCGTCGTAGTCTCAGCTACACCCCTTTTCTCTTCTTTTTGGCAATATTGTTTGTTTCGGGTTTGGGAGAGGGCTTTTTCAAACTGACATGATGCACTACAGACGAATGGATGGCTCCAATAACCGAGTGGGAAGTTACTTTTGTTTTTGCAGTTTTAACTACAGTGCGAGTTCCAGCTGGTGTTTTACATTATTTTCGGCTGAGTTTAGGACGTTTTGATAAAGTTTTAGGAAAATTTGAAGACTTTCGAGACGTCAATCATTTTTTATGGGACATAGTAAAGATTGTTTTAGACGATTGCTAAATTTCTTTAAACGAAAATTACATTGCTTAGGTATAAACACTTGTTTCTTAAAGTCAAATTATTATCTTTTATTCGCATAGGTACTTGAATTTTTTAGATTCAACGAGATAAAAATAAGAAAGGCTTACAGCTTTTCACTCGATTACTTAACATTGCATAAATTACAAATAATATCCACATCATAATTATTTAAAAAAAATAATTCTTACAACATATTCTTTTTTTTTTAAAAAAAAAAAACTTCAGAACTGCTCAATATATTTAACAACGGCATTTTTCCATGCTATCATCTTTGGGTTTTCTTCAGCAAATTTAACGAGTGAGCTTACGGTTGTTGGTACTGTGATTGCTACGCGTTGAATCCTAAACATTGTCTTTTTGTAAACTCTTAACTCTTCAAAAAAATCGTGTTTTCTATTTTTAAAATAGCACTATTAGAGAGTAAATGATCCAAACAAAAGAAAGGTAGTGTTGTCGACAGCCTTCTTTGGGAAAATGTGGTTACGATTTTCGAAAGAAACGAAGCAATAAGTAAGCCAGAGCTACTACAAGCTTTTAATTGCAGGGAAAACCTGTACATAAATCCAAATAAACAGGATTTGTTTATTTTAATTAACATAACTTGAAATTAAATTTCTTTGTTTTTAAAACGACTTTGTTATTTTTAAATCAGCCATCTTTTCAGGGGATGACACTTGCTATGGATGATACGTGGATAAATTTTTGTGAATTTGGCTTGAAGGGGCAAAAATAGGCTTCTTCGAATCCTTTTCGTAGCAAATATCAATTTCTCCAAAGTCAGCAATTTTCTCTTCGTAATGAGCAACATTTTCAGGATTGTTCTCGATGCAGAAAAGCATACATATGGCCCAATCGCGCGTGATGATCATTTTTTTTTTGTAAAAGAAAAGAGCATTGTGAGCAAATCTCCCATTTTGTAGATGTCCACTTTCTATGTATCATGTCCACTTTTCTGCGTATGAGGGCTATAGATATCGGTATTAATGCCTGCTGCTTTCATGTTTCTCTTTACGATGTTAGCGACTGTTACAGGGCTGACAGATTTTATCTTTTCTGGTTGGACAAGGTTGGCAAGGAAGGGTATATGATCTGCTGGTAATTTTGATCGCAATTGTCAGGCCTTGTTCATAAATTCAAACGTGGTTCTTACAGGGCATAAATGTGATAAGCTAATCGTTCCAAGCTTTGCTACTTTTGACTGGCTTTCTTTAAGCTGTCGGATATGTAATGTCATTTCATTGACAATTTGTGTTGTCAAACTTCCTTCATTTATATATCTGTGTGATTGAGGGAGTCTAAGAGTCTTTGTTGCGAGGGCTCTTGCGTCGGTATCGATGTTTTTTGCTGTTTGAAGCGAATACACTGTCAATCTTCGAGCCTTTTCTACGACGTTTGTAAAGGTTGTTGCATCGCCTCCGTTGGTGCTGATGAATTCCAGTTCTTCAGAGAGTATTGAAGCTGCTTTTGCTGCGTATCTAAGCTTATCGGCGTCTTTGTAGCGCTGTTGAGTGACTTGGAAGGCATCAACTTAGTATTTTTCGAGCAGCGGAACAAAGGATATGTTGATTGTTTCAGGTGTTGTCCATTCATTGTCTTCATAGTGAGGTAGGTCTCTGACATAGCGTTTGAGCTTCTTTTCCATTGCAGACGTGGTAGTCTCCTCCAGGTCTGAAAGTATTGCTGCGGGAATTGCTGTGAATTCATCCTCTTTGTTCTCAGCTTCCTCCGTTCGAAAAAGAGCTGCGTACTGTTGGTAGAGCAGCTCCAACTGCTTGAATGATAGGTTAAGTTTTGTATTTCCATTTCCATCATGTATGGTATTCTCCATAACAAAACCCCTGGCGCGCGGCTTAGAAAAGGATAAAGAAACACGATGTTTATTTCTATTTTATATTATTTCGAATAAATAAAGTGCAGCTCGAAGGGCTAATATCACATCTGGAGTCCGACTGGAGTCAACTGGAATTGGTGTAGGCACGACCAGCAATTAGTTTTATACTAAAGCGCAAAAGTATTTTAATTGGTGCAAATTGGTGCCGGAGGCATTGTATAAAGTCATTTGGCTTACTTTAGAAGCGGTAAAGCTGAAGTCAAATTGATTCCTGGGAAGTTTGATTCATTGCCTAATAATGCTGATACTCCCATCAAGATAAAAAAAACTGAAGCTAACTTATCAGAGGACATCTGTTGACTATAGCTTAAAAAAGACAAGAGTACACTTTGGTTACGATTATACTAAAGATACCCCCTTATTTAACTCTATATAACTTTATTAGACATCAATAGGAGTAAAGCAAGTGAATTGATGTTGGCAGAATCAATTTAAATCATACACGTTTCCACAGAACCATCTACGGCCCGTTATTTAGCCGGTCATCTCTTCTGGCTATGAATGTTTGAAATCCTTTCCTTCTTATTAAGAATAAACTATGGCCTACGGTTTATTATGGCCTTTTCTGAAGAAACGAAACAAAAGAGAAATAAACCTTGTAAGGCATCTTTTATGCACTTCCAGCAAACATTTTCTTACACTCTCTTCTTTTAGGTGAAAACTGTCGAGCTCATCGAAGGAAATGTGTAGTGATTCAAGGAAAGCAATGTGATCGCTGCTTGAAAATGAACTTGCCCTGCGTGTTCAAGTTCAATGCAAAACCTACTGTCATCAAAAAACCAGTGTCCATCTCTAGGAAAAATAAGTTAATGACACAAATGAAAGCAATGGAGCAACAATTGGCAGCAATGGAACAGCAGTTAAAAAGCTTTCATGTTGAAGCTAAATTACAGCCGATTAAAGATGAAACAGAAGAGGATGAGAGGATGAGTAGTAACTATGACTCCATAGATATGGAAACTACCTCTGAATCATACAATATCTTTGATCAGTCTGATGATACAGATAAGAGCTTATTACGTACCAGCAAATCAAGTGATATCACAAATAGCTGGCAACTTACCATAACAGGAGGATCAAGTGGGATCAACTTCCAAACATCTATAAGGAATATAAACGACATCAACAGCTTCCTTTCAGAGACAGCACGATATTTTAATGCAACACTTTCACGTACTCCTAATTATCATATTGATCGCTCCTTGCAGATGATTCAGGTGACAAACAAAATGCTGCAAGTAGAACATATATTACACAGCATATTTCAAAACAACAAAACAGAGACTGGAAGATTAGCAATTGAGTTACCAATATGTGATGACCATACTAGAATCTATATGAAGAGACAGGTTATTTCATCCTATTTTGGCTGTATGGGATTACTTACTCCTGTATTCTCAAAACCTTACTATCTTCCTCTTTTTGATTTCAACCCAAACACGATGGTTGCAACAGCCCTTGCATCATTTATAACTTATTCACAATGCTGTCATATCCAATATATACAGCATCCTTTCACCAGAGAGACCTTGGCAGAGTCTTTTCGCCAAGAAGCTAAAGCACTTTTACAAGAGGTCTTGTTTGATGAAGGGCATGATATATACACAGTTGCGACACTTATGTTCCTAGCACAGTCTGCTTTGATCGTCCTAAACAACTCAGAGGCAAGACTATACATGAACATGGCTTGGCGAATGGTACTCGAACTACAACCAAGATATGCTCATTTACTCGACGGTGTAACATCTGACACACCAGTGACAGAGGAGATCATTGAAGCAGAGACCTGGAGACGTTTATTTTATGCAGTAAGATATTATGAACTGACGCTATGCTTGATTTGCGACGAACGTGACGATTACAGCTCCATCATGTTCAATGTAGGCATTGGATATCCCATTGTTTTAAATATCGAAAAAGACATTAAGGAATCAAGAGATTCTGTAGAGGCCTTTTATCACCTCGTGCGCGTCAATGACTGTCAAATGACTCAAAGAGACGATGAATTACGGTATAAGCTTTTGGCAGGAAAGTTGGATAAATTGTCAGTAAACGACTTGCAAAAACTCGAAACTCAACTATGCGACTTTTGGGGCAGTATGCCCAAGGAATTTCGACTATCAGACTCTCCTTTTGACTACCTTCAGCTTGACCGGATTCAGCAGTGCAGCAACCCATTTGCTTTATATATTAACCAAATCTATTATTCATACTGGATTGGACTTGAAACCAGATTGATGCAGTCTCCTTCCGATACTGATTTGAAAGGAATCAACATGGAGAGATACGACGGCGAACGTGCTTTACTTCTTGTATCCATCATCACGGATGCCATGACCAAGATATTCCACGTCTTATTTCACAAAGTGCCGTGCGTTGTTGAACTACACTGGATGCTCATCGTTGCTGATTCTTTACGTATGCTGAAAAAGTCACCAAACTTAACTATTCGAGCAAGGGCATCAAGGAACTTGAATATTACTCTTGACGTCCTAAAACAAAGAGTACCAAAGTTGAGTGAAGACGAAGGTGCTTCAACAAATGAAAACTATCGATTCTTGAAAAACTTCATACCTTCCATTCTCACACCTGACACAACAAGTACAAGCTCTGGTAGTTTAGCGGGTTCTGAGCCAGACAGTACACATACAGAAGTTGAATATTTTGCAAACAAACCATCATCGACTACCCTTCCTGCTGCTTATTTTGGCGAACTACAAAAAACAGTTCATGCTTACTTGGATGACGACGACCCAGTTTCATTACAATAATTGTAGAGAAGGCTCATTTTGTATATAATCATACTTTCTATTTTTTTTTTTTTTTCTCCTTTGCGCTTCTGTACTCATGAGCATAAACGCTTATACCATTACATAAAAGCATTACATTTATATAAACTTGTCGTTTCTTTTTCAAGTATAATCAGTGTATCTTTTTGTCTTATGTATTCTAGCTTTTCATCAACAAGAATTGTACATAATCGTCCCCTATGAACCTTTTCTATCCTCTTTTATAAACTAGGCATTAAAACCGTGTCGTATATATATGTATGTGAGTGTGGCCATGAGAATATGAAAGGTTTATTAAGGGTGAACAATTGAAACAGTTTAAGCATCCTTGATCTTCTTGGTACCACGGAGGAGACCAGTACGACGGGCAGCAATCAAACCAACCTTTTGACCAGCAGGAGAGTCACGGGCCATGGTAGAAGCCTTACCAATGTGTTGATGGTTACCACCACCGTGAGGATGGTCAACAGGGTTCATAGCAACACCACGAGTCTTGGGCCAGCTGTTACGCTTGACCTTGAATTTGTGGTAGGCACGACCGGCCTTCAAGAGGGGCTTGTCAATACGACCACCACCGGCAACGATACCGACGACAGCACGAGAGGTGGAGGGAATGACCTTCTTGGAGCCAGAGGGGAGACGAATACGAGTCTTACCGTCATCACCGTGACCGATGATAGTGGCATAGTTACCAGAAGTACGAGCGATAGCACCACGGTCACCAACCTTTTCTTCGACGTTACAGATGACAGTACCTTCAGGCATAGAGGCCAAAGGCATGACATTACCAATGTTCAAAGAGGCCTTCTTACCAGCATAGATGAATTGACCGGTGTACATACCTTCAGTGGCGATGAAGGTTTCGGTACGGAGCTTATACCTAAAAAGTTATGTAAAATGTCAATGAGGCTGTTCATATAATTGCTTTTGTTGTTTGTTGCTGTTGATGTTAACATACTTGTAAGGATCACGGAAAACGACCTAAAAAAATGTTAATGTCAATTCTATAATACATGTGTATAAATTTACCTTGGCAAGGGGAGCACCTCTACCGGGATCGTGAACAATCTCCTTTACAATACCACGAATGTAACCGTGGCGTTCAGCAAAGTCGAAAACTCTGAGCTTAGCAGCACCCTTACGGCCAACGGTGTGAGATTTGAAAATACTTCCAGCACCCTTTCTTTGAGCACGAATGACACGACCCATTTCTAGTTATCTTTAATAAGATAGATGTGAGTTGATGTTACTAAAAGCGCTGTGTATAATGATTTCTTTTTGTTACATAATCCTTGTCAATCCATCTACAATCCATTTTGATGAACTGACATCTCGATTATGTAATCTGATAGTTGTACGTACACTAGGTTGGAAATGAAAAGAGGTTGTTCCATGATTGCCCTTTCTGCATGTTCTTTTGTTTGGCTTCCCGCTTTTGTCAAGATACGAATTTCTTTATTTCCTGTCCACTCTACAGATCGTGGTCCGGCTGTACTTTTTGTTCGGCAATAAATGTGACCTTTTTTTCCTCTGCTCTTCCTTCCCTTTTTTTTTTCCCTTTATTTTCTATTAGTTTTCTCTGAAGTAGTCAACACTTTCGCTAATCCTATCAGTTTGATTGATATTAATCAAGCTCTTGAGCCGTCTTCTATTGATAGTGTTATGAAGATCAAGTACTCCTGTATTTATGTTAAAAAATTAGAGTGGAAGGAGTGCCTGAAGGAAATTGAAGAAGCCTGTGTTGTTCGTTAGATTATTTCCAAGAGCAACGTACTTATTAAGACACACAAGAAGAGACAACAAAAGGCTTATGCCGAACTACGCGTTTACCATAGTAGTAACAAGCACGCTTTTATTTCTTGGCCCGTCACCCTTCAGTTTTCATTTTACACGTCAAAAAAGTGCACGCGAGCCATGTTCCCGAAGATAGAAGAAGAAAATGTAGAGATCGTAGAATATGACAACTGGATTGTTAAGTATTTTAATGATGAAAACAGCTCTTGTCTCGTTGTAGTAGATAACTGTAAGATTATTGAGTGCTCCTGTTGCTATTAAAGAAGACATCAGCGACCCTATAAGCATATATACTTGCTTGATATCCATGTAAATGAATTCAGCATGTTAAGAAACTCAACCGGTATAAATATGCCCACGTACCAAACGCAAGACGCTCCTCTTCTTCCCTCCTCTCCACAAATAAACAGTGGGCAGCCTTATATGGCGTCTACTGAAAGAATGTTAAAACGTGCAGTAGATATTGCCTGTACTATTTGTCATTCTAATGAGGAACTTATCTCCATTAAGAACTATATTGAAAATGAAGAAGCTAATAACTTATTATTAGCATATGAAGAGGCATTCAGTAAACCTCAAAGCCTGAAAGACAAATACAGCTCACATCTCAGAACATTAGATACTCAAAGATAATAAATACTTAAAGTGAGTGAGCGCGAATCTACTATCAAAAATTAGATCTTAGTCAAATTTTATGCTATTTTGCTTCTTACCTATCTTGCTCCTTTCTGACAATATGGAAAGGTTTGATAATAGATCATTCGCTCAGAATTTTTTTTTAATTGTTCACTTTTCATATCCTTTATGCAGTCGCCTGAGAGCTGAACATGGCAATTTCTGTTACCACAAGTCAAGCACATGCAGTTTTTTGTTTTTTGCTATTTGCGCAGCATTTCCACAATTAGTGAGATAGGAAATTCAATTTGCACAACAAACAGCATATCTATCGTGTTTACCTTATAAATACCCCATCTTGTAAAAGGATTGTTCTGAATAGGCTTTCAACAAATTCAGACCAAATATATGTCGGTGGAAGATGCATTGATCGAGTCTAGATTCATGTAAAAAGCTAAATATTTGTTTTTTATCTGTCTATCCTTTCACTTACATATGGGTATTTATCTTCTTGACATTTCTTTCTTTGCTGTCCTGGGATTGATAGTTCTCAGCAGACATACAGACATCCATGATGGCGTGTTTATTTTAGGCCTAGTATAACATCCGTAAAATCAGTACCTAATTCTACACCAAATTATACTTTAAACCTACATTCTTAAACTCTTTTTTCAATAGTCTAATATTGGGATCGCTGATGCAGTCAGATGTATGTTTGTGCTTTGTAGCTTTTAAAAAAATTGCAACATAGATGCCAAGTGACTATAATTGTAAATTCTGCTGGTTATTATCACTTATATCAATAGTATCGTTTTTAGAAAAGCTGCAAACAAAGCTATTAGACAGGTCATTGTACAGGTTTACAGCATTAACTTATGATGAAAAACATTTGGAGCGTGCACTCGATACCGGAAGCTCGTCATCAATCCTGATCAAATTACTGCCTAGTGAGCTTCTAAGACCAGCGACTGTAGTTGTATCTTTTGCAGTTAACTGAGAGATAGACGCAGTATTAGTCAGGGCTTGTTACTGCTTGAAAGTATTATTTCTGAAGGAGTTTACCTACCTTTATTTTTGGGGAAACACTACATGCACCAGAAATACACCAGAAGTTAGGCTAATACTACGGGCGCTACCTCTACTCATTACCTATTATATCATCCAACAAAGCTTTCGAATGTAAGAAACTGCGCTAAGTATGGCTTTATAAAGTTGCTATCTTGTTTTGTTTCTTTTCAAGAAGAAGAGATAAAAAGAAATATTTTTATTTATTCTAAACTTATGTTGTCAGTTGATCAAAAAAGACCACTTATGATAGATTCGTATCTACATTATTTAACCTATTTTCTGATGTATTTTCTGGTGCATGTAGTGTTCATCTTTATTTTGGGAGGGAATTACTGTGCTAAAAAAATTATAGAATTCTTTATTTAAGCACTTAAAAAACATTTATAGAATGTTGGATAAATTTTTGTAAATGTTCAATAGGAACATTTTCGTTTCCTTCAATAGCTCTAATGCAAGCGTTTCAGCATTGCTCAGCTTATTTCGTTTAACTTTGTCCTTCAAGGTTTCCAGTGTCTCATATAGTAAGTATATTCTTCAATAGGCACCTCTGCAGGCATTGATTCCGCATAGTAATCCCTCTTATCTCTGGCCTCTGCTGTTTCTTTCCTATCAGCCCTTTCACTTACAAGCGCATTGTGTAGCCCATTCGTCAATATTTTTAAAATTACTGATTTACTAACTTGTGGAGGATGCGTTACAGCAAAAAAATAAATCGATTTGCATTACTCTAAACTTAATTCGCGTAATTTTATCACAGTACAAAAGCTTATACAAGGAGTTCATTTAAGCAATCTTCAAATACGTTTGCAGAATGCTGTACAAAATTGTATAAATGCTTTCTGGGAACTTAGTCACATGCCTCTTAAATTCTGGTTTTTATGACTTCTATATCGCCAAACTAACTATGTCTTGCCTTTCTTTTAACAATTGCCTAAAGTGGTTCGATGGGATTAAACGGGGGAATAGGGTGAAAGGCAGATGCACTTGTATCCTCTATTTTCGATTAGTTGGCTAAGTTCGCCGTTTTTCCCGTGAATAGGTGCTTTGCGCATAATCATATAAAATCCTTTAAATTGAGGATACTTGTCCGCCCTACTCATAGTTTTCATAATGAAGTTCGTATAATGACCAGCATTGGTTCCGCCCTATATTTTTGTTGCAGTAGCAGTTGCCTTTCTCTTTTTGGCTCCAGACAATTACTTTTTTTGTAACCAACAATATCCACCAGCTGGACTGTACACATACACACAAAAAAGACAAGCTCAGGCTTACGGATCTTAGCCCGGACCGGATTTTTATTTTAATTGTAGTAAGCCTTGATTTGTTCGTCCTTTTTGATTGGCTTCAATGCAGTAACAGTGATCTTGTTGCCATTAAAAGAAATTTTAACATTGGCATCGTCTAAAGGTGATTTACAGAGATAAGAAGAGATCTTATATACAGAGCTACCTAATACATTATCACTGTCAAGTTTACGACTAGGCTCAGCAGATTTCTATAGATAAGAATTAATGAATTGCTATCATTAGCTTGAGACTGCATACCTCTACAGATACTTCGGTAGCTGAAATAACATCAAAGGCATTTTCATTCAACTTGCCCAACAACATAAGATAAACTTCATCAGTCAAAAATTCGTCAATACCAGGAACCTTGGAAGATAAGAGTTCTTTGATCATCTTGGTTTCGTTTGCATGTTTATCAGCTGGTGTCAATTCTGCGCCTTTCAATCTTTCAATATGGTCCCATGAATTGTACTTGGGTCTATTCTTCTTGTCTAATTCTTCAGCAACCATAGCAGTAAACAATTGGGCAATCATCTGAGGATACTTGCTATTTTGATTTTGTACATACTTGACAAATGCCGTCTCCTTGGCTTCATCTGCATTCGTGTTTACTTTGCTGTTTGTGCACAAATATTGATGATATTGTTGGTTGGCAGCTGATTCACAGTCTTCAGAGCAAAAGGCTACTTTGTCACAGTTTTTGCATTCAACAATTGAATCTGTTAGCTTGTTCATGCAGTAGTTACAATATTGACCCTATTAAAAAAAAAGATAGGTGGCCTTTTAGTGTCCAAAAAGAAGAGAGTGGGCATCTTTATCAATCATTACCTCTAATTGAGGAGACAAGGCAGATATCAGTGGTGATTCTGTATATAACACATCGTTTTCTTCAAAATCTTGCTCAGCAACTAGACCATAGCTAGCCTTTTCGCCTTCTGTCATTTCCTTCAATCTCAATTTGACATCCTCAGGTGGGAACTGTTCATAAAACTCAGTTTGTCTCTTTTGTTGCTATAGCACTAGGTTAGATCTATGATGCTTTTGCCGTGACAATTTCACCATACCTCCACAGCCATGATATTCACAACAATTCTGAACACAACTTCTGGTAAAGTTTGCTGATAGATCATGATGAGTTCTAACGGAGCAGGATAAATCTTTAATGCCTTGTAAAAGTGCTTGACACTTTCATTGTGAAGACCCTGTTGGCATAGAGCTTCACCAGCTGCGACTTGTTCCATAAAGTATTTCTCCTTCTCTTCAGGCGATTCAGGAAAAGTCTCTTGGGCTATTTCATCCAAAACATCCTGAACAAGCTGTTCAACAGTGGCGAGTTCTGCCTTTTTCGTTTCTTTTTCAACTTTAGCTTGTTTCTTTCGTTCGCGTTCTGTTTTAGAGTGTTAATTTAGAGACTTTCACAAGCCACTTCACTTACTGAGTTGTTTCTTAAATTCTGGATCCTTTCTGCGCTTTTGGTCAAAATAAACCAAATAACCAATACCAAAGGCGGCAATAACAGCCGTAGAAATAACAGCGACAGTCGAAGCCTTGACAGCCATTAAGGAAGAAAAAGAAAGCGAGAAAAAATGTCAGAATTTTTTATTCGGGGCTTTTCAGTTTGGTCTGTCGCATTTTAAAATTTGGTTTGTCGTGTTCTGATAACACAAGACGCATTTCACTTGTCGTTTAATGTTTGAAGACGAAAAAGATGAATTCTTAAAAGAAACTCTTGATATCATGGATAAATTTGAGTATATGCATGAGCAGAGAATAACATTGTATTAGGCTTCTAACAGTGAAAGAATAGTTTGAAGCACATTGCAAAGAAAGCTTTCGATTTCCTCGAGATAATTAAAGCACTGCAAGTTGATCCTCCCGATCGCTAGTCGTTCGAAGAAGAGGTTAAAAAGACGGTCAACACAATAAGCAAAAATATATGCCAGCTAACCGCTTTGAAGTAGCTTGTATCCAGAGTTGCCACTGGCAACTTTTCGCGTAATAAACTGTTGTTCAACAGTTGTTAATTATGATTAACTATTTTTTTCTTTCTCTAAGTTCTCAGAAGCGAGGCCATGTGCAATCAATGGAGCGTTATGGAGCTCCGAAAGATATGTTAAAGAACGCGCTAAAGTAGGCAAAGGTTGCCAGTACAACGCTTGACGTGTTTGATATAAATAACTATAATACTCTATATCTTACAATAGAGCATACATTTTACTTTCTTCTATCGCATTTGATGAAGAGCGCTGATAACAATAGTATTTGAACCACGCTTTTCTTTTTAAGATTCTTGTTTGAGCTACTGGTCACTCTCTGCATACAGGGCTTATCTTAAACAGAACTTCTGATTTCACAAATAGACGTACACAAACCATAAATTACATTGCCACACTCCTCACATTGCAAACAAGCTAATGGTATCAGCTACAAATAAGTTGTGATAAAATGTATTTTCTCATGTTTTAATAATGTAATGGATCCGTCAATAAATATGACAATAGATCTGTTTTTAAAAGCGTTAACTAGCGTAATAGCATTGGCGTTTGACTTGTGTCTAGTCTTTTTGTTTACACTTGTCTACACAATTCTGACAATCATGGTACGTCCAAGATCTTTAATAAAGTTTATTCGTATAAGAAAAGTCTTATATATTCTAAATCATTTACGCAAAAGGCGGTAAAGCAGCTTACTGTAGTTTGTTACAGTCTCACTGCATACGAGGCATCAGGCAATGTTAACTCACGGTTAACTCCATGAGTAATAACGGTTTCTACTTCTAAACGCATTATTTCTCGAAGCTCCATCAGTAATTGATCAACCAAAAGTGCTAAAGGAGCTTCAGCTGGTGGGACATCCAGCATTGTTCTTATTCTAGTTACTTGTCTTTTGAAGTTTGCAATAACAACTACTTGATCAGCATCATGTTCTTGCCCAATAAATACATCACTGCTAATCTCTTCAATCTAAAGAGTATCTTTTAATATTTTCTTTGGATTTATGCTCTCGTTATTCACGCTACCTTTGCTAATAAATAGTCTAATAAGATGCTCCATTCATATGCGTTCACGACAGTAGCATCGCTACGTGAAACAAACAGCAGCTGTAGTAGTGATAGAAACATATTCCATATAGGAATACCAGCACCTCCAGTCTATACTGTGTGTTAGCCGTCATAAAAATATGTATTATGCCTATATCTTACAATAAATAGCGTCGAAGGCTCGATTGCTTCCAATAATCTTCGTAGAGATGGCCATATGGACAACCAAAAGAACACTTGGTTAATGCCCTGTTCTTCACCCAAAGTTTTGCACTTCATCTTTAATAAGGCCCATGTTTTTGTTAAAAGGAAGCATAGTAGTAACACTTCATTCACACGGCTGTACAAGAAATTGGAACTAGGGTTGTGGAAATCGATCTTTACACTGTTTAGAATCTGCGTTATAAGATCCGTAATAACATTCTCGTAGCGTAGCATAGAAAGTAGTGCTTGGCTTGATTTTGATTTTAGTAAAGCCAAGATGAACCAGTTCAAGAATCGAAGGCATTCTGGTGTTTCCTCAAGCTGCATAATATGTTAGCAACTGGCTTATGAAAGGGCTGTTTACTTTACCTTTAGATATCCTAATATTCTTGTCATTTCATTAGGGTCTTTGGTGCAACTATAAGCAACGAGTTGAGATGTAATACTATGCACCTTGAAATCTCTCTTTGTAAAAGGTTGGCTGCTGGAAGGCAATTTTAAAAAGTGGACCATCTGAGACAATATATTTTTCAACTTGAGTTCAAAGTAGCTTGCGTGTTCATTGGAATTGTTGAACACTGATTTGCTTATCTTCATATACCATGCTTGACCCGATGGCGTAAGATCCCAATAGATGGTCTGAAGTAACATAAGCATCGTTTCCTTGTTTGGTCTATTTAGCCCTAGAAGGTAATTCTTGGTTTCTTCTAATATGATATCAACAAAGGGATTGACAGGAGGAACATCAGGCACAGAGGTAATCAATGAGTAGGCAATTAATAATCTTGCTACGGCTTCAGGTTGTATCATGCAATCGTGAAGACCATACTTAAATACGGCTTGTATCGGCGAAAGTAAGCTAGAATATTGATAAGGGTGTTCTTTCAGGAGAATAGCAGACATAGACAGAACAGGATTGATGTCCCAATCGGATCGTCTCCAGTCTGAGGTATGTTTAATCAGGGTATTGAGAAAGTTGGGGAGCTCATTCAGTATGCTCAAGGAATATGGGTGCGAGTGCACTGTCTCCACATATTTACAAGTGTTGTGTAATACGTTCGAAAAAGCTTTGCGATCCATTTGCTGTTTCATCAGTTTGTCGAGTACATCACGAACAGGCTGATCATACAAGTAAACGTGTTCTCCATGGATATCTTCATCAGGCACAATATCTTCTGGATCTATTACTGTACGTAATACAAAGAAAAGATCAACCTTCTTGTTGCTATCGTCATGAACAGGTTGATTTTTAAACAACAGGACAAATAGTCCTGCTACAGCAAAGCGCAGAAACGCACTCTTTAAGAACTGTTTTGCCTTTAGGAGCACAGGATCTGAATGCTTAAGTCCATGCTTTGTTAGGATTTTGCCAAGAGCCATGATCTGTTTTGATAACACCATGGCTGTAAGGTGATCTGAACGACGGAGAAGGCACTTGAGGATTTCTAATATCAATAGCTTGTTCTCTTCACTGACATCCATGTTTAAAAGTTCAATAACTACTTTCATACAGCTAACAATATCTCGCTCGTATCGAGGCTCTAAAATGTTGTGCTAATTTAGATGAGTTAGTATTAAGAAAAGAAACAGTTAATATTATATACTTTGTAAATAACAATCAGAAAAGTCTCGAGCCAAGTTCTTAGCATCAAGTTACCAAGTTGAGCAAGATCAATTCCAGAATTTAGCATTTTGAACACAACATCAAGAAAATAGACACCAGGGCTAGTATTTTCGGATAAATTCAGCTTGCCATGTTCGACTGATTGAGAGACCATGAGGGCAATTGTTTCGGCAGGGAGAGGCGCAAAGCTGTCCATGACCTTTTTCAGACTACGGACACAACAAATCATTGAAGCCACCTGTAAAGAATTGTTTGGGTCGTATCTTAGATGATCAAATTCAACACTTATTTCTCCTGCGTTATTGAAATAATGGCAATTTTGAAATCCCATTTGCTGCACCAGTATAAGCTTTAGTCGGAATATCTGTTCATGAGTTGGTTTCAAGTGATTGCTCAACATTTGTAAAGCAAGTGTTATCAACAGCAGCTTCAAGTTTTGAATCTCTTTATCAGATTGGATTTCATCTTTGAGAAGATCGTAGTTTAGTGGCGTGTGGGCTGGATCATCACTCACAACTATGTATGACTCCCTTTCTAAAGCTTCCAATAGAGACTCCCATTCTAACACTTGCCAATCCGGGAAAAGCGCGTTGAGTTGCATCATTTGTTGTATCAATACCTTCTTTTGTTCGTCTGACGCTGTCAAAAAATATGCCTCCCAGCATCGAAATGCTGAACGAAGATGGAGAGTGTTGAGCGTTCTGATCAGTGTCAATGCTTTTGATCGAACCTTATCCTTTATACAAAGTATATTAGTTTTTAAACTTGCTATGAAGTGGACTATTTACCTCTTTATCCCATAGGCTTTGGACGAAAAAACTAAACATCGGGCCAAGATGACAAAGGAGCTTGAGCCATTCTGTCTGAAATATAGTATCCATTTTTGTAAATAATCCAAACAAGTTATCTAATCCTTGATACCTTGGGTATTCTTGTTAGTAGGTTACAACTTACACTCGCCTAATATCGCACATACCTTAGTTCCCAATTTTGATCTTTAAAGATTTCGTGCACATAGGATTGAAAATATCCTGCATCAATGCTGATGAGATTCATTAACAGAGTCAGATTGATATCACTCAGATAATCAAAAGTAGGTAAAAGATGTTTCCATATGCTATGTAGTCCAGTTAGAATAATGATTGAGCATCAGCAGGGTCTTACATACGTTGGCATGATATGAGGCATACACTTTAGCAGAAATTCTTCCTTGTTGAGAATACCGTTACCCCATTGAGATAAAGCGTAGTACAGCTTGATTATATATTCATCAATGTCAAGCTGCCTGAATTCAAGATATGTGAGCAAGTATCGAATGACGGGCGATTTCTCGTCAGGCTGTATAGCAACATTGTTTGCATGAAACGTATTCCTTTTGCTTGCTCTAGATATGTAGATTTGTTATGCGAGTCTTACATCCACGTTATATACTTACGGTGAGATAGGACTACTGCTAGTGAATGGCACGATATCAAGATCAGCTATATTGTTCAAGGAGCAACCAAAGGCAAACGCTATTAACGCAATTGAGTGCTTAATAAAGCTTTGCATACTCAATAGGTTTCTGTCAGAGTCATTGAGTTTTGATAGCATTTCTGCTTGATTTTCATGAATATGACTAATGATTTCGATGATATCCTTTCGAGCAAGTAGACCACTTGAGACTCCAGCAGTCTGAAGCCATATAACTTTTACAAACTCTGCAAATACATCCAATGAGGCTTGAGATTTCGTCAGCATCTTTGCTATTTGTATCAATGCTTTGGAGGGCACACCAGTTCTAAGCAGAATATATGAATATTTACATTACATGCTCTGATCTTATTATTACCCAGCATAAACTGTCAAAGTCAGCCATCTCATGCCTCGGCTTATACCCTCCTTACTGCCATCGTTAAATTGTTCTACAAGTATATCTAACGCTGAGCCAAACCTACTACTATCTGGAGAACCAGGGACTGTCTTTAATTTTGATGAGCAGAGCTTTGCAAGGTGCTTGATTTCTAATATTTCTTCACCCTAGAACATATTGTTATCCTATATTGAATCTAAAGATGGAAGATATATATATTCTTACCTGAAGAATACCAAGGCTATCAAATTCTTCGTATGCATGATTGAACCATTTTTGTATGAGGAAATCAAGAGAAGAAAATACCAGGCCGTAGCTCTTTAACTTTAATATATGGCTTACAAACTGTTCATATCGTTCTACAACTTGCTTCTATAACAGGCGTGTTATTTTCTTAACAATATCTTTTATTTTTCTTACCTTTCTATCGCGAGCTTCATTCCAACAAAGGGGTATGCTGTACTCACGTTTATCATCAAGAGAACTTTCAATGGCTGTAAATAGCATATCCGCATAGGCTTGTCTATCCATGTCATGAAGTGAACACATCCAATATGCCACGTATCGATCCTTCAAAGCAGCGCGTGTTGTTACATAAATATTACTTGCTCCACTACTAACACCTGCCGTTGCGCTATGATACAGCACACTCTGCCTGTGACGATCTGCATGCTGTCCCTTTATTTTTCTCGCGTAAGCTGTTTGTGCCCATCTGATATGCTGTTTGCTCAAGTTTGAAGCCTTATTTGAAGTAAGTTCTGCATGAAGTGCCAACAGTCTTTCGTCTTCGTCAAATGTCCATGACAATATAGCCTGAATCAAGCGCTGTTGTGTATACTGTGACATAAAGGAGCTTGGCCAACACCGTCGTACTAAAAGGAGTAGGCCACATTCATTGATAGACAAGTTCACATCAGTAAGACAGGCTTCAATAGCATTCAGTGTTGATTCGACTGTAAACGAACAGTCAATAGCAAAAGGAACAGGGAATATGCATGTAATAGGCGTATCATCGTGATTAGCTGATGTAGTCTCATCTGCATAAAACACGATGGCTGAGCCATCAAACCTTTCAAAGAGTCCAACATTCCGCATATGTTGAATCAACAATTCAGCTGCTTTGCGACTCTTGAAGTTTATATTAGTCATAACCCAGGAGAGTAATACGGATCGGTCGAGCTGCTCATTGGGTGGACTACCGCTGTTAAAATCATCTGCTTCCTCTTCCCATGGCGAGTAAGGAGCAGGATTGACCTGCAAAAATCCACGAGCATCGCCAATAGAGCGTCTGGGATCTAATGGTGGAGGAGACGAATGGGAGTAGGCAGTAGGACTTCCGGCGGTAAAGTTATCACCAAATGAAGTAACTAAACTTTTCATCATGGCGCTCAAATGGCTTAGATAATCTTCTCTACTCAATACATATTCATTCATTTTATCCTGCTGCTTTTGGAAATTAACCAAAAAAGTAGACTTTCTGCATTTTTCTGAGCCCAAGTAGTCTAGACAGGCTCGAATAGAAGCTGTCAGTAATTGACATGAACCTGTTGCATACAGTATTTCATCACTAAATGGATTAGATGTCGAATTTTCCTCTTGTCGCAGCTGAGAAATTAATGGATCTTCCGATTCGTCACTGATCAAAATGCAGCCTGTAGCAATACCCCAGTGCATGATATTATCTTGTAGTAGCAAAGTGTTCAAAATGGTGGCTACTTCTTCAAATCCTCTATCCTGAAGGTCTTTTACCTTTAGCGGTAAAGCATCACCATAAAACTCGTATAAACTTTTTGAAATATCGCTTGTTGTAACATGTATATCGCTTTCGGCTAAAAATTGACCAGGTCGACATGTATGAAAGGATGTGTTTGAAAATGCATTATTTTCTTCTGCCTCTGATAAGCAGTGTGGATGAACAAAGCGGTTACAATGGGTACAGTGATAGCATTGCTGTGCAATGCCCCAGAGGGGTAAAGAGCAACTTGCACAGGTGGTTAAAGTATAGAGATTGACGAGGTTAAAGACATGGCCCAATAGTCCTACTCGAGCGGAATTTGATTTCATTGTCCAGTGCGCCATACCACGATTGACCATATCTGTGAAACGCGGCGAGGGAGGTATAGTACAGTACATAGGAGTAACGACCTTTTGGATACCGCCTGCCTTCAAATAAAACAAGGTTCCCTGCTCATTAGCGCTAGAGTTAAAGCAGCTATAGTGGACACTTGCTTTGCATTGATAGCAGCGTAACCCGTATCCTTTAATAGATTTGAAGCATTCTTTACAAAAGGCTTCATTGACATCATCATGCATCTGAAATAAAGCTGTACCAGTCGTATGTTTGCTTTCAATACTGTTGCTAGCTCTATCGAATATATGTGGGTTCCATATATGTTGCACTTCATTCATTTCATTCTCTGGAGTGTCTAGGGCACTTGACGACGCAGTGTTTTGAACTACTGGCTGTTGGTTCTTTTGCAGTCGCTTATAGCTACCTGATAGCCTGGGTTCATTTTGCTCTTGTTCCGTCTTTTGTTCTTTTCGGCGTTTATCCAATGCTGCTATTTCTTCTTCAATACTTAATAGAGATATAGGGCTGGTTATTAAAGAATGCCCAATGCTGTTAGAATAGTAGTAAAAAAGGACTTGGCATGAACGGTATTTGACTGAAGCTGTACCGTGTGAAATGATGTCCAAGAGGTCGAGATAGACATCTGGTTTGCAGCTTATCATGTATCCAAGTGCTCGGTGAAAGCTATAAATAGAGCTAGCTTGCTGTGTCATTGTGTGATCGAGGGTGTCGTATTCTTCGTTCTTGTGTTCGATATACGGGTCAAGATATTCCATCATAAAGAATAGGAGAGGAGCAAATAATGCATACGCGTGGTGAAGATCTGAAGGTGATTGATGGCCCTGACTTGAACTATAGGGTAAAGAATTGAATGAGTGTATGTCTGCATTTGATACTTGAAGGCGTGTATCAATCGTTAGATGCGACATCTTTAATGAATGATTGCTAGTTGGCTCGGGGTCAGGGCTTTGAATGCTGATTGTCGGCGTATTTTGTTTGCTATGCACTGTTAGAGATGTTTCTATATATAATAAATTAGCGTGTGCATTGAGGCATTCTATCTTTACATACTATGTTTAAGGTCATTATCCAAAGGCTTCGTGTTTGTTTCTTTTGGTGTGGTATTATGAGAAATATCATGGCTCATTAGCCTGGGTAATAAAGTGTCTAGGTATAGTGACAGCAACTTTCCAAGCATAGGACCGTTTGAAAACGCTTCAAATGCAGGTAAAAAGACAAGACCGACATCATACAAACTGTGTGTATCATCTATCATCTGAATAAGGATTAAGCCAATATCTATCAAAATACTCTGCATAGTGAAAGGAGGCACAGATGGCTTAGGATTTGCTGTTTTATATCTACTGTCATTTGCCACTAAGTCACTCAGCATATTCAATATCTTTTCAAATTCTGAGCGTTTATCATTCTTTGACTGTAACACCGAAGGCAATGCTGATGCTGCATTTTCTGGAGACCGAGAAGGGCTTCCGATACGCGGTGATGGAAGCGGTGAATTTACTTTTGATGAAGCGGGTGTAGCATTTGGTGTGCGTCCTCTTTTTTTTTTGTAAAAAGTTAAGCATTGAACTTATATCGTGTATCTATTTTACCCTTGCATCAAGACTTGATTGCTTAGTCCAACTGAATGACATACCATCAGAGCGGATCTTAGCTTGATCAAGAGATCGATTGTGTCATCATTGTCAAATTGGTCTATTGATTGAGGCTGTAAATACAGTAATGAACTTGACGGGCGTTTTCTTTTCAAGATCTTTCCCATAATGTGCTGAATCATTTTTCGATATTCTTCCACTTTAGGTGATTGCTTGGCTGGAGCCTGTTGGCCAATGGAAGAAGGCCGTCTCTGGTTATCCTCAGGTGAACCAACAGGCGAATGAATGTTGATGACTGTTGCATTCAAGTAAGTGTTTGCATTACTGCTTGACATTAGTCCAATAACCTTGGAAAGCTACAGTTTTCACACTTTAAATTCAGACAAATGAAAAATTAATTTTCAGATACAGTGGCTCCACTCCCAATGTTCGCTTTCCAGTGAATTAAGTTCGTTCTGGTTTCCAACCAAAGTTCGTTTCTTTAAAGTTCAGTGTTCACTTTTTATTTGTCAAAGTTCGTTTTGGTAATAGCTCAATTTTCGCATTTGCATCATCCAAAGCTCGCTTTTGTTTTGTTATGTTTTGCTTACATTAAAGCGTCGCTTAACGATTGAATATTTATTTAGGTGTTGTATGTGTCGTATCCAAACATAATTCACGCTTATTGAAACTAAGGAAATTACCTTTACAATAATAGATACTAGTACATAACATTATTTCTTGATTCAGATGTCACAGTAGTAAAACTAGGAAATCCTTAATTAAGCTACTCTACCCCAGAACAACCATTAAACGCACGTCAACTATAATCTCACAGTAAACTTAAATAAGAACTAATCTCTTTATTAATAAAAGAATGGATTCAGTCTTATTGTATCTTATTACTTTTATATTGTCACAGTATGTTTGAAATTGATAGAGAACAGTTAATGCTTTGAGTGGCCAGCGACGTTGATATTAATTTCCCAGCTACATCAAATTTGATTGGCTGTAACATTGCTCCTCGGAAGCACTGTATACAAAAAGGTAAGGAAAGCTAAGAAAAGGCTTGTATCTTGGCAAATAGAAAGATGCTGAGCATCATACAGCAAATGACATGTCTTGATTTTAAAGCATCGCATGAGTGTGGCTGAAGAAAGCATACCTTTTTAGGCAATAATGTAGCAAAGATACCATATAAAGACAAAAGTATCCGAGACAGGCCTTTCGTGATGCAGAGAACGGGTCCTTTGAGAACCTAAAAAAAACACTATAAAAGCTTAAAATGGTAATAAACTCTTTTCTTTTCGTTAAAGTTATCATCAATGAGAGTAAATAACAAAAATCAAATAGACGAAGAGCTTCCAAGGTAATAGCAATAAATCTCTACATGGCCAACATACTGATTTTTAGCAGTGATAATCCACCTCCATATACACCACACCCTAATCAGTCATCCTCTTCATCAGCACCTCTTCCACCCTCATCTTCCTCTCCCCCAGACTATGATAATGCTATGCATGGAAAAAGAAAGCAGCCACTTCATCAGAGAAGAAGCTTTCAAGGTCCACTAGGCAGCGTATTTGAGATAGTCAACAACGTAGCACCAGCCAGTAGAACAACCATTAGTACGTTATCAGCTACAGCTGCAGAAGCAACAAAGATGGCTTTGAATATGGTGGATGATATTATGAGCGAAACTTTTGATAGCAAAGAAGAAAGAGTACGAAGACGAGCCACACGCAAAGAGCAAAGAAGAGAAGAGCGTGAAAGAATGGCCCAGCAATTCGAGCATCTTGCCTCTGCATTTTCAGGCTTTAAACCTCGACCTTACTCACAGTGTGGCTCTAGCTCAACATCACCTAACCTTGGGTACCATCCTTGGCAGCCTACACCTGTTCTTGGCGGCTGTAGTAAAAGTAAAAGTAGCAGTAGCTGTGGCAGTCGTAGTGGTAACAGCAATAATATCCGAAAATTAGAAATGAAACACTCGCATGGTCCGCTGACTCATGATGGCAATTGGTCAGGCGATGAATGTAGGCTAAAAACTTCTGATGGAATCCTGACAGTAAATGGATCACTCGAAGCTAAAGACACCGTTTCACTCGAAACAAATAATGGATCAATTATTGTTAATGGCTCTATTACCTCTAGGAAATATATAGATATTAAATCTACTAATAGCACATTATATATTCAACGCCAATTGACAGCCCGCGATCTTCAAATTAATATGCAAAATAGTCCTATCGACATCAGTGTCCTTATTCAAGCAGACAGGATAGATATTAGAACCAAGAACGCACCAATAACACTCACACAGATCTTAGTGTCAAAGGAGTTGGTAGTAAAGACAACAAATGCGCCCATCGTGATGCATGTGGTTGCTATTCACAAAGATGCAGAAATTCGTGTTGAAAGTACAAATGCTCCTGTAACTGTATACTTGCCAAAGACGTTTTCTGGTCGATTTTATATAGCCTCTAGTTCCAATTCTTCTGCCAATATTACCCCAATAAGCGGGAGCTCTCGTCTAATTTTGGAAAAGGATGAACGTTCCAAGAAGGATGGTAAATGTCTGCATATGGACGACAAACCAAACAAAACACTTAATGTTAGAACAACAAATGGGCCAGTAGTGGTGTATATCTAAATTACTATTATTTTAAGCTGTAAATAAACTTTGCATTTATTCCCACTCTTCAATGCATACAAGTCTTTTACAAAAGTAGCAGTCAATGAAGGCTAATGATTTTTTTATTGAATAAACCATTGATTAAAGCTTTTGAGCAGCAACAGAGTTCAAAGAGAATAGACATGGCTCTGTTTCCAGGCTATGCTTATATTCTGTTAAATAGTTAGCCAGGTCTTCTTTAGTTTTTATTCCCAATATCGGTCCAACAATGGGCTGTATACTCTTCAATCCTTCCAGGTGATCCCAAATAAATTTCTTTGCAGTAGAGGTACCGGAACCTATATCGTCTTATTAAAATTGCCTCTGCTGTTGGATAAACTACTTACTCATATCACAGGTTCTATAATCAGCTTGAACAATCTTTACATTATCGTGCTTGGAGATCATCTTTTCCAATTCAGCTCCTATGTTTGGATTCTGTCCTCTTGAAATACAAGCAGTGTGTACTACAAAAGTATTAGGAGAGCATGCCTAAACCAACATATGTGGTAAAAACTCACTAGCTTTCGTAACCTTGTAAGACACAAAGGAGGGGTCCTTTGGTAGCTAAAAGCGATCAAACGATGATTAAGTTATCTGTAAGTCAATTGATACACTTTTATACCTGGAAATCACAATCTGCTATTTGCATCATACCTCCTGGCTTAGTAACACGTATCACTTCACTTATGGCTGCTGGCCATTCATGTTCTTCGTTAAGGGCAAGGACAAAGAATCTCATATGAACAAAGTCAAACGTGTTATCTTCATATGGAAGCCTCTTTGTTACATTTCCATAGTTAAAAGTGAACTGCTTTAATGAGAGCTTTTTGTCTATCACATTGACAATATCACAGCCATGATAAGTACAATTGGGATATTCGGTCATCATATCCTACAAAATATGAACAATTATATATATATATGCCCATGAGCTGCCGCTTACCATAATCCATACACCAGAACTACAGCCTACATCAAGGATGGAGATACCTTTTTGAAAATCCAAAGTTTTTCTTATGCTAGGCAAAACGTTCCTTAGAAAAGGTAGGTTACCATCTATGAATGTCTATATCATAAAGTTCCTACCCCTCATATAGCTCCTTAAAGGCAAAATGTTGCTATAATACGCTCTTTAGTAAACCTATTGTATACATATTTCCTACATACTCCTGTTAGTCTCTTTTGTTCCTCATCATCTTTGGGCAGCCAATATGTGGAGGTTTCCTCATTATGAAACTCCCGCTCGGTACCAATGATGTTTTGATTTACGGCAGTTTTTGAACCGTCTTCATGTGTATCCTTTTGAGATGGTGTAGTCGTGACCTTGTCCCAAAATTCTTGTTCATCTATAAGATGATTGTTATTCATACTATTGTAAGTGGAAAAACAACTACTCATCGGCTGATGAGCACAATAAATAAAAAAAAAAAAGAGAGAGAAAAATAATTATTAATACAAACCCTTCTGTGTTTGAGTCAATCCTAAAGTGTGTTCAACAACAGGGCTTTCGAAACCCTAGAGTTAGTCATATTGTCACCATGTTATACAAAGCCTGAACGCTGGGCTTGTGTGAATTAAACGCTTTACTGATTGACCAAAAACGTAGTATGTATATCCCCTTTGACTAGTTTAGCTTCAGACATTGTTTCTTCTAGTTAGACAATTCATACTTTGTTCAGGCCACTTTTTTTACGGATTTACTTTATTGCGAAACAATATCGTTTCTTCCATTGTTTGCTTCAAGACGCCTAACCTCTCGATGCAACTTTTGATATTGTCTGTTGCGAAATTAGTATCAAGTGACAAGCTCGGGTTTGATCATATTTGGAATTATCTGCTTCGAATAAGATCTCAATTAATAAAAGAAATGAAAATTGGCGAATAAACCACCGGCGCCAATAACCCCACTGCCTGCATCCACTCTATGACTTTGAGAATCCACATTCTCAAGTATCAACAAGCTGAGCTTCCGGTCTATTAGGTTTTATATTATCAAAGGCCTCTACATGGGAATCACCCGACTTTCCCGTTCAAGAAAATAGTAGTTTGCTGCTGTTCATTTGTTCTCTCCCAGAGCTCCCAATCAAAAGCTTAAGTGTGGTTAGCTTCTAACTCGCCCTCACTTCTCTATAGGGCAGATTTATTAGTGTCTGAGACGTATGCATACAAATAATGGCCACATCTTGGATATCTATTATCCTAAAATAGACGTGGCTCCCTTATATATCTTAACTTTATCAAAACCGTTGATTTGCAATTAAAGTAAGAAATCACTTCACTTCAGGATGAGCCTACATAGGTTCATCAGGACGAACATACCTGCACCCAAAAGGGCAATAAAAAAAAAGCAACAACAGTAAAGCCCCCAAGCCCCAAATTATATCTACACTAGTCTACTTGACCGCTGCACGCTACATTGTCAAAGAAGGCTGCATCGATAATACCTTCAAGGTCCTCTCGAATCAACCAGTGTAATCAAAGACAGCCGCCTTTCTGTTCCGTACTTCAGGAAATAAAGCAACATCCTAGTTACACCACAGAACAATGCAATGCATCACTCTTCTTAACACCGCAGACCTAAATAAGCAATTTCCCCAGTCGTTTTTTTCATCATATACACAATTCCTCAGTCTTACTCTTTACAGTGACATAGCTACAATTGAGCAACGAATTCTATTTATGTAGGAAGTGATACCTCATCTATGTCAACAAGCCTGACTTTAATGCACACACACACATATATATATATATAGACAAGGTGACTTTGTGTTTACTTTGTCCTTATACATTGATCATCTTCTCTTGCTGATGTGCCTCAACTCAGCCACAGCTGCACCACTGACTGAAGACATTGGTTTGTAAGCTACACACTTTTAATACACTTACAAAAGAAAGAATTTGTTGTTTGAAGGGAAGACGTAAATTTAAGTTACAAAGCATTGATATTCTCACGGCTATTTTTTATAATATTCATGGAATGTATCCCCCTAATAAACCAATTCTTTTGGAAAAACTTTTATCTCTCTCTATATATATAAGCCAATCAGAAGCGTGCTTGCTATCTATTTCAAGCTACATTCCTATTGGCCAATGTAATCTTTAGAAACAAACAAACAAATCCCCCTATCATTTGCTATTCTGACTGTGTCTGAAATATTTTGTACCTGAAAAAAAGATGAAGTGATAGAGTTTCTTGTTAATATGGTAAATTCTTAACATTTAAGACACAGTTTAGGTTGTTTGAACATTGTTAAAAGCATTAAAAGTAATTGCGACCAGTAGTTAATACTTTAATGCTATCATTATAGATAAGGAGTTCAATAATGTTCCCCCCCCCCTCTTTCCCCAATCGATTTAGTCGAATAGCTGGGCTAAATTTTGTGCATGAGCTAAATTTTTACTTTTGAGGCCAGCCAATAATTCTTGTATCAGTGTCCAAAGAAAGAAATAAAAATTTTCGCACATGATTGGTTGAACTGTATCTCCTCCTTTCTTGCCTACTCTCTTTCTCTCCTTATCAATCAGGCTGACTATGGATAATTGTAAGCAGTGAGATAATGCACTCTGATACGATTGGTTTGTTATTAATTTACCATTTACCATGTTTGTAAGACGTTATCTTCACCACAGCTTTCTATCATCCAGGGCTCTGCAGGGTTCCAGCCGAAATCTGATACCTCATTGGTATGTCCATTGTGTACAAACTGAGAAAGAAAAAAAAAATGGTGAGAAAGATGAAAAGTATCTATAGTTACCAGTAGTTCATCACCATGTTTAATCTTGGCTAAATCCCTCCAAACGCAGATACGTCTATCATTGCTGGCTGTACCTAAGATAGTCTCATGATGAGGTGACCATAATAGCTGTATCACCCTCTTGTTCATGTCCATTCAATACGTGTAATTTGGGAACTAAATTACGTAAATCCCACAGCGCAGAGGTCCAAAGGGAAAAAGAAGAAATGGAGCATGTTATTATTGTATTGCTGATACTATAACGTCTATAGCTGATGATTTTGATATATACTTTTGTCAGATGACATTCAGTTACTAGAATCCCATCCATTACTGGAACTAAATCCAACGCGGTTCACCTTTGCTTGATATGCCAGCACATGTTGAACAGGCTGACAAGATTCGTTGTTTATGTTTTAGAAATAGAGTTGATATGTACATACAAACCCTACATCATCAGTTGGTCATCATCACCTACCGAGAGAGAGAGCAAAGATGGAATCATGCTTCATGTGCCATGCAACATCCTGGAGCGTAGGTGCCCCAAATCAGACAAAGAACAGAGAAAAATTTAAAGTTTATGCTTTTACCGATACACTCGACTTGTAAGTCTTGTGTGTCTGCACACACGATTCTCTTTTGATGCTGCAGTTAAATATTCCCAATGAGCAATGAGGCCATGAAAGCCTGTGCTGATCAAGTGAGTTGAGCGTACTCTCTCTACATGAATTCCAAGCAATATACAGCATGAACTCTGATTGGATACGATATCTATTTATGGTAAGGGAGTGTATCATTTAATCTTTCAATGACGAATTTGATAACAGACACGTTTTTCCTTTTTTTGTCATTGTGTGAGTAAAAAGATAAGTGAGTCCGTGTGCCTGTGTCTTTCTCTGTATGTGTGACCAAGTATGGAAGTGTATTTAAGGACTCCTTTTTTATATTTCTTTCCATTTCTCTCTCTTTTTTCTTTGTTAAATGATTTTCTTTAATAACTATGGCAGATCTTAACTGGTGCACATTTTGTGATAAAGCAGTCAGTCCCTTTTCGGTAAAATATACAATAAACAACACACAAGGGCCGAAACTCATATATTTGTTTATAGGAATCACTTTACTGCAGTGAACAATGTTTACGTGCTGATGCTCTTCGCAACCATCCATTATTAGGTTACACATATCCTGAATTTATCGATTTTCCTAGAAAGTCATCTACAACTTCATCATCAACAACAACAGTATCATTATCTTCTATCTCAACTTATTCTTCACCATCTACGTCACCTGCTCTAAGCGCATCCTCATCTATTCAATTCTCTTCTCCTCCCAAGTTTGATCTTTCCTTGTCATTTAAAAAGAAATCAGACAATGCTTACTTTTCATCTTTTCACTTGTTGTAAATAACATCTATACCCCCTCTCTCATTTGTGTACATATTCCCCTTCTTTACGCTTTTGATATTCACACACTTTCTAAAAAAAATAAACACTCGTATCACTTGTAACTTCTCAAGGGCCAGGGACCAATCTTTTTAAGCCCATGAAGATAATGAATTTATGCGGAAGAACATTATTTCCGTCATGTTTATTTTCAGCCTGTTCCATTGTTTACAGCTAGTTTTTTTTGTTTTTTTACCTTCATTCCATTGAAATGAGGTGGCCATTTGGAGCAAAAGAGAAAGAACAAGATACCAACCACAACACCAGCCGAGACTCGAGGACATTCCTACTACAAAAGCAAACAAACACTTCAACAGTACAAATAAGAGAAGAAGAAGTAGTAGAATACAAGTATGCGCCCAAACAACAAGACGAGGAACAACCAATGGACTTGGGTACCTTGCAAGATATCTTTAGCTTTAGTTTCATGAGAGGTCGTCCCATTTTAAATTTTATTTTGGCTATTCTGTGGAGTGTCGGATTACCAGTGTTACTCTATAATATATTCAAACCACATACAGGTCAAGTCCTTGCCATGGTCATTGCCTCTGCGCCTCCGCTTGCCATTGTCATCATGTAAGTGACTTATGAAGTTGATCATGTATTCTAATATTTATTGTTATCCAACAGACGCATGATAAAAGATCATACATTTGACCCACTTGGCTGTGTGGCTGGTATCAGTTTCCTTATTTCAGGAATTCTGGTAATACACACAACTTTGTTGTAGTCTTTTTAATCTCATCATTCTTTATATAGTCAATTGCACAACCTGATGAAAAGGTGTCTGCCATTTGTGAATCTATTGTCCCTTTCACTCTAGGTACAGCTTGTATCATCAGCGTGATACCTATCAAGATAGGCTCATTTGAACTAAAGCTGCTTGTATACCAGATTGCCAACCAAATCATGCCGCGTGCTGAAGTAGATGAAGATCTCAAGAAACAAGATATCCATCGTTTAACGAATCAAAGTGGTCAAAAGAAGCTGGACTATCTTTACACCCACATGGCAAAGTTTCGTCAGGATATGCGTTACATGACCTTCACCTGGGGCTTTCTTCTCATACTTTCTTCTATTGTCAAGATCATCATTGTACTCACAAGCTCAAGTCTGACCAAGGCCCAGATATATGGGTATATCCTCTTTGGGTTGACGACATTTTTTATGATGTTCTTTACTTGGTTTTACACTAAAATCATCAAAGGTCACGTGCTTTCGCAAGTGGCCTTTTGGAAGGAAAAGAAAGAACAAGAGGAGATGGATAAGAAAGTAGAAACAGCCTATAATGCCGAATGGGGTGTGAATACGATGTCAAATGCCTATGGTCAAGTCATAGGTTTTATTTGAGCTCTTTCGGAGTTACTTGCCAATAAACACACACACACATGTCTCCTTTTTTCTCTCTTTTTCTTGTAACATAAATGTCGTCTTCACCTGCAGTTAAACAATATAAAGCCTTGGGAGAAGAAGTCTGGAAGACTAAAGTTGATAAAATTGTAAGCAAAGCTTAGATTATACAAAAGTTGAAGGGAGGAGACTTACCCATGTGTTATAGAATGCTGAATTATTCACCTTGACATACGGCTCTATGGTTGTTCAGCTTGTAAAAGACTTTGAAGACTATGCTGAAGTCAATAAACAACTCGAGAAAATGTAAGTTTACAATAACTATACGCCCAAAGCCAAATGACCAACAGGAACAATGAAGGGGATATAACATTGGACAGCGCATGATTGAAGACTTTTTAGCTCGTTCAGGCATCACGCGTTGTTCAGAATTTAAAGACACAGCAGAGGCAATATCAAAGGTATGTATATATATGCATGTCTTGTTGCCTTCATTGTGATCTGATATAGGCTAGCTGTATAGGTTGGATTCAAAATGTTTCTCAATATAACACCTACTGTCAGTAACTGGTCTAGCGACAATAAAGAATTCTCACTCATCTTTGAGGAAAATCCCTTGACAGATTTTGTAGAATTACCTGATGAAGCACTTGAGGGCGGTTTGTGGTATTCAAATATCTACTGTGGCGTCTTACGTGGTGCTTTAGAAATGGTAATGTATTACTAGAAAAAAAGGAAAAAAAAAGAGGAAGAGGAATTAAGAGTAATATAGGTACAAATGCAAGTAGAAGCACAGTTTATAAGTGATACACTTCGTGGCGACGAAACAACCGAGATGCGTGTCAAGTTGGTTCGTTATTTGGAAGAAGAAGTGCCTGTAGGAGAAGACTAGTATACTATTTTATTGATTAAATGGATGTGAAATGTGTATGTGGAATATGCAATGAGATGTTTTTTTTTATTGTGTCTTATTTCCTCTAAAGCGCATGCGTGGATCAATCTAATTGTGTTTTGTTGTTATTTGTTATCTATTTTATATGAATATATACTTATTTTACCATTCCTCTTCGACATTCTGCAAAACTCTTTTTGATACTGAAGCATTCGTCAGGAACATCGTCTTTATGTTCTGGTTGAAAGCATTCCTTGATAGTATTTCCTTTCAATACACATTTTGATTTGAGCATACATTCGACTAGTTCTTGTCTAATCTCTTTACATGAAGAAGGCATGTTGAATATATAAAAAAGAAAAAGAAATAATTAAACCACCCCCTGCGTCAAAGACACACACAGACATTAGAAATTCTATTTTTTTTATTTATTTTATAAAGACAGATTTTACATTCTAAACACACCAAAGTTAGTCTTTTCGATAGGTGCATTCAAGGATGCACTCAAGGCTAAGCCAAGGACATCTCTCGTATCGCGAGGATTGATAACGCCATCATCCCATAAACGAGCACTAGAGTAGTAAGGATGACCTTCAGCTTCATACTTGGCACGGATAGGAGCCATAAACTTTTCTTGCTCTTCTTCTGGCCAGGTCTCTCCCTTCTTAGCCTTGCTTTCTCTTGTGATTTGTGCTAATACGTTGGCACTTTGCTCACCACCCATGACAGAAATACGAGCATTCTATAGATTAAATAAGCCTCTGACTGTATATTCAATCATGTAAAACTTACTGGCCACATCCATAAGAATCGAGGTGAATACGCACGACCACACATACCATAGTTACCAGCACCAAAACTGCCACCAGTGATGACAGTAAACTTGGGTACTTTGGCACAAGAGACGGCATTGACCAATTTGGCACCGTTCTTGGCAATGCCACCAGCTTCAGCGGTAGATCCTACCATGAAACCAGTAATGTTTTGAAGAAAGACGAGAGGGATACCTCTTTGAGAGCAGAGTTGAATGAAGTGAGCGCCCTTCAAGGCTGATTCAGAGAACAGAATACCATTGTTGGCAATGATACCGACAGGGTAACCATGAATGTGAGCAAAGCCAGTGACGAGTGTTGTACCATAATTCTCTTTGAATTCAGCGAATCTGCTTCCATCCACAAGACGAGCAATAATGTTTTTACTGTCAAAGGGCTTCTTTAGATTATCACCTACGATACCACCAATCTCATCAGGTGAGTACAGGGGCTCTTCTGGAGCACGCAAATCAAGTTGAGGCTTCTTGACTCTGTTCAACGTACTGACCACTCGGCGGGCCAAAACAAGTGCGTGCTCATCATCCAAAGCGTAATGATCAGTCACACCTGATGTCTTGCAGTGAAGATCGGCGCCACCCAAATCTTCAGGGCTGATCGTTTCACCAATAGCAGCCTTGACTAAGGGTGGACCAGCCAAGAAGATAGTACCTTGCTTTCGGACAATGATACTTTCGTCTGCCATCGCAGGGACATATGCACCACCTGCTGTACATGAACCCATAACAGCAGCGATTTGAGGAATTCCTTGAGAAGACATATTGGCTTGGTTATAAAAGATACGACCAAAGTGCTCACGATCAGGGAACACATCAGCTTGTCTAGGAAGATTGGCTCCACCGGAATCGACTATGAATACATGTTAGTCTGGTATTTTTACGAGATATCATTTCTTACCAAGATATATGCATGGAAGGTTGTTTTCTTTAGCTATTTCTTGAGCGCGAAGGTGCTTTTTTACTGTATATATCCATTATTGTAAGTATGAATCCATAATCCTTGTTATGTTATATTACCTGTAATAGGATAATATGATCCACCCTACAAACCAGTAAGTATCAGTAAGGCTTTCTACTCTCCCTCCTTTTTTTTTCTTACCTTAACCGTTGGATCATTAGCTACAATCATACACTCCACTCTACCCATTGAAATTCAGTAAGTTTCCCACGGTGGCTTTTTTTTACATGTCTATAAAACTTACCCATGGACGCGGCCAATACCAGTGATAATACCTCCTGCAGGTACTTCTTCATCGTATAATTGATATCCAGCTAATGCAGATAATTCAAGGAAAGGAGAGCTAAATGACAGGTTATTTTAATAACTGATAAAAAATGCAATGTCATTGTACGCCTTACTTCGGATCAATCAAGCGATTGATTCTAAGAGATAATAATACATGTCAGTTATATTTGATCGTGGGTTATAATCAAAAGCTTACCTGTCTCTGGGAAGCATCTTCTTTCGAGATAAATGTCTTTGACGTGCTGCTTCACCTCCACCTTTTTTTTACACACACATGTTAGTCTATTTGCCATTATTTTCATACATCTTGTTTTATCTATCTTTCTTTACCCAGCTTTATCTTTTCAGTTTTCAAATTCAAATCATCTACCAATTGTTGCATTCTTTCAGCATTTTCCTGGTTTTTATTCCTTAGTAAAGTATAAATTATAAGGCAAAGCACCACGGTTTACCTTGAATGAAGCACTAGCAGGTTCAACCAAGTTGGGTAAAACTGAAGCATTATCTTCATGAAATGTATGATACTGAGATCGAAATAGACTAGTGAAAGCAGGTCTTGTGTTTCTCAAGACCGCAGTCTTTGTTTGATTCAGTAACTTTAAAGACAACATCGCGTAACAAAAGATAAAAAGAAAAGAGAAAAAGAGAAAAAGAGAGAAAGAAAGAAAAAAAAGGTAAGGGAAAAAAGATGTTTCCACGCCTGTGATTTTTCCCACGCATACTCTCACTTATGCTGTTATGTGACACGGGGTTCTTTATTTCACATCATGAATCAATATCTGACATATCACTCAAATCAGGACCATCATCAAAGATATCAAGGTTAACCGCCAGATTATCATCACTGTCAAATTCTGGTTCCACATGTTTTCGCTTAAGCGGCAGTTGCTATAGTTTATGCAAGATGATTAGGGAAGGCTCTCATTTATGATTGTCAATTTACCTTGTTCATCTGCATCGTTTGGCTCTTGAAACTTGTAAATGCCTTTTCTTCTTCTTCTTCTTCATCGTCATCATCGCTACCAAAGTGACCTCGTCTGATTGGTTTTTGTGGTCGTTTTCGTATATTTCTTTCTCTGACACGATGCAGGATACTAATAGATGCATCCATTTTGGGTGTCTCTGTCACTGCCTGGAATGATCGAGTACGGTTGAATTGTGGTGTATTAAACATTGCATATTTATTTGTCGTTGCTCTTGGGCTCGTAAACGGCTTACGTGGTATTGTCTCTCGTTTAGGCGTTCTAGGCGCGATTGCCTAAGGTCAACTATTAGCAATGATCTATTACGTGCATTTCTCCTTACCTTTTGTTGTGCTTCCTTATTATCATAGATTGTCTCTAGATAAGGCTTACCATAAACCATAAAAGGACGATTCTTCAAGGCTTCATATTCAAGTAATGAGCCTTCAAGTTCTTTACTAATCTACTTAAACGATGGGTACACACGCTTTATTTCTCAAATGAACTATTTACCTTTGGCAGTTCACGTTCTACGCGTTTTCTAAACTTCTCCTCACGAAGCAAGCGTCCAGGGTCACGCTGGCCCTTTCCAAACAGCCTATTGGGATCCCTTGTTGAGGCTTCAAATTCTTCAATTTCTTGCTTTAGTTTCATGTATTTTTCAATACGATCAAGGATATATTTGGAATCTTCGACCTCCAAACGGAGTCGTGATATCTCGCTCTCGTGTGCTTCTAGTATCTCATCTGTCGTTTCATCTATATAATATAAATTCTCTAATTATTAAAAAAAAGAGGCAGTTATTTACTTGAATAAGCAGGATGGAATTGGCGTTTTTGATCTTCGGAGTAGTATAGTTGATCCCATAGCGATACCAGCTCCTCTCGTGCTCTCTCAATAAAATCACCGATACGCTCTTGTCTTATTTTAAGCAATCTTTTTAATTCCATTTCATAATTTTGTATTTCTTCTTGTGTAAGTCCTCTATTGGCCATCAAGAACACTTCACATTCTTCAGGATCAATACGTAGCCTGTCCCAAAGATGCTTCAGTTTATGTGTCAGTTCTGCCTTTCGATCTTCCACTTGGTGTTGTGTCTCTTTCAACTATTACTTTTTTAGCATAAACTTCATTGTGTCATTTTGTTTTTATTACCTGGGCAATGCGCTCAGTAAGGTAATAGATACTTTCTTCAGATACCAAATTGTTGCATAGTTCAATTTTCTTATCTGGGTTTGTTTCTTGGTGGTACTGCATGACCAGTTTGTCTGCCTCATTATTTAAACTGTCGATGCCTAGGGTGACCAATATGTTACAGATTCCAGTGGCCGTATCGTCCACGATGGCCTTTCTTCTTGCATATTCCTGCTCTGCGTGCTGTAATTCATCTTCCAAGCTGTTGACTGCTAATGATGATACATCTACCTCTGTTGTTGCTATCAAGTTTATATTTACAAAGCCTCCCAATGCTGTATGTAATGCTTTCAATTGTTTATGTAGTTCTTTACAACAAAGTAGGTTAGTCATACGGTAATAATTTGATCTACCATTGTACCTTGTACGTATATTAAGCTTTCATTATATCTCTACATTATGGTATAATCAATTGTGTATTGAACATAGTTTATATATAGATGTACCTCTTTCACTTTAATCAGTTCATCTTGTAATTCCTGTAGGTTGTCACGTAATGATTTATTGCGATCGATAACAGCCGTACTCGCTGCATATTCTCCCATAAGTCGTTTATAAGATAGTATTGCCCTGTGTGTATTCTCTGTTTCTTTTATGAAATTGTCCCTTTCTTTTTCTGCAAGTGTATATTGATCATTAGCAAATCGTGCGATATCATTTAGAAAATCCTTTATTTTTTGCTCTTGTTCATCGTGCTTTAAACCAATTTCACTACTGATCAGATTGAGTTGTTCTATTTTGTTGTTAAGGTGACTAATAAGTTCTTCTACAGAGACCAAATTCATTATTTTCTCAATATAATAAAAAAAAAGCACAGTATTGCGCGAAAACGAAAGGGGGTGCGCCGCCACACGCGTGAAGTCTTGTTCCTTCTCCGCGTCTGTGTGTCCGATCCGGAAAAGCGTCAGAGTAAGTTTATGCAAAAAGGGTAAATAACAGATTACTACTTCAAATTCAGACGACGTTAGTTTTTTTCTGGACGAATCAAAATGTAAACTCAGACGACTTGCTTACCTGTTTTGTAGCTGCTTCAAAGCTGGTATAGTATAGATGTGCTCTCTAATTAAGGTAAAAGGTATCGAAAGTAATGTGCCATTTTTTTGTTTAAACATGATATTTTATTGATGGTTCAAATGAGCGCAAAAATAAAACAATAAAATAAACGTCCGTCCGGACCCGTTCAGTCCGTTTGGAAGTGAATGTTAGCGAAAAAAACCCCTTATGGGTACAAGGGTAAAAAAAGTAAAAGGAAATTAATGAGTAGGTTTATCGGTGAAAAGTTAAATGAATTGCTTTAACTACACAAGAAACTTTCGACCATGGGAATGCTTAATAGAGATCAATTTGTTATGGTGTAGCTGATCTAATTTATGTAGTAGGGAACATATAATTGGCCATCGTTGAGACCAGGTGAGGGCTAGGTTTGGGGAACCGAAGGGCGTAAAGGAAGCATATTCAGAAGGAATGACAATGATCTCGTATATTTTCAGGTATGAACAGACGTCGATGCATATCAAAGCAACTAATAGCGTGATTCTTAGATAGCTGTTGCGTTGGGTGCTTGGGACATGGTCGAGGTTTGCCACCAGGAAGCCAGCTTAATCTCCAGCGTATACAGCGACTGCGCTCTGACTTAGATATGGGCATCCAGAGTATAGGATCCAGAGAGATCGATCGACGGCAGCTAGAAAGCAGTTTGGAGTTTCGGCACCGTTGGCGGATCTCCAGATTTTGTTGCAAAAAGCGTCGTTTAGCAGCCTTGAGTGAGCGAGTATCGGGTTCCTCAGTAGTAAACAGCGTCGTTTTCCAAAGCGATGTATGAGAGAGAGCGTAGAAACTCTTCTTTTTTTTTATATCGCCATATCGAACATGGTTTCTCTTTCATAAGAAATTTAGGTATCTATAGACAAGGTGTCCAGAGTTTGCTGTTGACTGGTCTAAAACTAACATCGTCTGGATTTGAAGTAGAAACACTGCACTTTGATGTATAGTTTAACCGATTCCCTCCTTAATAATAAAGTTTCAAGCATATTTTTACACCAAAATGAGAAATAGCTGGACCCAAAAAAAATTAGTCATTGAATTTCAGATGTGTGTGCGTCTCTTTAAATTCCCACTTGTCAACGTGAAAATAATAATATATAAATCAATTTTTCCTCCTCCTTTTTCTTTACTTTATAATTATGTCCAGCAAGTATCAATATGAAACAGTCAAGGTTGATTTATTACCTGATGGTGTCGCTCATGTTCAATTAAACAGACCCAAAAAGTTAAACACGCTTAACCCTCAGTATGTTCAAAAGTTAAAAAAAAAATGACCGCATAAATATTGATATACATATTATTTAGGATGGTTATTGATATTAGACAACTCTTTACTGAAATTGCTGATGATAGTAATGTTCTAAGCATTGTTATATCCGGCGCAGGCCGCGTCTTCAATGCTGGTTTGGACTGTAAGTTATACAAAGAAAAGGGAGGCCATGTTTTTTAATCTTTTTACTAGTGACCGAAAGCAATCTTACTGCATTAGGTGAGGCAGAAGATATTGCTCGAAAGGTCTATAGAACACGCCCATTCGTTAAAAACTTTCAAGATGCCTTCACAGCCATCGAGCGTTGTCCTAAACCTGTTATTGCTGCTATCCATGGCGCGTGCATCGGTGGTGGAGTTGATTTGATTACTGCATGTGATATTCGATATTGTACTAAGGATGCTTTTTTCTCTGTAAAGGAAGTCGATGTCGGTCTTGCTGCTGATGTTGGTACTTTGCAAAGACTGCCTAAAGTAATTGGCAATCATAGCCTGGTTCGCGAATTGTGCTACTCAGCTCGCAAGTAAGTGGAATGATGATTTTACTCATAAATTCTAATATTTTATAGCCTGTACGCTGATGAAGCCTTCCAATGTGGATTGGTCAATAAGGTTGTTGAGAATCAAGAGGCAGTGCTAACTGAAGCTTTAAATATGGCTAAACTCATTGCTTCAAAATCACCCATTGCTGTGATGGGAACCAAGTAAGTTGAATGAAATTGATATAAAAAAAAAAAAAAGCTAACCGATACATTGAGGCATTTATTGAATTATTCTCGTGATCACTCTGTTGATGAAGGTTTAGCTTATACAGTCACTTGGAATGCTGCTATGCTTCATACAGAGGTAAGCAATAATATTATAATCATAATAAAGAGGTTAATAATATCATTATAGGATATTCCTCTTTCAGTTCAAGCAGCTCTTTCCAAAAAACCCGCCAAATATTCCAAGCTTTAACACTCCGAGTGCCCTTCAGGCTAAAAATAAAGTTTTTTTTCTGCTCTCTTCTATTCCTCTTTTTTTGTTTGCTTAGTTTACTTACGCAACTCGAGTCTTTTTTGTAATATTTTCTACATACATTTTTTTGTATATTCTTAAGCATCCCCCAAAGTATCATAAAAGAGAGGATAAAAATAAAAAGGGGAAAGTCAGGAAGAAAAAGAGAGAAGAAGATAGAATGTCAACAACAGCAGAAACTACGAATTTAAAGAATGTGACAGCACCCGTGTCGGCAGCACAGCTAAAGACATTTCTTGTCGAAGCACCCATCATGTATAAAAGCCGTTTACACTCTGGAGCAGAAAAACATATACTTACGAATTGTTATCGATCACTTTGGAACAATGATCCTGAATGGTTACAACAATACTTCTTTCAAGAAGGACTCACAGACAGTGACAACCTTTCATTGTTACTAGAAAAATACAATTTATTTGGCTCAAAAGAGCATGATATATCTGATATAAGGCATGAGAATCCGTTAGTAGACGATACAAATGAGCCTGAATATTGGGAGACTCAACGTGGGAAACAATGTGGCCACTTGTTTAAAAGAGGCGAAAGTGTCTATCGTTGCAGGTAAGATACTAATAACTTTATATATATATAAACTAACATATCTGTAGAAACTGTGGATTGGATGATACTTGTGTTATGTGCTCAAAATGTTTTCATGCAACAGATCATGACGGTCACGATGTAAAGATTTGGATAAGCAGAGGAGCAGGTGGTTGCTGCGATTGTGGTGACCCAGAAGCTTGGAAGGTCCCTCTTAACTGTAAAATTCATTCTCTGCAGTCTTCTTCAACACAGATACCCAACACATCTATCCATCAACTTGAACCTCTATCATCTGTACCACCCGCTCTATTGAGCTCCGTTCGAGAAACAATCACCGTCATCGCAGACTATATCTTGGAGACATTTGCTGCTTCACCTGAGGATGTCATGTCGATTGGTTCGGTTGAATCCATAAAACAGGACTGTCTTGTTTCACATCGAGCATTAGGTCTACCCATCGATTTAGAGACTCAATCATACGCCTGCATTTTATGGAATGATGAAAAACACTCTTTTGATGATGTAATTGCAGTCGTGAAAAATGCAATCGGCTGTACTCACGAACAGGCTGAAGTGATAGCTCAATCTGTCGATAGGTACGGACGACACATCGTGAAGGAATCCAAAGATATTCAAAGCTTGATCACAGCCGCCAGCATCATCGGCTCCATCGGCTTGGCTGTCACTATTTGTTCAGTGCATAAAACAGTTCGTGAAGAAATTGCTGGTCTTTTATTGGACTGGTTAAAGGAATTGGTCAGCGGTCGATACAGGTTTTTTAATAACGTAGAAGGCGGTAATACAATCATACGAGATACTATCTGTCAAGTTCTCTCTACTGATTGGGCCCTTCGACCTGACCTTGCCAGATTGTCTACACGCTACAGAAGAGCTAGAATGCCAGAAGAAGAAGACGATTCATTCGAATTTGGTGATGAAGATGGTGGTATGGATAGCGATGGTGATGAAATCATGTTTGACGCTGATAATGTTATCGAAGAAGATATTGAAGAAGAGTTTGAAGAAGATGACGAAGGAGAAGAACATGAAGAAGGCGATGATGAAAGTTCTTCCAATAGCGAGACACATAGGCATCTGGAATTTATCATGGGGCATCACCTTGAATGGCATCGCAATGCTAGTGAAAGGTTAGCAGAGGAAGCACGACTCCATGTGGACGCAGATAGGTTGCACGAAGAGCGTGACCAAGAGATCCTCAAGAGACGTCGATCCTCTTCATCGTCTCAGCCAAAGTCACACAAGACGCACAAACCAAGAGATATATTGGATATGGAATGGAATCTGGATGCTTGGTTAGATTATACCGACAAGTTGGAGTTGGCTGAGCGACAGATTGCAAAGGATATGGGTGTGCCATTGACGAATCATGGGGCAACAAAGAGCTCGGCTGAAATCAATAGCAACTTGAAAAAAGAATTCAGACGTAAACTTCGTCTGGATTACATCTTGCAATTTGATCTTAGACTATGGAAGACGGCTCGAATGGATATCAAAGACTTGTTAATCGGCACCTTTATCTCAAATTACGAATATAGACCTATCCTCGGTGTTCGTTTTGCACGTAACTACCCTGAATTGATTGATGCATTCTTTTTCAAGGACAGAGAACCTGAAAATTCTGTGAGTACACTGTCCGTTCAACTCTTAACTGTGCCTACAGTCGCTTCTATACTCGTCAAAGACTACAAGTTCTTTGGCATGGTATGTTCTATTCTATCCAACTTTTTCTTGACCGATCGTATTCATATGATCTTGCCTGAAGATTATTCGCAAGCCCAAGTGGATTCTTCATTTAGAGCGATTGCCCGTCACCGCTATGCCTACACGATCTATGACTTGCGATATGTCATGAATGCCGAACAAGTGAAATTGGAAATTTCAAAGAGTCCTCTGTATCTTCGCCATTTTATCGACATGCTCTATCAATTCCAAGCCATGGATCCCTTAAAGCGTCAATCAGATGCCCATGTAGAGTATGAATCAAATACATGGATGAATGCCTTTAATGTCACCTTACAAATCGTTAAACTCTGTCGACTGTACGCAGCCTGTTTTGATGCTCTTCAATCTGAAATTCCCATCGTACATGCATCCTATAATCTTTGCCGTACCGTCTACCGTGTTTTAAAGGCTATTCGTGACTGGAACCCTCGTCTGTCTCCTGCGTCTCTTCCTTATCCAAATATAGCTCAGAATAGAATTATCATCAAAGGCATATCAGAGCAGAAATATCATCAAGTCAGTACACCTCATGTAGGTCCTTTTGATATCATTGACTATGATGTCACAGTTCAGCCTGTATCGTTCCATCATCCTTTCCACTGGCTTCTATCCGAATTGTTTGAAAATGTGTCCTTGCTATATGATGAAGTGTTGGCCGAGAATGGTTGGATTGGCGGATTTAAGCAAATGGTGAATAATGCACTTCAGGATGATCGCCGTGCTACTTTTCTGGATATACTTGAGTATCCTATTCGTACACTTACCATCTTATCACAGATCAACTGTGGTGCTTGGGTAAGGAATGGCTATGGTATCCGTAATCAGGTAAACCCTCCTAAAAATGTCAAGCAAGAACAGACATGTGCTAACCCCCTTTACAAAGTTCCATACGTACAGAGATATCAACGTTAGAGAGAATACCCTAGATCGCGACATTTTCTTACTCCAAGTTGGATTTGTTGTCTGTAATAGCGACCAACTACTACTGACGTTAATTGACAGATTCCAACTTCAAGATTGGTTTAAAGGAAAATGGAACAAAACGCATCCTGTTTATGACTCACCACAAAAGACCTTTATGGTAGAAGAGCTGCTGTATCTGTTGATCGTCAGTGCTACTGAACATGGTTATGCATCAGGAACATCCACTGAACAACGTATTCGTCGTGCTATCATTCAATACCTTGGTCTTTCTAGTCTCTCCTACTCAGAACTACTCAAGTTAATCCCAGACACTCTCACTGAACACGAATCATTTGAAGCTGAACTCAACAAGGTTGCCAATTTTAGAGCACCCGACGGTGTCAATGACAAAGGCATGTACGAAATCAAGCCTGAGTGTTTGGACGAGATTGACCCTTACTTCTGGCACTACACACGTAACAAGCGCGAAGAGGCACACGTCGTGCTGAGAAAGCGCTGGAACCAACTGCATCCTGAAAATGCGTTGGACGATAAGGAAGAATTCCTTGCTCAACCCAAGATTCACCGCATTGAAAAGGGGCCCTTCAGACATCTTAATAACTTTTTACATTCCAAAGTGTTTTGTCAGATCCTGATTTATGCCTTATGGAACTCAAAGATTGCCAAACAAGCCAAAAGTGAGACAATATTGGACGAAGCGCTTTACCTTGGTATACTTGCTGTAACAGACGTCAATAATGAACAAAGTGATATAGATCCCTTTATGGATACATCAGGAGGCTTTGTTGAAAATGCTACAGAGAATGAATATGCTATACAAGTGAATGAGATCGAACGAGTTCATTCTACGTTGCTATCCGTGCTCATACACTGTGTGGATGACAAGGAGCTTTCTCATACTCATAAGCGGTTATGCTTCATCATTGACAAGATTGAGCAACTTGGCAATCAAAAGACCAAAGATATGATTGGCGAGTGGAAAGAGAGAAGAAGCAAGCAGATTTCTTTTGATAACCAAGGCAACTCAAGTGGCGATGGCATGTCCGAATACGAACGTAAGAAAGCAGCTGCTAAAGCGCGTCAAGCAGCCATCATGTCCCAATTTGCACAGGCTCAGTCCAAATTTATGGAACAGCATGCAGATTTGTACAAGGATGAAGAAGAATTTAAAGATGCTATGGATGAAATTCCTGCAAATGATGACTTGATGTCCTCAGCTAACGAATTTGAAATTGTACGCAAGTGTCATTTCCCTACTGATAACTGCATTGTATGTCAAGAAGAAATGGATGGTTCCAAACTGTACGGCATGCTTGGCCTCGTCCAGCGTTCTAATGTCCAGCGACTTTCACCTGTGACCAAGGACGTTTGGTCTGATATACTTGACACAGGCCTTCATTCACATAACCCTTGGGGCCCAAGAGAGGAGGCAAGCAATGATAAAGAAACGCATTTTACTGCATTCCCTACCAGCTCACACGTGTCTGGTGTCGATATTTCCTCTTGTGGTCATTTAATGCATGCTGAATGCTTTGAAACATACCAGCAATCTGTAGATAATCAAGACTTTATGAGTCGTCTTTCACTTACAAGATCACCCAAAGGCCGATTCCTATGTCCTCTCTGTAAAGCACTGGGCAACGTGTTGGTTCCGATCGTCTGGAAAGGCAAAAAGGAGACTTACCCTGGTGTCATGGCTCCCTCTACATCTTTTGATGATATGGTAAAATCGCTGCTTGAAGTAGCTGTTGATGCTAGTGAGAAGGTTGCATTCAAAAGAAGGACAGGTCTCCCTCAGGACTCCAACCTGGTTATAGCTGATGAGGAAAGGCTCAAGTATCTCTACAACAAATTGATCAGAGCCATTTATAAAGCGACAGGGGACGAATCTGGCGAATTTGTAACAGATTTGAAGGATTCTTTATATTATCTATATGATATGTACGCATATACCATCAGTAACTTTGAAGTGGCGCAAAGAGGAGCAGAGAATACACGAGCGAGGGACCTGATGGTGGAGCATACAGGAACATTTATCGATGATATATCAAGGACATCACAGACACTCTTAAAGATTCTGTCAATGACAAATGGACTAGTGCCCAAACTGATGGAGTCTCCCTGGCAGACCGATGATCACCAAGTGGCAGAAAGCGTTTTACTTGAACAGCTGTATCAGTTCATCTCAGGCCCGGATAAGCCCAGTACAGTGCCAGTATTATCAGATGATCCATTCAAGGTCCTGGTTCGTCTTGGTTTCCTTGTTGCAGATTACCCAGATGTGCAAGCACATCATCTGATGCGTGCTCTTTATCTAGCCGATCTGACAAAGACTGTGATTGGCATTGCTCAAGTCATGTGTGATAATGAGAGACTCTTCAAGGATACCAGGTTGAATGAACTACTCACTACTCTCTGTGACAATCAACAGCAACAAGTCAAGGGAGTAGATGGTGCCAAGCGTTTTATAGAACACGTTCTTTCATCTATAGGATTTCCTCATGTCAAGACAGTGTTTGACAGGTTAAATCCCAAGGGATTTACTGCACTTCTTCGCTTGTTTACTTTGCCCTATCTTCGCAAATCGCTGCTATTGATGACAGTACATCATGGATTTATCCCACAAAGTCCAAGCTCAACAGATGCTATGGAAGAAGGATCACAAAGTGAATATGATCGTCTATTGGAGACGTTGAATCTTCCCAGTTTTGAAACCATCTTCAACTTTACAAGTACTGATCAGGAACTACTCAACTACTGGTGCCAGGACTTTTTGGACAGGAATGGAACACATATATCACTGAACTTGCCCATTAAGTATCGTTTAACGACATTACCTTATCGTCTGGATGTTTTGCTTGATGAAAGCTCGAAACGCATCTGTCGTAAATGCAACTCTGTTCCTGAACATTCGGCCATTTGTTTGATTTGTGGTACGTTTGTATGTGCTCGTCGATTCTGTTGTACGGAAGGAACTAAAGGCGAATGCAACGTTCATATGAAGAGGTAGTGAGACAATTAATAATGATATGTAATTACTCATCTGTATTTAGCTGTGGAGGTGAAATTGGAATATACATGATGATCAAAGACTGCTTCTTATTACTATTACATGATAATGGAGGTAGTATTATGAATGCACCCTATCTCGATAGTCATGGAGAGGCCGACATATTCTTTAAGCGAGGTGCACCACAGTATCTCAATATGAAAAGATATGAACAGATTAGACAAATGTGGTTAACACATTCTATACCTTCATTCATCAGAAGAAGGATGGAAGCATCACAAACGACAACAGCTTGGGAGGCATTTTAAATTCATTCTTTGTACAGTGAAGCAATAAAATACAATCAAATCTTAAAAGCCTTTAAAGACATATTAGCATGTTGTAGTATAATAAATAATATACTTACAGCATTGACAATCAAATGGGCATTCGGGTGTATCTTTGCCTAAGCCAATATTCAAGTCTTTAATGTCATAGAGAGGGTATCCTTCCTCAGTTGTACGTGCTAATACAAAAATAATTAATAGATTTGTAAAGTATACGTCAAAGCCTTTATTACTTGGTTTCTTCAAGCCTCTTGAATCCCCAAAATCATCATCCGACGGCGGAACCACTGGCTTCTTTTGCGTCTTTTTCTCACTTTTTACAGCTGCCAATTCTGCAAATACAACTTCCTCTACTTTCTTATTATCCTGTTCTTCTTCTTCTGTCTTTGCTTCTTTGGTTATTTTTTTAGGTCTAGACAAAATATCATTATCTGCTTTTCTTTTCTTTGCAGCTTGCTCTGTTGTGGTAGAAGAAGTTGTGGAAGTAATCTTTTTTGTATTAAAGATATCGTCAATTTCAGAGGTATCAAGGACCTTGTTTTTCTTTTCTGGTTTCGTGCTCTCCTTTGCTCCGTTCTTGCCTTTTTTTGTGTTCTTTGCCATTTCTACCTATTTTTAAAGAAGAAAAAAAAGGAATTAGAAAAGAACATTTTGACAGCATAAATTAAGTAGACTGTGGCTTTTATTTGAAGCAAGCACATTATTGGCTGATACGCCACTAAACATTTTTAGGCAAGAGATTCAAGAGAATAATACACTCAAAGAGCCCTTGCTCATCCTATTCATTATAAATCGACCTTATGTCTGTGATAAAAAGAAAGTTTGGAATGTCTATTTTAACACTAATATACTTTCATACTTATTTCAATACTTCGTTGGCTCGTCTTTAGCGACGGTCACTCAGACTTGCAGCTAAGCGCTGTGCAAGGTCCACGCTTATATTTCTCCATTAATCATTCAAGACCTTCTTCAAATCATCAATGTTATTAACGGCGGCCCTTTTGTCCTCGATAAGTTTTTTAAAAGGACCATCAACGATCATCAAAGAGCCCAAAGCTTCCTGCCCAAGAACAGTTCCATATCATTACACTTCCATGGTCCCGTTTTGCTACAGGCTTAATATGGCAAGACTCGTATCTTTCGCCAACTTTACGAATAACTCTGGCCTCACTGTAAAACCTGATTCATCCAACCAACCCACATTTTCCTACTGTTCTTGAGCCCAGCAGACATGATCCAGGGCCCAACGGAGTCTTCTCTTCTTGTTTGCTTCTGTAAGAGATGGCTTATGTGCAGCAAAGTACAATGTAAAGCCCATTTTCCTCAAGTAGCTGATTGCTGTCTGTCGGAATTTGTAGTCTCAGCTTGCTGAAATTCGAATCTTACAGAATCGTAAGACGCAAATGGGCCTCTTATAATTCTTTTCAAGTATCTTTGAGCTCTTTCGATAAGCTTTTTCGAAGCTCCAGGTGCCTTTCTTGGAAAAGGGATCCAGTCTCACAAATTCCATCGATAACTTTTTAGATACTACCCTTGGGCATCTGGGTTGTATCAGAAAGACGACCCAAGGTGAACTTGAATTTATCGAGCCAGAAGACTCCCCGGTTCTTTTTAAGTTTGCGCTTTTGGTAAGAGCTATAGGTGTTATCCAATGAATTTTGGCTTGACATGTTTGATTAGAAAAGAATAGAAAGAGTAGATGTTTCTTCTTCATGCTATTGAATTTTAAACAACTAGAAACTGAGACTTTGTGTGCTTTTTATAGACAGCTTTTATTTTTATTAGTAAATTGTTTGTTAAATATAGGATAATACATACTTAAAGATTGATAATTAATGGATATGTTTTTTTTTTTGTCAGTTAACAGCAGTAAAAACTGGTGGAGAGAAAAAGAAGGAAAAAGCTTATAGTCTTATTAAACAGTCTTTTACTACTGTCACTTGGAAGCACCAAAATTTACTCGTACTACGTTTTTCCAACTTTTTGCATTTTCAAACCACTACTTTTAAGACCGTTTCCTGTGGCCGTACAAGCAACCATCCGTGTAAATATGCGTTTTTATAAGCAGAAAAAGTCTCAGCATCCTATTGTTTAATGTACACGGAATAAATGCTTTATTTAACAATAGTGGCAGAACCAGATTTAGTAAATAGCATGTCTAAAGCGGCCATTGTTTCAATCAAGTCTTTTTGTAATTGAATCTCTTGCTTCACTTTTACTGTCAAACGAGATAAAAGGTCATCAATGAGTGGTGATTGTCCAAAGACACGAGTATAACAATCTGTACATGCAAAATGAGTAACATGATATTAAACTTGGCTGTTCTATATTTACCAATAACAGCTTCTGATACATCCACTAATAAATTAGTATATCTAGGATGATGTATATTTCTAATCAAGAAACGCATAAGTGGCTCCAGTGAGACATCATCACGACCTGTAATTGCTGCCTTAAGGCCATCACGGTGAATTAATTCTTGCAACACGGCAGCTACAACAGGTGGTGAATTGAAGTTTGTTTTCAGCACTTCATCTAGTGCATTAGCGTACTGGAACGCTTTGATAAACTGGTCATATTTTCTCAACTTTTGTCTCTTTGTACTTTCCACCACAAAATCATCATTTGCAGGTGCATTAGATTGTCCACGCATGAAGTACTTGTACGTTCCACCTTTAATATAATCTTGATGTTGCTTTTTGAGTGCCTTTTCTGATGCCTTGATCTGTCTTTGACGAATAGATAATAGCCCGTTAGCCATACCAGCCGCAAGATGGGTATCATCAGGCGAAAGGCCAACGCTCAAGATGGGCGCGGGGTATTTCACACTGTGAACGACTTTATAATCTTGTACGTCAAAGATTTTTACATGATGATCTAATGAACCTGTCACTAATCTCGAAGCAGCACCATCAAAGCACATGCTTGTCACTGTCTTTTGGAAATTGGACAGAGTGTGCATGCATCGTCCACCGCTGAGCAAGTCCCACACTTTGACAGTGGGTCCACCAGATGAGATGACAGCACCTCCATTAGGATACATCAAGAGTGATTCTACAGGTGCTCCATGGTTCATCGTCATCACACTCTCAGGTTGTCTCATATCCCACAATTTTACTGTCTGATCGTAAGATCCACTAATCACCAAATTCGGGTTCTCCTGACTAACCACGCCTGCTCGGACATAATCTTCATGTTCATCAAATATGTTGATGTGGTCTCCTGTTGGAATATCCCATATACGCACTGTTTTGTCATCAGAGGCAGATAGAATATTTGCTTTGTTGATCGTAAAGTGAGTGACTTGTGTTGGCCTAAACGAATATTAGCAAGGACAGAATTAAACAAAAAAATGAGTAATTACATTTCATGTCCTTTAAAGGATCTTAATATAGCTCTAGATCCGACATCAAACATTTGAATCAGACCCGTGGCATCACCAGCGACGATCAATTTACCATCTTGACGAAAACTTCCAGAGTAAGCAATATCTTTAAAACGAGATATGGTCTTTTTAGGTTGATGCGTTTTTGAAGAATACACTTGCACACGTGTTGAAGAAGTCACTGCAAAGTCGTATGGTGAGACGGGTGAAAAGTTGATGGAGGTGACGCTTGCATACTCTTTAATGACAATAGGCGACTGGTAGTAAAAAGTCAATACATATTCAAATTATACACAAAAAAGGTTTACCTTGAAACGTTTCCAATATCTTGCTTCTGCCGTCTTTTTTGACGTTTGTATTTTTGGTTGTTTCTTTATGGTTGTCTTTTTGTAATCCATCTGATTCTAGTCTATTACAGGTAAAAAAAATGCGCTATTGTAAAAAAAGCTCTGTGAGGGAAGCTTTCAAATGAATTTAAAGAAAACGAGTCACGAATAAAGAACGCCACAGGGACCATGTTTATTTTCAAAAAAGAAAAAAAGGGGGGATTACATTCATGCGTTATTTACGATGCTGAATGATTTGTGATATTAGCTGCGTTCTTTCGTTATTGAGCATTTCGTTTAGTTTAGCTTGAATATTAGGATCTTGTGAATAATTACGACTTGTTCTTCTATCTGGTATGCTATACAGCACATGCTTTGGATCATTATTGCCGCTCTGATTTTGTGAAGAAGGTTGCCAGCTTGCAGATCTGGTCAAGGAAGATCCATTGACATCTATATTAGGAGAAAGACGAGCAGAGCATGATCGTCTTTTATAATCCGTTTGAATTGTTTTATTGACTACATCAGCACTTGGAAGAGGATTATTGCCATAAATCTGAGAGTAGTAGCGACTTTGATGACGGGAAGGTATTTTGATTTCAGATGATGAGCCATTGTGCGATGCTGAGTACTGGGGTATCCTTGATTCGAAAGAGCACTCTTGAAAAGACACAGGTGAAGGTGATAGCGATAGTTGCGTATCTGTATGCTCTGGAAGTGCAGATATTAATAGTTTATGCTTTCTCTCTTTAGTCTCCTCTTCGTAATCTTCAGTCTCTAGTTTATTACTATCCTCATTATCTGTGTTGTGATGAAAGATCCAGGATAGAAAGGATGGCTTTGGTTTATCGATTTTTAGCTTTGAGTATGCTTTAATAGGCTGAGAAGACATGTAAAGACTGATATTTGTTTACAAAATAAATAAAAAAGAAGAAAAAGAGAACAAAGGAGTAGAAAAGTACAGCTTGAGTCTACAATGGTTATTTTTATCTAAAGAAAGACCTAAATATACCAGCCAATTGCAGATATATTGTGCGTCGTACAAATTATCCTTTATTAAAAGTTGCCCTTTGTAACCTTTGATTGCTGAGGTGCGCGTAGTCCGAGTTTATGATCTTATTGAGCATTCTATTTTATTCTAAAGATAAGAAAAACAGTCTTTGTTTATCAACAATGTACTTGGTAATCTATGTTGAATGGAGCCCCTCTTTTTTTCAGTGGCTGGTTAGAGGCTCTACATTCAATTCTTTTTTCATGAGTTTAGCACTCTTTTTTCACAGTAATACACAGTGTGGCTTACTTTATTATTCACGGACTGTACGCTAATAACAATCAGTTAGCCTCGTTCGTCTTTTATTCATGAGCAAAACAACAGCATGTTGAAGAAAATTAAAGAAAAAAGGATAATCATTTATACGTCTTATTAGTAAAGATTGGCTTTGTTTCAAACAGATGAAAAAGGATGTTTGATGATACTTGAGTACTTGGCTGTTTACATTCCGAATGTTTTCTCAAAACAGGTTGCCACATTGCATGACGTGGGTAACCGTTTGTTTGTTTGTTATCCCCACTGCATATTATCTCTATCACTTGCTGAAGAAGTAAATACTATACTATATAAAACCGAACAGGGGTGGCATTAAAAGGGGTAGATCCAGAAAAGGAATACATTTGTAGATCACTAATTGAAGCGCAGCACAACAAAATATGGGGTTACCGTCATTTGAGCGCCCGAAAACAGGCAATCAGCCTGATCGGATAGTAATAGAAGGGCTTGAGAAGTATACTAAAAATGAAAGCGACTATGAGAAGAACATTAACTCTGATATAAATAAATACAATGATTTGTTCCTTTTTAGGTAACCTTTGCTTGATACAATGTATCAGTTAACTTATCTTTTTCACGCAGATCCTTTTTAGGGATTGTTTAAACGGAGCCACAAAGATGGTAGTCAGGTCATAAGTAATAGACTATTGATCACAAATAGCTGCGCATGATAGCAAGAAGAAGAAATGTTACATATACAGAAGCATACAATATCATCAATTGACTTTAGAAAGTATTTAGTATTTGGCATTATATATAAATGCTTCGTTTGACAAAATTATCTAATGATAACCTGATAAAAAAAGAGGGAATAACTACGTAAGAAGCATCGTTGAACGTGAGCGCATACTCTTTTAAAGGAATTCAATTATGTGAAAGGCACTCAGAGTCATTTGTTTGCTCACATAAGGAACACAATGTGAACGAGTACAGTTCAGCCTATGTAATACTTGATAGCATCATTATATTTTGATCCAAGATAAGCATATATTTTAGTCACATGTGAAAAGAAGCAGATATAAACGTGTTTTCATATTTGCAAGTATAGATTTGACCACAATTCCAATACATCTAATAAAAAAGGTTAAGGAGATACTCACATATACCCTTCCATCACAAGGCTTTTTTTGTATACACTAACTTTTTTTTTTGTAAAAGCAGTGTAAATAAGTTATCGCTGATTTGCCAAGAAACACAGCATAATGAACAGGTTCTCAAACAAGACATAGAAATAACCAAACAAAAAAGACGTAATCAAGTAATAGTGTAGATCTTCTCTCAATTTCAGGATAAACACCCTTATAATTCAATATTAGCAAATAAGAATACGTCAGGCATTATAAATAAAGAATCATTTATTTTTCTTCTTCTTTTAATCTTGCATTTTATTGATTGTTAATGATAACTCTTCGTTGTTTTATAAGGGAAACAACCACTGCATACAAAGCAAATATTATCAAGCAGAAACACAGGATGTCTGTCACGTCCATCCTTGTAACTAGGTTTGATTTGTTTTTGCACAATCAACCTTCCCATGACGATTGTGCGTCAGATATAAATATTTCATATTTGAGTTTGATACCTGTTTTCCGAGTGAATACCAAGATATCCTGTTGTATTCATGCTTAGTGGATTAGTTATTAACCACATATGAAACAATAACTGGCAATTATTCGACTTCAGCTTATTTCAGAAATGAGACACGACATCATATTCATTACTGGCCTCCTTTCCTCAATCCAATAGAGAAGTCCTCCAGCAGACACTTTTTCGCTTCGGCTTTCCGACCTCTCTAGTGGATACGTTAATGTCGCTTTTCTTTGACACGAAAATCCATATTGGAACCAATGGCTGGCTAGGTGTTTCTATCCCTCAGCTATGTGGGCTACGTCAGGGTGACCCACTCTCACCATTGCTGTTTAACTTAGCCTTCGAGCCGCTCTTTCGTACCATACTAGCCAACAACCAACTTCGAGGCGTGTCACTACGCCCAGTCCCAGTCGGGCGTAATAACAAACTCAGGCCCTGTCTTATCCCCCTGACTGGCTCTGCGATGTTTTATATTATCAAAAAGACAGGTCAATGCTTTTAGGACTCTTTTATTCGATATTATGAAGTTCCCGTTCAAAGCGTATTTAGAATAAGGGCATTAATAGTCAATGATTTGAAAATTTACCGCATTGCTTGTATCCACATGCTTAATGAATTTTGCTTGTAGTTGATTATGATTCTAACTGCTCTGCTTTCTACATTCCTAACAACACCATGTTGTCTAAGGGGCTATCATCGGGGATTTAAATGGTGGATTTGTTTTATGATGTGCTAATTCTATCGTTGGTTGCAACAATATACGTAGCCTGGGAGGCAGGGATAGCAGTATTGCATGTGGAGATCTCAGTATTGAGATGTTAATATTATAGTAATGTTAAAGTCAGGTTTTTTATGTAAGAATATGCTATGAGGTTCATGTTCGGATCCGACTGACTCTGCGGAACCACCTGTTGTATCTAGCACTGATAGTGACTTATAGAGTATTCAAAGAGCTTATCATAATTTGTACAGGTACTGTAACTTATCACTAAAATCATGTATAATTAATCCTATGATGTATGGACTTACTCTATTCATACTGATTACAGTTGTTTATCTCAATGTTAGTCATAAGCAGGCATTGTTCTACGACAGTTATCGTTTACGAAGAAAGAGATAAATGTGGTTATCATTGTATTTTAATTTTTTATGTTGTCAGTTTGATCAACAAAGAATCAAGATCAGTCAAGTGCACTTATGATAAATTCGTACTTTCTATCAAAAAATATCCCACTGAACAGCCTTAGGTTAGGTAAACACTTTGGTAGTATGAATTTGAATTTGTACAGTGGCGCCACATGTGTAGAAGAGTAAGCGTCTGTATCATTAGCCTTCTCGTGAATTTCCTCGTACGCGTAGTGTACATCAAGAAAAAACACTCAAACCAGTTTTAAAAATTCGTTGATTTATTCATGTACAAAAAAAAAAGTAAGTATCGCGTTATTTGTATAAAAAAATATATCTTCATTTTGAAGAGATAGTCCAATGTTTGTTTGAACATTTCGAGATTTGAAAGATCCTTGGAAACGATAAGCTTGGAAAGCAGAGAAGCAACATACACACCATCTTCGGTCAATTTCAGCATGCACAAATAACCAATATTGCCTGTCAATATTAGAAATCAGTCACTGAATATCATCAATATTTTACAGATGAAGTCCATCGCCAACAGTTCGCTGACGTCGGTTGAGCAATGGCAGTTGAGATGGTTGAGAACGGCTACATTCTTGCGCAGATTTTTTTATTGCTGCTTTAGTTTCAAATCTTCTTGAGCTTTTGACCGTTTCCATTCGATTGAAGATAATTCGATCTTCATATTGCCATCGTATCTGAGCATGAGGTCGATTTTCTTTCCATACACCGGTGCATTCTGCATGGGGCTAAAGACTGCCTTGCTCAAGTGGGCCACATTTGAAGTATTGGTTGTAGTTTTATAATTGCTGTTAGCACTCATGTAATGTATAGAATAAAAGCAAAGATGTGATGAGTATCTGCTTTATCGTTTTATTAAAGTGAGAAGAGGAGCTCATGGCAAAAAGAAATTAGGTTGTTTTAAAAGAGCTTGGAGTACTAACTAAGTCAAATGTAATCTCACACGTAAAGATTAGTATTAGACATGGTCAAATACGACACTACCCAAACATGCTATCTCGCCGCTGCTTGAAATAGCTGAATCTTCTTCTGTCCAATTAATTACTGAATCATGGCTCCTCTCACCTAATAAGTATCCAATATCTTGGGAACAATATCACACTTATGAGCAACTTGTCCAATTGAACAGGAATCAAGGTAGTCTTGGTATAGCTCTACTAGTTAATCCTTCCAATCCCTTCTCAGTAGAGCATATTCCTCACGAGTCCCTTATTGGCTAAGTATACTTTGTCATTCGCTATTTCAAAATATCTTGTTTATTGTCTCTACTTACCTCCCTCTTTATCACACGCCGAATTTTCCAATATTTTTAACTTGCTCGCTCTAAATATGCCCAATACTGAATCCACCATCATTTATGGTGATCTCAACGCACGGATAGGCAGAGTTACTGGAGACACTTTTCATAATTACTGAGGGCAATTGTTATATGACTGGATCAACTCTCACACTATGACAGTATGGTATGAACGACTAGCCTATGGATCATCCACTTTATGGATTGTTTTGGCAGCAGTATTACCGACTACTTCATTGGCACGACAGAACTGCCTTATTCAAGCTTAATAATTCGGGATGACTTGTCGCTTGGCTCCTATCATAAGCTCATGATCCTTTCCTTTCAAGCATCAACTCCACCTCAGGCTCCTCCCACCTAAAAGGATCTTGTAGTACTTGGGCAAGTTAAAAAATGAAAAATTAAGAACTGAATACGACAATCATTTTTCCCATCTTAGGAATGGCCGTATATCTAGTACTCCCTCCTCCTTTGACAACAGAGTCTCTGCAGCGGCATACATTGAAAAACTCAATCACAATCCATGCCAAGCGATCTGCCAATTTCTGGATGTGGTCTGTGGTCGTAATACGCAGCAACGGTGCCACCCTCTGCAACAATTTTGGACAGCTGATATGCAAGAGGCCTTCAAACTTAAGGAACACCATTATAGAAAATGGCGTAAATCGCAAGGTGTGAACTGTCTCAAATACAGGATCCTCCATCAAGAAACTAAGTCCAGGCTACGACGGATGGTTTTGAAACGAAGACGTGATTGATCTTGGCTCTTTGTTGATAGACTGACAACAAAAAATTAGAAAAAAAAATTAACATTTCTTTTTTATCTCTTCTTCTTCTTGAAAAGAAACAAACTATTATGCAATTTTATAAATTCCTATTCTACATCAAGGAATATGGAAAGATGTCTGTTCCTGAGTAAGTTTAGCGTGGTCCCACGCATTGAAACGTTTTATTGACGACATTATAGGTAACCCTTGTGACATTAGTTTATTTTCTGATGCATGAAGTATTCACCTTTTCTTAACCAAATTATCTAAATAGTATGCAAGGCGGCTGCTAAAAAGGATATCCTCAGAAAGAAGGCGTCTGACCCCAAAAACGTGTGGTGTAGCAGGCAACCCCAGCTACACGCCAAAGAAATTTAGCCAGGCAACCCCAAACTAAATCCCTAAGGTCAAACTACACTATATAAATATCAAGACCAACAGAACGAATTCACAGACTACTCGGCTGGACTTCCAATTGAGTAGGTCTGCAGCTTTCATCATTAAGCCACTCAAGATACTGTAAAGAGCAACGAAGGAGATAAAGAGGGGAAAAGAAACCAATGGTTCTTAAGGCTTAGTAAGGAGCACTACTGCATGCATTTTTGATTTTTCATGCATACAAATTTATAAACATTCTTCCAAAAAGGTTAAATAGCAGTATATTGATGAGTATAACCTCTTATATAATGATCAACTAGTCATCTTCACATCAAAGTAGCACTGTGTTTCTTTTAAGCTTCTTCTTTTCTTGTTTCTATCACTGTGCAATCCTATTTACGTGGTATTGTAAGGCTCAGTTTCCGTTTCTATATTGTTAATATGAACATTCATGAAAAAGTAATTAAAGGATATTAATGAAACTCTAAGCTTATTTGTACACAACAACCAAGGAGCAGTTATGTAGCCTTACAGTTGCCTTTGAAATTAAAATCTAAAGCTTTGATTACGACCAGTTAGTAAATATGTATAATGACTTATGGTTAAACAGTATATATAAAGCACCAGCCCGACTACATGAGTCAGTTGTTTAGATACGGTAAATGACTGTATAGTGTTTTATTGGATTGAACAAAGATAAAAGATTATTAATATAAGTGTACTAACCTACCTACTTCACCAATTCATAGATAGCTGAGCTGTATGAAGTTTGGTGTAAATTGAAATGACGGAAAAACAGATCTTATCTGAAGACTAAAGATCTGTAACTGAAAGATTAAGAAGGCACTATCGTGCCTTGATGAAAACTTAGTTTCATTGACTAAATGGGCATATAATCATAATGACATATTATCATCTTGGTATTCCTATCAATGATTAAATGCATACTCCTAATGTATCCTAAATTGATTTAGATCTGGATAAGAAGTGCTCTTGATAGTACTATAATCTCTAATGGGCACAATGATTAATGTAAATAAGATTTGAGTAATATGACAAAAGGCAGCTGAGCAGATGAAAGAGGTATATATTATCGAATAGTGTTAGTATTATCCATTGCAGCTGTCTTTCCCCAACACTACTATTTCAAGTAACGCATCTTTCTTTTTTTTTCTCTCGGCGCCTCCTAATGACCGTACGCCTCATAGCCTTTTATATGTGTCATTAAGTATCCGTCTCTTGGATATTGATCTCCTCAAACAAAGAAAGGGGGAAAAGTATCCCTTTTAACAATTCCAAAAAAGTTAATTTAAATGCAGCAATCTTAGAAAAGAAAGTCTCGTGAGTGAACAGTGCGTAACAACCGATCCGTAAAATCGAGCCAAGAGAAAAGAGTAACACCAAGCATACCGTTTTAATCTCCACGAAGTGATAAACCATGTAGAAGCGGAAATGACACACAAATAGGGAAAAGAACATTCTACCTGCTATACCTTTTGTTTATTTTAACCAAAATCATTCATGTGGTAAAGTAAAGCGCCGATAGGTATTATATGCATTTTTGACTCATAAAAGTAAGGCAAGTAATACAACAAGAATCCCTGGGTTTATAGATGTAGTGTGACGCTTTAAGAAGAAAGGACAAGAAAAAAGAAAAAGAAAAAGAAAAAAACAAATGCGCAAAAAAAGCTGAGCAACAGATTTCTCCCTATTCTTTCATGCTTGGCATTTGCTTATTGCAAAAAGAGTTTTCTTGGTGTTCTATTTATTATTAATGCTGAACAATTCATCAGCCACGGCTTCCTGTTTTTTTTTTTGTTGTTATTTGCGGCTAACGCGGGCAAACTGTTTCTCCGAATATTTTGACACAATCTCTACAACTTATTTTTCTAAATTTGGCTAATTTTTATTTCAAACGCGTCATATTAATGTAGTTTCCATAATATCCGCTTTTCCGAATTGAGAATTCTTGATATAGCAAAGACAAGATGGCATAGCAACGAACCTTGATCCAAATGGAAGAAGAAAGCATAATTTATCCATCTGATTAATATTAATAAGCATAACTAAGAGGATACCCGGACCATTCCTTCGATAGGCACCGTTTCATAACGGGCCCAATGAGATAAGCTTTTCTTGTTCATCGGAAAAACTGCTCATTTGCATAGAGAGAGCGGAAAACATAACTGCCCTTAAACTTGAATCAGAGCTCCAGAACCGTGATGATTATTAATAATATTGTTCCATTGATTTATTTCATCAATCAATGCAATAAACCCGTAAAAGAGACAATAGAAAACGAGGTTTAATCGTTTCTCCTTGTCATGACAACTGTCGTCATTGAGCTAAGCCCTACAGTTGCCAAGACAATGACTCTTATTGTTTTCTTTGTTTTTGAATAAACATGATTTTTTACATCGGAGAGTTTAAAATAATTGCTGACAAAGGATCAAACTGCAATCCTTGATGTTTCTAATTGCCGTCATGAGCCACGAGTTTAATGCTAATGTCTCGGATGTTTCGGAAAAACAGAATATATTAAAAATGTCAAAATTTTTTGATCTATAGAAAACGGTTTAGGCCAAGGGTTTACGTAACTTTTGTGTAATTTTAACTGCCGCCCAGCTTTTTTTTGTTCTTCACCTCGCACAAGCCAGACTCAATTCTCGGTTTTGGGAAGCATTATTGTATTATAAACATATTAATTTTATTATTGTTTTTGCAAAATAAATAAAAAGGGAAGATTTACAAATAAATAAAAGAAGCCATCATTGCAATAAGTATATATAAATGATAAAAAAGAATAGATGCTAGATCGTGTTTGGTATAAGGAATTTCAGCTAAGGAGAGAGTTTTTGAAAGAAAGGGAAGGGGGGTTATAAGAACATATTCAGAGGTATAAAAATACTGTACAAGGTTAAGGGGTGTTTGCGTGTACGTGTTTCTTACATAGCAACAAGTCCCTTATTTCACAAAACCACCTGTTAATTTTTTTCAGATCAAGTAACCTTCCACAAAGTCTGTACGCAAAATATCACGATTGCCATCTCTATATCGAACCATCCACCTTCCATCTGGCAATTTTACATAAAAATTTGAGTAAGGAAACTCATTAGCTTTGAGATAGGTTGGACTGAATGGTGGTATAATCAACTGTGGTGGTTCTTCTTGATAAACATATTGTTTTCTTTGTCTTTTAGTGTGTGAAGACTGACTATCGAATTCTCCGCTTTTCATTGTGGACAATGTCGAGCTGCTTTCGTTTCCTCGATGAGAAAAACTAGATGAATGTGTGGAAGAGCTAGAGGTGCTGCTGGAAGATGACTTGCACTTTGGATGAAGGAGTTTTCCTACTTTACGCCAGATTGAGTCGTGTGATTTTGTTGAAGAGTAACTAGATGTATTTTTTGAATAATTCAGCATTTTATTTATATAAAATAATAAAAAAGGTACAAAAAAAAAAGGGAAAAGTGAAGAAAAAGAACATTGTGTATTTATACAAAAGTATGGATAAATTTAGAGTAACCATTCCGGCCAATGAAAGTTGAATAGAATTACCAAGTGATACCACCTGGTTTCTAATTTCGGATTGAAACTCCTGCTTAAAAATGACTCCCTCTCAGTTTTTTAAGGAAATAATGTTTTTCCAAAGATCTTTATTAAATTCTAAATTTAGACATGGAAACGCTTATAATTTTTGCTTTGTTTCTATAGTTTCTATGGATTGAATAATATCGCCTGGTTTAAATTCATTGAATCCATCAAAGGAAATACCACACTCCAAACCTTTCTTTGCCTCCATAATGTCCTTCTTCACTTGACGTAGTGCATCCAATTGTCCTATTATAGATAGTTACGTCAACCTTGTATAAAAACATTCTGCTGTCTAATAATCCATGCTTATTTTAGCTTACCTTCCCATATGGTCTCTTTATTACGTACTATTCTCACTCGACCATTGCGATGAATTGCACCGTTTGTCACTCGACAGCCAGCAACAGGGCGAGTTTCTCTTCCCTTGATACTGATATCGAAAATCTGTAATACCGCAGCCTCACCAACGACTTGTTGGGTAATGATCGGCGGTAACATATCACTCAACTGTTCTTTAACATCTTCCAGCAGCTTGTAAATGATCGAATAAGATCTCACTGGCACTCCGATTCTTGCAGCCTCGGCTTGAATTCTTTTATCAGCCTTGACATTGAATCCGATGACTCTTCCTTCACAAGCTGCGGCTAGCTGAACATCACCTTCAGTTATATTACCGACCCCACTATGAACCACCTTGACTCTGATCTGTTTGTTTTGTAACCCTGACAATGAATCCACTACAGCCTCAACTGTACCACTTACGTCGCCTGTCAAATGTACAACCATGTAGGTAAATCACACGTGAGGTCACGCATAAGCCAACAAAATTTTAATTGTTTACCTTTCACAACAGCTCGGAGTTCCAGGACTTCATTTTCGACAGGATTGTCTCCATTATCTTGACTTTTCGTTTGTATCTCACTTAATCGCTTATTTAGGGAAACAGGTGCAACATCAGTCAGACCGCGCTGATACATGTACATCTCCTTTTGATACGCTTTTTCTATCAGTCGTTCTTGCTCCAACTGCTCTTTTTGCAGTCTTCTCTTATCATTGATGACTTCTAAGTCACGGAGCTGTTTCTCACGCTGATGTCGTGCAACACGGTTATCAACTACAGTTTTAGCCACACTCTATTTTAAGATATGAGTGATGCATGACATAGGTTAATCAGAAAGTTCCTTACTTCATCCTCTGCTTGAAGCATTTCGTCTCCTGCGTGAGGAACATCTTTCCAACCAATCACCTTGACAGGCATACCAGGTGTTGCTTCTTTTACTGCTTTTCCCTGATGATCGACCATAGAACGAACCTTGCACCATGTCTGACCGGCGACGATGACCGCACCTGGTTTGAGTGTGCCTCTCTGTACAAGTACCGTAGCCACATTACCTCTTCCTTTTTCAATTTGTGATTCAATCACTACGCCTTCTGCCGTGTTCACTCTTTCTGCCTTTAGTTCAAGCACTTCTGAAAGCGTCACGATCGTTTCCTCCAGTTGGTCCAAATTTTTTCCAGTCAATCCAGAGACCTCAACGCAGGGTACATCACCGCCAATTTCCTCCAAATGAACATTATACCGTGCCAATTCCTCCTTTACCCGAGAAGGATCGACGCCGTGCTTATCGCACTTGTTGATAGCTACAACGATGGGTACATTGGCTGTCTGAGCATGTTGGATGGCTTCTATCGTTTGAGGCATCACCCCATCATCCGCAGCTACAACCAAAACAACGATATCTGTCACTTTAGCTCCTCTTTGTCTCATGGCCGAAAAGGCTGCGTGACCGGGAGTATCCAAAAAGGTAATCGTCTTGTTAGAAGGAAGTTTGACTGAGCTAAATGAGTTACATGTTGTGTGTACGACTGAAGATTAATATAAGGGTACCTGAAAATGCACCAATGTGCTGAGTAATCCCCCCTGCTTCTCCTGCGGCTACGGATGATTTTCGAAGCGTGTCCAGTAAGGTTGTTTTTCCGTGATCAACATGACCCATAATCGTCACAATGGGGGGTCGATCTTTCAACAGTGCCGGATCTTCTACGGGTGGTCTAAATGTTTCACCATTTAATTCATGTTATATTATGCATTGCACTGAAACCAACCTCGGATAAAGATCAAGTGATTGCTTAGCATCTACAATTGGATTCATATTCAGTTGCATGGCAATAAGACTCGATTCATCCGCATGAAGCACTTTTTCATAGTCAGTTTCGTTCTTTATTCGTTTTATATATTGAAACTTACTGCGGTCATGCGAAGTATTTCCCATATCAAGCTCTTCCATGGTTCTGACCACTTGTTCTATATATGTATACATTAGTTACATCATACTTTTTCTCGCTCTCTGTGTTGTATTTACCAAACCTAACTCCCAAGACTCGTGACAAATTGGCAACATTGATCACTTCAGGTATATACACATCCCTCACTTGTTGATTCTCCCTTCTCTCCTTTGCCTTTTGTTTCGCCTTTCTTTCCTCAATATATTTACGCTGTTTCGCTTCCTCCTTGGCCAAAGCAGCCAATTCTTCCTCTGTCTTCTTTCGCTCCTTCTTTTGAGCTACTGTTTCTGTTTTTTTGGGCGCAGATTTTGTAAATCGGGTAATATGACGCTCATGTACCTTGACTGATTCCTCAGGGTACTTTTCAGGGTGCATATCTGCCGGACGGCTCCAGTCTCTTTTAGGCGCCTTTCGCTTTCCTCCGTTCGTCTCTGGAGGTAACTGCCAGTTTCGTTTGGTGAAGACTTTATCTGTCTTTGCACCCCCTGTAGGTTTGCCTAGATTCATGACATCTCGTTTAAGTAAACGTGCTGAAGTTCTAAGGGTCATTGTTTGACCCCATCTGAGCCTTTGTTGCTGCTGAAGAGCTGAGAGAAGTTTGAGTGTAGTACTCATTTTATTTTTTTTAAAGGTGTCAAAAAGGCCCGTAATAAACATGTTTTCATTGTTTTTGACTGTCAATTTTCAAGTCACTTTGTTCTCTTCTTTTTTTTTATTGTCAAAATGTACTATGACTTTAATATTCCGTATCCAAGCAATCCAACAAAAGAAGATTTGAATCGAATAGAGAAAATATTAGAACGTATTCATTCTGGTAAATAAAGAAGAGAAGAGCGTGTAAATAAAGGAATAACTTTACTAAACAGATTCAAGACCAGTCAAGTATCATTGCACTTAATGTGTCTTCAAAATCAGGTGTCTCTGAAGTGAAGGTAATTTGAAATATTGCAAGTGAAATAAACTAAGTCCAAATGTAGCCTGTATTACCTATTGCACCAGATCGTTTTCCTAATATGAAACAATTGACAAGGGCGACTATAGAAATCGATGATCATAGAAAGAACTATCAGCTCGTAAGCACCAATCAGATAAATGTACATGATCCCAAGCTAATACGTAAAAGTCAAGCAGTTCTACTTCTACACATGTTGATATTTTAGCAGTTCGTCCCGGCACAATTGATGTCTGTAAACACGCTTGTCAAAACTTGGAAGTTGATGTCATATCTTTGGATTTGGCAAATACAAAGACAGCACCCAATTTTGCTGCTGCTCAAGTGGCTGTAGGTCGTGGTATCTTTTTTGAAATATGTTATGCACAATCATTTAAAAGTAAGACCAAAAAAAGAAGAAGAGAAAACAGATAACTAAGATCGATTTAGATCCTGGAAAAAAGGCAGCCTTTTTCAGCAATGTTAAGCGGTTAGTGGATGTAACCAGAGGCCATAACTTATTTTTCTCAAGTGAAGCATTAAGAGCTTTAGAGATTAGAAAACCCGCAGATCTAAGAATCCTGTAAGATTGCTTATAGATAGCATTATCTAAACTGAGTAATTCTTTATAGTGGCGCACTCTTTGGAATGACTCAAGACCAGATCGAAGCCTCTGTTACCCTGAATTATGCAAAGCTATTAAAGAAAGCAGGTAAAAAAAATACATGTAGATACATCTCAAGTATATAACAATTGAAATAGAAACGAGAAAATCAACTTACAATGCAGCTATTCGTAACCAAGAAGTATCAAAAGCAGAAAAACGTAAGCAAGAAAATCAAGGGCAACAGAACAAAAGCAACAAAAAGGCCAAGAAGGCACAATGAGTTTATTTTTTTAGCCATTTTTCATTCATTGATTTCACATAGTTCAATAAATTGTCATGTTTGCGAATCATATTGCTTAATGTCTTTGCTTGTTTGATATCCTCCTTTTCATACTGTCCATGTTCCTTGATGGATGTTGCTAATGCACAATGAAGATGAGAAAACACGACAGCATCAATCCATGTTGGTTCACTACAGTCAGCCTTTAATGCATGATCATATAATTATATATATATATATATGATTTTTACCTCGAATTGAAAAAGTATGTGTTGTCACCTAATTTCACAGATAGTGCCTCCAATGCCTTCATTGCTTCTTGATAAATCTATTCATGCATTAATACTCTGTTGGAATAGATGTAAACCATACCTCTTCTCTCACTAAAATATCTCTATCTGCCAGCAATGACTTTGTCACTTGATTTTGTTTCTTGTAAAATACGATTTGATTTATAGGCTGAGGAAGATGTCCATAATATGATTTGAACGTAATCTCGTTGGCATTGGGTGATTCAAGCCACATTGAAAAAAGCTATTATTGTTTAATACACTGTATTCATATGCATGAATATTAAATCTTACTAAAGCCGGCTTTAATTTTTGTTCTACAAGTGTCACAAATGCTTTTGCTTGCTGCTTATCAAGTTCGTTGCTTAATTCTCTTTGGATATTCTACAAAAAAAGTCAATCCTCTCATTCATGCGCGTTTCAGTTCACTCTTTCTTACTCTAGTCTCTGTCACCCAATGGATAGTTTCTTGTGCATCAAAAACTTTGCCTACAACGGTTTGCAAAAATGGTAGTTCTCCTAAAGATTCATAAAGTCACATCTCTGTTATCTTTTTTTTTTTT